GAAAGATAGACACAACTGAGCCACCAAATCTGAAGAAGAAAAAAGCAATCAATCATTCAAGCTGAGGCGTCAATCTTGTCAATCAAAATGCATTTGTTTGCTGGCGAAAGTAAAGCACAGGTATATAATGACAGTAGTTGATGCAATGCGGCGTCAGAGCAGTATGCCAACGAACAACAAAATATCTGCTGTGTTCAATTCTGATTGAAGATTCTCGAGCGAGACGACCCGCGAAACTGGTCTGATTGATCCAATGAGATGAAATAATCTACGCCGAGTGTCTACCATGAGCTCACTATGTCTTTGAAGTGGCTTTGTATCCTTTTCACCTCGATTTTAACCAATCCAAGGCCTTGAATGAAGATGTTGTAATGCCATGTGATGCTACCTATGTATGCTATGCCATGTATACGGCCATCAACCGTTGCTGAAACATGTTGAGTCGGCCTTTAAAACATCCTGAAAATGCCCTAGCTAGCTTTAGAATGTTCATCGTAATCCACTTTGTTCGAAATTCTTTCCGAGAGAAGGTCAATTCCCAGCGATTCGATCTCAACCTTGTATAACCTAGTCCATATTCAGGGCAGTACGAGGGTCCCATAACCATGTCAGCCTACCATCGAACGTTCCAATCTGTCATGGGTAACCCGGAAGATACAGTGAGTCAACTAACGACCAACAGCCTTAAGACTTTGGCTCGAGAAATTGTGAGTCTAGGATAACACAGTGGCACAAGGGGGCAATGGATATGTAGCTCAAAATGAAAGCTGGGAAACTGACCTCGGGTTCGGGAATCACCACTGGAACAGTATCGCAATTCAATGGCTTTTCTTGACAATATTACCTACGACATATTAATACTACCCATCAAACGACTCGTGCAAAGATTCAGCTCCGATTCGGGGGATTTATTGAAAGACTGTGACTAAAATCCCAAAGAGCTCGCTCGGAATAACTAAATTCGGCCTGCGTTGTACTATCTCACATACACATATACATTATTCTCTATACTGTACTGCATCGCTGCTATGCTTTTCCGCTGCAGTACAACACAATATGTACTGTTTCAATGTCGGAATAGCAAATAAAGTGATGTACCATGATCGGTAAAGCAGGGGCATAAAAGGGTATTCAAGGATGTGAATATGCTTTTTCCGGTCATGAAGGGGGTTAATTAGAACACGAAGTTATTTTAACTTACTCCTTCCAGAAACATGCATGGAATTTCTATAGCAAATTGACGAATAGATAGATGGATCCTGAATGCCCGTAAAAACTTATTTCCTTTTCTGATCTCACTTCAATATTAATACTTTTTCTCCGAACCACGCCAATGCTTGAATAAGTATTCCTAACATCTTTTTTTGGTTCACTAACTCTCGTCTAACCTGTCTGTTACTTTACTTGCTTTGACCTTGAACCACCCTCCCCTAGCCATACCAAGGTTAATGCTCCCCGAACCCCAGCTGGTGTAGATAGGTTCAAAAAAGTATCATAACCAAAATAGTATAATCATAATTTCATAAATGATTTTCTATTTGCCAAAGGAAGAGATGGGTCTTGCTCATTTCGATTTGTCTTTTTTCTTCCGTCTTCCCCTGGTCCCATAGTCCCATTAGTCCCGCAGCCATCAAGCATCTTTCTGAGCCAGGGCGGAGCCCAAGGAAGATCTACTCCCTGTCTCTCTGGCATGTAATCACTTTGATCATATAAGACAAACTGAAGCCCCCCTTCGCACAAGAAAGAAAAATATTATTAATATTGAAATATCCTGTAAATTCCTCATCCAATCCTCTTGAACTCACTCCTCCTTCATCTTGAGACTTGAGCCAATTCTCCTGCCTACCATTAAAGATAGTTCCTCGTCTTATCCACTTTTGGCAGTGTACACTCTACCGACTATACATACATCCATACATACACACACATACACACACACAAACAAACTATTCTCAAACCACTTCTTACAACCATTGGCACTGCTTCCATCGGCGTCAAAAAGTCGATATCCGGCGGCAACAGTTCACGCATCTTCCCTATCGGTTAGGTACTTCACGCAAAACCCTGTGCATTGAAGTCACAGCTATCCGGATCAACGCAACGCTTCAGCGTCTGACATATTCGCACCCGTCGCAGACTTTGTCGCAAAGTTCTCAGATAGTCAAAGCAACAGGAAATCTTAAATAATACCAGGCAATTCGCTCAACTTAACTTCAGTCGATCATTCAATTCAGTTCTTTAAACATTCATTCAATCAAATCAATCAATTCACTTCATCTGCGGATATCAAAAGTCTATTTACGATACGACAATTAGCCACTTGGCCAACCATCTAAATCGATTCATCCTCGGCGATCTACCCCTGGAATAGCTTTTAGCTTACCAAAGAAGCTCTACACACCACCACGGAACAATCCACCAGTTAACTTCCTTTTCCGTTAAGGGGGCAGCCTTGTGAACGCAAGCCAAAAAAGCAACGTGAGTCAGATCAATCCATGTTCATTTCATTCCCTTTACCATACTATACCATCCTATTGCCAAATATAAGTTATTTATTACCGCGCAATGGGGTGGCCATGTCTTAATTTGGATTTGGATTTGCAATCTTATTTTCCTCCATCTTTTTATATCAAGAACTATTGTACTAATTTAGAATGTTTTCTCCTTTAGACTCCCATCATATCTTCAACCGTAATGATTACCAGAGAGAACGCATCTTCCAACATGGGTCGCGGCGCATATGATACTACGGGACTACCTCAACCAAACCCTCCTCCACCAAAGCCCAAATAATAGTCTTCACGAACCTCATCTCATTCACGATTGTCCACGAAATGGCCCACGACCATCAGAGGACCTCATGGAGACGCAAGACCTAGGGCAGCAGAGGATACCTACCAGATCAATGCATTATCCCTTGCATCCCCTAGATTTAAGCCTCGTCTATCTCGAACCTCACGATTCCCGAAATAACTCTCACACATCTCTTACTCTGATTATCATTCTCAACACACGCTTTTTTGAAAATCACACTTTTAATACTTACTCAACAACAATATCCTCCTGTATTTTAATCTTTCCTACGATTCGCGACGAATTTCCTTTTTCGCGCTGCGTGCGACTTCTACCTCATTCCCCCTACGATCCTATCTACATTCCAGACAACTTTCGATAATCCTATCCGACTCTGAGACATCTTAATCGCACTCCTTGCATTCCAAAAAGTTCACTCAAAAGCATGGCGGTCTCGATCCACAGTACACACTGCCCATCAAAAGTCTTTTTTCGAGTTCTGATTTCTTCATCGCGGTTTTTCTGGAATTACATGCAGATACACTAAAATTTGGGAGATGGGAAAGGCGTTTCATCTAGACTTGGGTCCGTTGTTCATTCAACACATTACATTTCATTCTGCTGCGGCATTTCCTTTGGGTTTCGGTGTTTAGACTTGCTGTATTTTTTGTTCCTTTGGTTCGGACACAAAAATTGGGAGTTGCTCGGGAAATTAAAAACGTTTGGCTGGATAGAAAAACTCCTGTGTTTTATCTTTGGTTTACTGCGAGGGTTGCATATAGACTTGCTGGTTGTAATTTTTTTTTTGGTTTTCTTTGGTCGTTCGGTGCGTTACACTTGTTATTTGGAAAGAAAAGGTCGTTGCTATCTTCCTCGCGGAATGGGCACGCCTTGTGGTGTTTTTGCACACGATGGGTTTTAGATTTTGATGAACCGGTGGGACTTGTATGCTTATATTTTGGAAGAAAGACTTACTATTATCTTGTATTCTATACTATTCTTTCAATGCTTTTGCACTTCTATTGCTTGTACTGCTCAGCGACCTCTTTTGTTTGCAGAAAGAGATATTTTTTTTTGACTTGCTCTATCAACTTTCACGGACTGGATCCTGAACGATGAGCGAGCGTTGCGGAGGTGGAACCCATATACCCATCGGACTAGACTGTATGAGATGGCTCCGCAAGGAGTTCAGAAGAGCAACAGGGTGGAACTTTGACTCTTAGGTTCCTTGGTAATTAGACATAATAATAAGAATATCACTTTAATATCTTAAACCAGTGCAATCCAAATTCCCATGATATTGACATCTCTCAGCTTCAAGAGCTAAATCAGAAGCTACTCCATACCACACGCTCAACCAAAACAAGCCTTCTCATCTCCACCGGGAAAATCTCAGATTCCATCTAGACTCTAGAGTGCCATAAGGAAAGTAATACATCATATTTTTCATCGGGACAACTCCGAAACTCAGACAAACAAACTTGAATGGGGCTTCCCGTATCCGAGTCGGCTCTCCCGAATCATGATCATTTTTGTCCTCGAAAAAGTAAGTGAGTACAAACTTTGACTCTGGACTCCAAAAGCAAACTTGCAAGAACGATCATACCCCTTTCGCAAACAAATCCCACATTCAATATATTGCCAAGTTCCAAATACATGCAATGTTCAAGGAAGTGGATGGAACCCGAATATAAGGGTCAAATATGCATAATTAGTACAATGTGATATAGATCTCCCTGCGATAACAATTTAATGTGATGAGATCTGCGGCGGATAAATAGGGAACGAAGGAACGAAGTGAATGAATTTGATTCTAGAGAAAGGCGATTGTGATTGGAACGAAGACTGATTGAAATTTGAAGGGGGGTTAAAAGTGCGTTAATGGTCAATTAGGCAGAGCGTAAAACTTAGGGTACCGTAGAACTGCTGTTACAGCGAAGGCTTGAGGAAGCTTACCGCATGTCAATGATAACTAATTCAAATAAACAACCACAACTACAAGATTCACTTACAACAAGCAAGAATCAGTATACTGGAAGTTTAGAAGCATCAAAGGGCATACGCACTTGATTTTAAAAGCTTACAACAGCAATATAGGCGACATTGAAGGCTTCTTGATTACGCCAGATTATTTTAAAGTCACAACCCCCGCTACTTTACAATAAGGACATATCCTCCCTTCCTATTTACGAAATAAAGTTTTCAAGATGTCTATTATCCAGCAAGTTTCCAATGCCAGCCTAAGTGACAATTGGCGTACGATCAACGTCGATGCTCTCGACCCTGATTCTTCCACAAACTTCGATATTTCCACCCTGACAGCACAATTTCCTCCTGTCTCCGACTCCGACATCCGCACTCTTGCCCAACAGGTACGACAATTACTTCGAGGAGGTGATCCAGAGGGTGCTTTGAGGGGTGCCCTCGAAAATTCACCATATGGAAGTAGTGAACAGGTCAAGGAGCTTCATTTAGCAACTGTGATCGAGGTATTGCAAAGTATTAAGGCGAGCGAAATGACACCATTATTGAAGAAGATTATGGCTACAGAGGGCGGTGGAGATATCTTGGATTGCTTGATGAAATACTTGTGCGTCCTTTTTTTCGATTTCGTTGTCTTCAAGCTTTATATGGGGGTGTACTATACTAATGATACATTGATGGCAGATATAAGGGCATGGAATCCAAAACCGCAAATGCAAACACGAGCAAGCTTACCCCACAAAGTACGGGCGGATTCTCACAAGTTGGAGGTGGTAGACCTGGGGCGCAAAATGAAAACAGCGGTTCATCGATGAGTGTGCTACTCAGTTGGCATGAGAAAGTCGTAGAAGTTGCGGGGCTCGGATGTGTAGGAAGGTGTATGACTGACTGGAGAAAAGTATAAATGGGGAACTGGAATTGTCAGGTTATGATGATATGGGGTCGAAAGAGAAGCGTAGCACAAGGGACGTCGAGAATGTGAGGTCGGGAAGATGGAATACTACATGCCCGAGAGACGGAAGCCCCGAGTATCGAATCGGAGATGGGCAATGATAATAGAAGGCCGACATATTTAGACGTCCAAGAATGGATCATGTTGACAATCATAGGTCTAAGATCTTTCCTGGATAGCAATGCTCAATTACCAGTCAATCCGGGTCAAATATCGGACTATAATCAGGGGTGTCCTGCACCGATGACCTCAATTCAGTCACTGTCTTTTCCAATGCATAACGCTGATGATTTGAGGGACCTGGAGGGACCTGTAGGCACAAAGTCAGCCTTATGTCAAACGTTTTTCCTTGCCACTTTTCTCTCGTCCTCTCGGAGTCTTCAATTGCAAAACTCAATATGCCTTATGGTGGTGGATTCACTGTACATCATTGAATCTATCGAATTCTAGAACCTCGAAAAAGCTTTCGATCTTCCCAATTGAAGATACCCAACAGTGAGTAAAAAAGTGAATGGGTCTTTCTACTCTGTAGGCCCATCAGTAGGCTTTCTTTAACTACCAGCAAGCTCTAGACAAAGTTTTGCACCGTCGATTGGAAAGCGGTTGATCTTACTGCATCTACATCAACTATGCCGAGTCAGCGAAAGATATAAGAAGGCTATCAACCTCCCAGGTATGTGCCGAGAAACGCTGTAGGTGATCTAATACGTCTGCCTATCATAATCGATCTACTGCTGGAATCTCTATTACGATGAAGGAAGTCTAGTGTAGCTGTTGAATATTAATATTGTCAATATAAGCATGTATTCCAGTGATATTGACAAATGAAAACATGGCGAGTTGAATTTTCACACGCTACCTACTGTGAAGTATCAACGACTGGAACTTCTCTGCTAGCCAAATTTACAGCAAGACGTCTGATCAGCACGACAGAATCTAGAATGTTGTCCCCACACTTCTTTGAATAGCTTCATATGCAATGATCTAGAATTGCAGATCCAATAAGTTGGGCTCCATTGACGGATCGTGGTTGCTTTTAATATCTACATACATCTGATACATGGCGGTCTACTGAGTAGCATGGCCATCTTTTCTTTCATGAAGGAGAAGGAGAAGGAGAAGAGGAGGAAGGATAGTTTGTCTTAATGTGGCTAGTGTGACTTGAGCTATTGGTACTATTTTACAAGTAGGTAGCTTAGACTCCTTGACTCCTAAGAATATAGATATTTGTTCTTCGTTTCCCTTGGATACAGTATTACAGTAAAACTTAAATCCAAATAGACATTCTGTGGTGGAAGAATAAGAATAGGTACCGGTCGGTATTGTACGTTGCTCGTCGTCTACAGTAGTCTGTCTTACCTTGGGAGTGGGAATTGGAATAGGAGGAGATATCTTCTTTTTGATATTTTGCCATGGGTAAACCGGTTGCGAGACTTTTGCCTTGAGTCCCTATTCTTGTTTTGTTCGTTTGTTTGGTATTGATAGTGATATGATGTGACATGATATGACATGCAATTTGCATTCTCAGTGGATGAGTATTTATTGCCGGATTTGCACGATTTTATAGTATATATGTGGGGTGTACTTGTAGATGTATGTGTAGGTTTATATTCATCTATATCATATCATAGCCTTTGCTGTAGAGGAGAAGCATTCGAGATTACTATTACTCGTATTACTCATACAACATAACACATACTACTGAGTATAGATATTCAATCTCGCACTTTTCCCACCACGATTTGTCCCCCTGCCAGTGACCTCATTCTCAAAAGCGATCTAGTATCTACACGAAACCAACCCATTCTCCCTTCGACCCCACCCACGTCTTTCCGATGAAACTATATCGTCACCCTCTATATTTTCCATTAATAGATTATGTAGGCCCCGTTGGTATTCTGGCATTGGTATATATGTATTAGCGATATATATACTTCCTTCCTAGCGCGGGTAGAATAAGGAGAAAATTCATGATTTTTTATTCCCCATCCCTCGTCCCCATATCTCGATTCTCCGTTTCCTGAATATAGCACCCCCTTCTCCCACACAAAGCAATAAGTTACAAGGCATTTTGGCGTAGTTGTTAACGCGATGGCCTGCTAAGCAAGCCGTTTCCTTTGGGTGCAAGAGTTCGAATCTCCTATTTGTCGGTTATTAGTTGTTAGCGGGGTTCTTTTCGGGAGTTTTCACTTTTTCTCTGTTTTATATCTACGATATGTTCTTTCTTTTCAACGGTCTCCGTCTTGCCTATGTATGACTTTCCCTGTATTTGTTTTACTTCTAGCGAATAGAGATATGTATAAGGAAGGCGTGGAACAAGAAGTATTTGGTGCTCGATGTGCTAATCTAGTGCAGCAGCGGGTGTTGAAAGCGGTTCAGGGGGTTTTGGGGAAGAGAGTATTGGATGTACAAACAATGAGGATGAGGGATGACGAAGAGGAACGAATATGTTGTGATTGGACCTCTGAGATCTGAGAGGGAAGTAATGGCCATTTCTTTGATTATGGATCAGACAGGCAAAAAGGGGATTGGGGAAAAGGATGTATGGAGAAAAATATCCCCATACTGGGGCTCAAGTTGTGGGATTTGACTTGAAGTGATTGGTGATTACAAAGTTAAGGAACTCAACTAATCTGCGAGAGGAGAAGGAAGAGGTCGGAACTTATGGGTACTAGTCACTGACGTTACTGCAGTTTGGCAGGGAAAGTCGAGTATGCGCGTATAGTGCAGAGTTGGATCATTAACGGAGGGCGATTAGCGATTATATAACCTTACCGTGACAGATCTAATGGGAATCTGTACAGTACATGGTTCTGCCTATCTATCTGAGTTAGGGATATGTATATGGATTCCCCAATAATCGGGTATGGGAAGATACTTTCTATCATGTATTGGACCTGATATAAATCTCAAGGGTGAGAAATGACGGTCGTGTGCGCGTACAGTTATCCCAATAATGTTAGAGAAGTAGGGCAGGTTTCATCCGATGTTCCACTGTCCTTTAGTCAATCACGAATCTCGTGACTAATCAAAAGTACTAGACTAATTCGGACAATCAGACTAGTGTAAAGATTTTGACTTATTTGAACCTTTAAATCACTTGAAAACTTAGTCGACCGTTATACTTCGTCGCAATGATCCCTACTCTATTGACTATATCAACCAAATGCTGTTGTGTTATGTCATACGATGTGACCTTTATATCGAATTTGCAACCTGGTATCCTCATCGTGAAGTAGATAATAACATATTATATTGTTGTAGCAATAGCTGCGATTCCAGGTACGAGTGTAAATAAGTATAATCTAACATCTTCAAAGAAGATCAGCGTTCAAGTTTGCTTCCCATACTGAGGCACCATACATCGTCGCGCTTCCATTCATGCCACGCTTTCAAATTACCACACCCGGACTGCTACGAATTTCGACTCGCTCATCTAGACAGGAGACGTGCAGCCGAAACTAGTCGCAGCACTGGTCCCATCAAAAGCACTAATCAAACCAAGACAACTAGTGTAAATGCCCAAAGCTGCCGTGGTCAGAGCTCCCAAAAAGTAGAAAAAGTTGAAGATATTGAACAGCCAGTGAACTTTGAAACCTCTAATCCATCTCTTGACACCTCTATCGAAATAACTGTATGTTCCAGTTTGGGGATCAAATGACTCCTCGTCTGGAAGCATGGCATCTTTTTGAATCTGATATCCGAAACCGAGAATGGCAGGGAATGTATATGTAAATTGGAGAATGCAGAGTGCGCCCACGAGACCAGAAATGTAGGAGAATTGAGGGATGGCAGCGCAGACGCAGAAGGCAATTGCCCAGTAAAGAGGTACCATGCCAATCCAAATCAATTTACCAGGCTTGGAGGTCAAAGGTGGTGCTTTGAAAATGCCTTGAATGACATCAATGTATGCGACTTTAATGCCAATGTTCCCATAAAGTACAGCGGCAATAAGACCGGTGATCAGATTCATGATGTTTGCAGCGGTTTGCCAGTTGTAGGGAGAGAGACCTTGGATGACGGGGTTGTATGAATATTGACCCTGGTAGGAATAGACAAAGATGCCAAAGAACATGTACACAAAGTAGATGAATAGATCAGCACAGATGAGACCCTTCCAGAAATCCATAGGATGACGCATTTCGGCCAAGAAAGCAACGAAAAGCATAGCACCACCGTACGAGTATACAGCTTGGTTGAGACCGTTTAAGGATCCGACAAATCCGTCTCCACCAGTCGCTTTGCCGGCCGGAGGGGTTCCGGCATACCTGTGAACAGGTCCAGGGCCAAATGTATCACCAAAAGAAGCTTCGATTGTGGTATAATTGGGCGCCGAGTTGGCAACAACCCCCATACAAATGAATATAATGAGGACGTTAATCCAGACTGCGAAGTTTGCCAGCCAACCGAATCTCTGGAGTGTACGAATCTGCCCCAGGACCATACCGGCGGCCATAAAAATTACCAAACAGACAACGAAACAGAGGTTTCCTTTGGAGATTTGTGCAATAGATTGGCCGTTGGAGAGAATGAGAATAGATACGGTGAACAACAGTTGAATAGACTGGGCAATATTGATTCCATGACGGGCCCAAGTACCGAAAACACGGAAGAAGAGGTCGCCATATGACTTTGTAGGGTATCTGTCCGAGTCAAGTGCAAGGAAGATGTTAAAGATTTGCCATCCAGAGTATAAAGCAAATATACCAAATACAGTGTAGAGAGCAACTCCGGGTCCGTCTGTGCCCACGTTAGTACTATTTTCGAGTTTCAACTACCGAATTTGCTTACAGCCCATTTGCGCAAAGGCCCACGGAACACTGAAAGGCCCAAGGATATCAGTTGTGATGAGATAGAAGACACCTGACCAGCCAGCCGTACGTACAGCACGACTAGCCGTCTTCCATTCGGCATCAGATACGGCAGATGGACGTGCTAGTACTGCAGAATGATCAGATCCACCAGGGACAACAGGCTTTTCGTCTAAACCCTCCTTCTCATTTGCAGCTAAAGTCGTTGCGGGTGGAGAGTCATATGATTCTGGGACGGCTTTTGCACGAGAAAACCGATTTATGATTGGGGTTTTCCAATTTTTCGGTCCCTGAGCTGCAATAAACTTTTCGTTGGCGATTTTCTCCTCGGCACGAGTGATTTCAGCCCAGTAGATATATTCTTCAAATGTGATGCTGGGATCATGTATCGAGGACAACATCGCCAATTCTACAGCTTTGGCATTCCCCGTAATGGGATGGTGAGGATCTCGTGGATCACCACCCTCCAGGGCGAGACTTGCCATTGGTGTAGTCATATTTGACAAGTTATGCGGAGATCAGGTCAAAAGAATAGACCTTCTTTACTTGCGGTAGATTGAGATTAAAATGTTCAATCAAGTATGAATGGATTGAGTGAAGTCCTTTGTGAGGGGAAGAGGAAGTAAATGAATTTTAAATGCCTACTATCAAGGGATGTGGGAGGGGTAAGAGCAGTTGTCTTGCTCACACCTTCTTCAAGTAGTAACATGATGGTCATGCAGATAAGCATCAAGCTAGAATATGATTGCATCCTGGGCATATAACAGGCGTGTTCCACCAACGGCAAGAACGATTGAATTCAGGGATTGAAGTAACACCAAAATTTATGATGTAAGCGCGTTACCATTGGATGGAGCTCGTTTTCTAGAATAAATGATATAGTTCGCTAAACCCAAGTAATCTGACATAAGTTGGCAAATTGACAAATAGAGTTTTGAAAGTTAGAAGGCTCGGGAAAGCAGCCAGTCGTTCTTCAATGTGTTGGTAAGAGTTTCCCTGGGTAGCATACACACCTTCCTGTTCGAGGTAGCAGGTTGATAAACGGTTAAGATACACTTCGAAACGACCATTGATGATTGATGATTGATGAGATCTTGTGAACGGACTTTCGACCTGATGAGGGCGAGGAGGCGTACCTTCCCTGGACCTTTTTATTTCAAGTTCCGCTCCTCTCATGTCGCAGCGCCAGCCAAATCATATGACCACAAAAAAGCTTGGAAAAGCTTGTTCCAACTCCCGATTACCGATCGCATGGTCTTGGACTTTTCTTAAAAACTTGCCTTGAGTCCATGACCGTTCATAGATGCAACGTTTTATGTAGCAGGAGTCGTGGGGGGCGCTCGAATCAGACTGTACTGTTCTTTTGAGTAGTATTATAGTATAGTAGAAGACAATGAAAAGAATTTGAAGGTGTCAAATCTATTAATCGATGCCTACCTACCGTACGTTCACGATGGTTATTCGCGGCTGGCGATATTTCCGAGAACTGGTGACAAGATAGTGATCAAGCCAAACCAACGAATGGAAATTGAAAGATATAGGTAATCTGTGACTCGCCATCAGTGATATAGATTCCTACCTAACGAGAAAGTTCTCCGGTGGCACAAGAAGCGGGCGACGAGTACAGACAGGCATATTGATGGGCCGGATCTTGATGAATGATCGTGTGTTCAAATTTGTATCATGTTGAAAATTGATTACTCAGCAACTTCTACTATGGCACGTGACCATGCAACTCGGAAGAATACCGGGTGAGTTACCCCGGGTCCATACCTATGCCTTCCCTCACATCCAATCGGCCCGGTCACCGCTTTACAATGCCAAGCTGCAGGATGTTACCATGCTTGACTATCATATTATCATATGTTTTATCATGTGGGATGTCAAACCCCAGTAGAAGACTATGATTCCTCAATTAGTACATATCAGTTCCGGGGACTAACTGCAGAGATGTGCATGCACTCGTACAAGCTGTCAGATCATAGAGCACCTTCCTAGCCAACCCCGTTTCGTCACATGTCGCCCCACGGCCAAAGAATCCTTGACACTGATTAGATGTCAACATGGCTATCAATGATAAGCAAGGGAAGCAAGCATGGATTAGACAATAATTTTGTATGGCTCGGAAGTCAGCACTCACATATCGGTCAGTGACCTCATCAATTCGGCAAGATACCGACTGAACATCTTGATCAAGTCCGATCAAAAGATGGAACGAGGTCGCCTCGAGGTGTACTCCCAAATCAAGATGCCATTTGCTTTTCTTTTCTTTTCTTTTCTTCTCACCGTTGGTGTACGTAGAAGCTTTGTATGATGTTTCAGAACCACTCAAAGAATCGTCTGAGAGCTATTTGGACAACTCAAAATCACTTGAACATCAAAATCCTATCTGATTGTTATATTATATTGAGTTTGCAATATGTATTCGAACTTACGGTATATCTAGAACACAGTCTAGAATGTCAGCGTAAGAACCCGATCATGGAGGCTCTTATCTTGAGGTCTACATCCATATATCTGACCAAATAAAAACACCATCTTCACCTACATATAGCATCAAAAATCCTAGAAAGCTGCTAAATACCTCTACCGTAATGGAGTTGCAAATTCCATGCCAACTTGAAGTCAAGTGAATGATTACACCAGGGCGATATTACAGATGCATGCCTTTTACATTCTTTTGTTCTGAGTTCTTCGATAGTATCTAGTTGTTCTGCTATGGCTTCAACGGAATCATTTCCGATTGTTTCTCGAGGCTTCGAGGTTGTAAGTGGTGTCTTGGATGTCTTTGTGCAAATTCCAAACACGATGGTGGAAGTCAGGGCTCCGTTATAGTGGAAAGTTTCTCTTCGGCCGATCGTTTCAACACATTGCTGGGGAATTCATAATTTTTAGTAGAAGTTTCCTTTTTTTTTCTATCATAAGGTATATATATATATATGTACTCTTCCAACACCAAAAAATTATTATCCTAGCTATCACCACCACAACAGATACTCTCTGCAAGTCTTTAAACATCCAAAACTTCACAATGTCCGGCAAACAACTCACCACAGGAATCGAATCGACCCCCAGCAAGGCAACTCCAAAGGTCACACCACCAGGCATGGAGAATAGTGCATCGGATCACGAGGACACCACCTCTCACGAAAATCTACCTTCAATCCCAAAACTACGTGATGATATCGAAATGTCCGATGCGCATCTGAATGCTACAATCACCTATTTGTGCCGTATGGTATACCCCAACGACGGAGACAAACTCCATACCCCATCCTCCATCCTCGATCAATTTCTCAACGTCTTCTCCGAAATCTGTGCTGACGAAAATGGCATATTGCCTTTCCAACTCGCCAATCTTGAAATGTTGGAGATCCGCTTGAGGGAAGGCTTGGAGGCGATACGGGAGAAAAAGGGAGAGCTTTGGGTGGGATTGAATGGATCTGGGTATCCCCAGGAGTATTTTGATGATGTGGTTGATTATTGTCACGGGGGTATTGAGAGTGATGAGAGTGATGACGATTATTGTTGCCACTGTGATGCAGACAGTGCGGCTCTTCTAGTTGATAGGGGTGTTTCTTGGTGTCACCGCTGTGTGGGTATGGAGCATGGGGATCCTGTGGAAGATGACGACAGTTGTTATCGCTATGCTGTGTACAATGAGGATCCCGACGATGATGACGAACATTACTGTCAGTGTGTTCCAGAGAGTGAAAACGATTTGCACTCTCATTGCGCTTCGGAGCACAAAGCCGCTGAGGATAATGAAGACACTATCAACGCGAGCCGATCGTCAACGCTGAGCCTGACATAGCTTTTTCAGCTCACTCTCTTAGTATACATAGTGGCAAATTTGAGATAGAAGCTGGGGTTCTTGTATGGCGGTAGACAATGAAGACATGTCAGGACGGAAAACTATGGCTAATGAGGTGCAGAGACGTGAAGCTTGTGATTTGTGATGGATGAGCCAGTACACAATGGACTGAGCAATGCCTACGGCTCATGAGCAGATACATATACATAGGTAGATCTCAAAGGGTAAGAGTGAGAACTTGGAAGGGAGGAGTCGTGAAAAACGTAATTCGTCAACTACCAAGGCGTATCATTGGGTAGATACATACTAAGTAGCGGGCATGGTTCTAGATTGACTATTTATGTTGTGTACTGTTGTTCTCACTGGAAAAATAAGATGACATTTTCGACTTCATATATTACTGTGGTCCTGAATGGAAAGAGTATCGTTCGCTCCTGAATAGCCTCATGTTCTATGTATAAACCTCATATACATTCTGCGATCGGAAGGATGACGATTTTGAGAAACCGTCACGCCCCTTGGGAGGTTGCTTTGGTATTCAACATCGAAAGGATTACCCACTGGAGAAGAAAGGCGACACGTTGACCCAGTACTGGGGAGGAATAGCTGGTTCTCGGAGTTCTCGGAGTCTAAGACCGGTGGGTCGTGTTCCTAGCCGAAGGGGCGGCTATTATGTTTTTGAAGAGTATCTATAGCAGTGTGTGAGCTCAGCGGTGCACCTAGTAGGGCTTGTCTTTTACTTTATTCTAGTCCGAATTCATCCACGCATATTACCTCCCATCAAACTCTCAACTATGCTGCTGCAAGACGATGGATTATTGACGAGTCACGTGGGTTTGTTTGCAAGTGTGGGTGACTCATATCGTTGATGGTCGGGTAACACACACCGTGATTATGATTGACTGTGGATCTGGGTAAGCCATATTGGTTGTTTACTATGTTCAATTGGTCTTCTGTTATGAGTAGGACTTATGAAGCAGACCGTGGGACAGATATCTTTTAGATGATCCACTGAAACCGAGGACATATTTGAAGCAGAAGTCACCCTATGGCATAAGACAAGGAGTTGGAAAATTTGACTGTTGAGAAGTTGTGTTCTGTCTCAATATTGAACCAGTATTGACATATGAATCTTATTGCTGGGATTGACAATAGACACCTTGAGATTGACTGACGCTGGTCATTTCCCTTTTTCCTGTCGAAAAATGAATGAAAGGTGCATACAAATATTGGGCCAAGAGTTATTCATCCGTGAAAGATGGCCATCTCTGAGCCACGAGATATTATGTCGACAGAGGCGGTTGGTGGAAGGTGAGATGAGAGAAGTCGTCTGCTCCAGACCATAGGACGCGTTTCAAAATATCTGATAGTATAGTGAGTCTTTTGGATAAGTTTCTATCTTCCATTACTACTTTCCGTCTTAACATGGCAAATCAGAAGGTACACGAGTACCCTATTGGGCCTATATAGAGCAGATATACCATTCGAGAAGCAATGTATGCCAGTATATAACCTCAAAATGGCAAGACGACAAGCACGTTGCCCAATCCAGAGGTCTCAAGCGGATATTTGGAAGATCGGTCCTGCATATCTCCTCTATTGGGCAATTCTACTTAGAATATATCACAATCTTCAGCCGTTAGAGAATGAAAGCTATCAAGTGGCGTGACCCCAACGAGCTCGTACAATACTTTAGAAAAGATGTATGCCGTGCAGAGTTTTCGAGACGCAACGATTGAGGAAACGGTTCGTGCAAGCGAAGTGATTTGTACCATTTACACAACCAGTGTATACGAGTATCCTTATTTGACTAGGTCCGAAACTTCGGGGAGTAGATCAGGATTAGATCCGACGAGTTCAGGCTCAAGAGCTGGCAAAAAGATTAAGCTCAGAAGACAGAAGGGCGTTACGATGGTTAGCAATAATCCTGTTGTCACGATTGGTAATGGTAGAGATAATGGCAACCTTTATGTCGTGCATGTGCAGTGAAATGTACGCAAGAATGAAAGAGGTTTTGCCAGATATATGGATTGGTTGATGATCCGGCAACGGCATATAGATCCGTCGGGTTTATCTCGTTACATGTTGCGCATATGTAGTACGCAGATTACTATAGATACAGATATGTTTTGTCACGGGCCGGGGAATGGAGAACGTTTTCGGAACAACGATTTCAAACTAATCTAAGAAGGTATACATCGGCAGTATTGAGCTTCCATAGATAAAATAACGCCTATGCTTTTGGCGTGCATATATATATCATCGTCACTTGAGGACGACTGCTGCAGAGGATCCTCCTTCGAGAAACGCGGAGGGACTGCTTCCGCACTCTAGTTTGGACAACCAGTACTTCCGAGCCCTTGCTTGCATATGTCTTTTGTAGATAGCAGTCATATTTGAACGACTAGTGCGAGAGAATAGGATGCAATAAGAGATATTGGAAAGTGGATAAGCCTTCATGAACTAACTTACTCGAGTAATACTACATCACGTCAGGACCCAGAAAACAAAGCGGGTAAGTAGATGTATGGCTTGCTGAACGCATACCGGTATACTAGGAGATTTTCGAACTTGTATATCACAAATCCTCGACTATAACATACCTTTTATGATCAAGTGGTGCATATTGGAGTAAAAGAGATTCCTAGCAGAAATGAATTGGTTGTTTGAACCTCCTTCCGAAATTGTGTCCCGAGGATGACCCGAACAGCTTTCTTGATTCGCTGATCATCCAACTGTAAATTCATCCAACTGTAAATCTACTGTATCATGCAGGCAAAACTGGTGATATGGCCAATCATATTGGCCAGTATACATTTGCAAGATCCATCATCCCTTCCTTATCCTAGGAGCCAACCGAATCGCCAGATCATCCAATCTTTGTCAAACGGGATGAAGACCCCGCATCGCATGTAGTGAACCCATTCTGGAGCCTCCGAAGCCTCAAATATCAATCCATGATATTCATTGAATTTGCTACTCGCTACCTAACACTTGAGACTAAATAACCCCAGACACAAGAAGGAGCTTATCCATATCTGAGGGGGCAGGCATATCACATTTCAGCAAGCATTCCACAAGTCGATAGCTCCCTCAAAGTATTTATACCTACCATGCGGACGGAGCACTCCTTCTCAACGAACCATCCAATTCAAATCACATCTGCTTCAACATCACCCAACATGTCTAAGCATACCATCATCCCAATTGATAAGAATTGGACCTTCAAACAAGCGGACAATGAAGATGCCAAATTCCTGCCTGTCGCACAATTTCCTACGAATGTTCATTTGGACCTCATCGCCAATGGCATCATACAAGACCCTTTCATGGGTAAGAATGAGAATGACGTACAATGGATTGGTGAAATCGTCTGGACATACAGAACTACCTTTTCATCGCCCGCCATATTAGCAGAAGAAGAATCTGGCGTGAAAGCAGTCCTGGCATTTGATGGATTAGACACATATGCCACCGTTATATTAAATGGTAACGAGATCCTCAAGACAGATAATATGTTCATACCAGAACGGATTGATATTACATCTCACCTGAAAGACGAAGGAGAGAACGAGTTGGAAATCACTTTCGAGAGCGCATATCTCAAAGGATGTGCCATCGTAGAGAAATACCCGGATCATCATTGGGGCTGTTGGAATGGAGATACTTCCAGACTTGCTGTTCGAAAAGCGCAATATCACTGGGTATGTAAAAAGTGCTTACCATATGGAAGAGGCATGAATCATTAACATTTGACTTCGTTCAGGGATGGGATTGGGGTCCAACACTCATGACTTGCGGGCCCTGGCGACCAATCAATCTTGAAGTCTTCTCCTCTCGCATCTCTGACGTCTACTTCACAAGCAATGTGGACAAAGCCCTAAAATCCGCGGAATTCGTTGCGAAGGCGGATATTGAAGGCGAGGCCTCACAAATCAAGTTCGATATCACTCTGCACGGCGACCTTATTGCCACCAAGACTGTCACCTCTTCTGAAGGTTGTGCTACCCACGCCTTTACAATTGAAGACCCTGCGCTCTGGTTTCCGATCCGATACGGTAAACAGCCATTGTATGATCTTACTGCAACTCTAATTCATAACGATATAAGTATATCGATGCAGACTAAGAAGTTTGGCTTGCGCAGAGCAGAACTGGTGCGAGATGCTTTGACAGGCCAACCAGGAACATCTTTTTTCTTCAGGATCAATAACATTCCCATTTTCTGTGGCGGCAGCGATTGGATTCCTGCCGATAACTTCATACCTCGCATCAGCAAGGAGAAGTATTATGACTGGGTCAAGCTGGTAGCCGACGGAAACCAGTTCATGATTCGAGTCTGGGGCGGTGGAATATTTGAGGAGCAAGCCTTCTATGACGCCTGCGATGAATTGGGTATCCTCGTATGGCAGGATTTCATGTTCGGATGCGGAAACTATCCCGCTTTTCCCGATTTCCTCGCGTCTGTGAAGAAGGAAGCTGAGGAGAACGTCAAGCTTCTCCGACATCACCCTTCTATCGTCATATGGGCTGGCAACAATGAGGATTACCAATACCAAGAATCGGAAGGCCTCACGTACGATTTCGACAATAAAGACTCCGAGAGCTGGTTGAAGACCAACTTTCCAGCAAGATACATATATGAAAAGATTCTGGTAGATGCCTGTACTGAATTGGTGCCGGATACATACTATCACTATGGAAGTCCGTGGGGTGGAAAAACAACAACCGATCCTACCATTGGCGACTTGCACCAATGGAACGTGTGGCATGGTTCGCAAGAAAAGTACCAGAATTTCGACAAGCTCGTGGGACGCTTCGTTTCCGAATTCGGCATGGAAGCATTTCCCAATATCAAAACCATAGATGCATTTCTGCCGCTAGGCAAAGACGACCCCGATCGTTTCGCGCAATCGTCTACCGTCGACTTCCACAACAAGGCCGACGGACACGAACGTCGCATCGCCCTATATCTAGTAGAAAACTTTCGCTACGCCCCTGACCCCCTCGAACAGTTTATCTATTCCACACAACTCATGCAAGCCGAGTGCCTAGCCAGCGCTTATCGGCTCTGGAAACGCCAATGGAAAGGTCCAGGAAAGGAATATTGTGGCGGCGCCTTAGTGTGGCAAATCAACGATTGCTGGCCCGTAACATCCTGGGCCATTGTGGACTACTATCTCCGTCCCAAACACGCATACTACACCGTCAAGCGCGAAATGGCCGCCATCTCCCTCGGCATAACGCGCAAAGAACACATCATCCCCAAAGACAAATACACACGCGCACATCTCACCAAAACCACCACGATAGAAATCTGGGGCTCAAACCTCAGTCTCGAAAATATCACCGCCGACGTGGTAGTCAAAGCCTTCGACGTCATAACCGGCGCCGAGACCTTCTCCAAAACCATCGCATCCGCAATCCTGCTACCCGAAAACCGCTCCACCGAAATCATCGCCATGGACGTACCAGTCCAGAAACCCAACATCGACGCCGAATCCCGCACCATTGTCGCCGCATACCTCATGCGAGACGGTGTGCAAATCGCTCGCTATATCAATTGGCCCGAACCGCTAAAATACGTGCATCTGCAAAAACCCACTCATCTACGCGCGCAACTATCGAAAGATGGAAAGGTGGTGGAGATTAGTAGTGAGGTACCGGTTAAAGGAGTAGCGCTTGAGTGTGAAGATGAGAATGTCCGGTTTGAGGATGATTTGCTGGATATTGTGCCGGGAGAAGTGGTAAGAGTGGCGGTTGGGGGTGCGAGTGAGGGGACGGATGTTACGGTTAGGTATTTGGGGATGGTTTAGAAGAGGTTTGTTGAGGCGATTTTGTGCTCTTCATTATTTGATGATTTTATGATGTATTGATGATGCTAGCGGGGGAAATTCCTGTATATAATACATACAGCGATCTACCTTGCGATGCCCTTGAAATGCTCATTTCGAGAAGTAGAAATTGTACTAGATGTATTTGGATGTCACAAGTATACCGGTAGTTCTTTACGATGTGGGTGAGTGAGTACCTTGAACACAACTCAACTCAACCCATAAAGGAGTTCCATTAAAACAAGATACTCGCATTTTCCATTATTTCTCATACATTTTGGATATCCAAAGCCCTCAACGCCCATCCTTGAACTAATCATTGTCCCTTCATTGTCCCTTCATTGCCTACAACACCGAGTCCTGCTACGTACTTTACAACATCCATCATCTTTATTTCTCATTTGGACCCTTAATCAGAACCTTGATACCTTTTCCTGCTTTCACACTCTTGAAAGCCTCCTCAGCATCCTCAAACTGGACTTCTCCAGTAATCAACTTCTTCACGTCCACCATTCCAGTACTCACCAATTGTACCGCCAAAGCATAATCTCCACTTCCATATCTGAAGCTTCCTTTGGCTGTAATTTCCTTGGTGCACAACTCCATGATTGGGAAATTAATATCTGGCTTGCCCATTCCACCTTGGACATATGTTCCTCCACGACGTACGACATTTATAGAAGCTTGGATGGAGGGTTCCGCTCCCGATGCATCAATCACGATATCCGCGCCCTCTACAAGTCCGACTTCTGATTTCAGGTTGGAAGCATTCTCTGCGGCGGAGACGCGTCGAGGGGTGAAGGTGTGGGTAGCGGCAAAGGTTTTCGCGAATTCGAGACGGTTAGGCTGGATATCAACTGCGACAATAATCGATGCTCCATATGCACGAGCTACTGCCATACATAACAAACCGACAGGACCTGCCCCCATCACAACAACAGTTTGTCCTGGAGTGATTACTGCTTGTTTGCAGATATGGACTGCTACGGCAAGGGGCTCAATTAAAGCCCCTTCTTGAAGTGAGACATGGTCGGGGAGTTTGTAACAGAAGTCTGCTGGAGACGAATAAAATCCAGTGAGAGTTCCGTCGATCGGGGGAGTAGCTGCGAAGTGCATTTCCGGACAGAGGTTGTAGTGACCGGAAAGACAGGAAGGACAGCGACGACATGGATAACCAGGCTCGAGAGCAATACGATCGCCAACTTTGAGAGTTTTGACCAACGATCCTACAGTTACTATGGTACCTGATGATTCGTGTCCTAATACCATGGGATCCTTCACAACATATGAACCAATAGCTCCCTCAACCCAGTAATGAACATCTGATCCACAGATACCGGTATAGTTTATGGCAATAAGAACATCGTGTTCAGATTCAAGCTTTGGAACTGGTCGTTCTTCGAATTTCACAGAGAAAGGCTTCTCGAGAACGAAAGATTTGTTCTACAATTAGTATTGAGTTAGAAAGAACCTTGAGATGACAGCAGAAGAATACTTAGGGGTTCTTACACTTTTTCCTGCTGTTTCTGCCATTGTGGTTGAGGGTTTTTGATGCGGATTTCTTGGATGTTGACCCTTTTATTTTGTGAATTGAATTGAATTGAATAGCTAGGTTGAAATGGTTGATGAGATGAGATGTATAGTTTTTGAGCTTGTTAGAATGTTCAATGTTAAACGTTGAATGTGCTTCGGTAATATAATATCACCCCACTCTGGCAGCGACCCCGCGATGAATTTATCCATATGTATCCATATTTATCCGCACCAATCAGGGAACATATCGTCATGGAAGAAACTCATTCCGAATATACCGTAATTAAGTGGGAAGGAAAGTATGAAGGAAGGAAGGTATGACGAGGGAAGAAGAGAGCTTCAAACAGGTATCCTGAAATGCTATATGCGAAGATGAAGATGAAGTTATATGCGTCTATGAATGTTTTTGATTGTTGAAAGAGATTTGGTACATTCAGAAGTTGACTTCGAATTGAATTTGTAGGTATTAGGTACCGGTACTGCTATTGAAACTGTCACAAGCTCTCAATCATCAATCATCAATTAATGAAGGAGTTTGTAGCTGAAGTAAAGTATCCAACCCAGACCCGATATCCCAGACAATCCAGGAACAAGAACTTCTTTCGGTGCACTGCTCGTTTGGGAATTTGTACTCAAGCTACCAGTAATAGTAGTAGTTGTCCCAGTGCTACTGAACTTGGTGACTGTAGATACAGATGCATCACTTAAAGATGTCTCTTGAAGCGTTGCAAATCCGGTAGAAGTGATTGTCAAAGCTGAAGATGGATTTGTAGAGGCAGTGGGAGAGTTATTATGTGAACATGTTGCTGGAGTGAAAGTCGTCCAGGAATCAATGGCCGAAATGTAGGTTGACACTGCAGATTGACACAGCATGGTATTTCCAAAATTGTAGGTTTCCGCCGTCACATTATTATCGATTGGAAAGTTGGGGGAATATGATGTAGGATATGAAGAAGACATGACTGAAGAAGACAATTATTAATAATTATTAAAGGAAGAGAAGTGAAAATGAATATGAACATTGAAAAAGGGAAAAGGGAAATTAAGTATACAAGTTGTTCAAGTTACTCTTCTTCAAAAACAAGAAAAAAAGATGATAGCTTCCAAATCTACTCGAGTAGAACATCTTCCAATCAGAAGGCGGTGAGTTTGAATTTGGCAGAATAATTGAATGACGCCCATAATAATTTGAGTAATTTGAGATTAGAACCACGAAACCTAACAAGTACTACCAAAGCTAAATCAGCTCCAAACTTTTGCCAATTAATTCGATCCTTGTGGCCAATTGCTTAGTTATGAAGCTTCGAATCATATAAACTCAATTGAACCCAACAACCCTACAATATCTTTATATCCTCTCAATCACTCAATATTTTCGTCCTCCTACCCCACCGCATTTCATTCACCCATACATTATCTCACAATGTCGACTCCAACAAGAGGCATGCTCCGCACACTACGTCCCACAACCGCCCTACGCTCCTTTGGCCCCTCATCCCAACGAACCTTCATGAACCTCCCCGGCACCGAACCGCAGACGCTAACCGAAAAGCGCATTCTGCCCTACAGCTCCGCATCCCTCTACAGTCTAATTGCCGACGTCGACAACTACTCGACCTTCGTACCCTACTGCAGTTCCTCGCGCGTAACCAAATGGTCAGCGCCCGATTCCAACGGGAAAAAATGGCCCGCCGAAGCCAACCTCACCGTAGGCTGGGCCGGCGTTGAAGAAACCTTCACCTCGAAACTGCTCTGCGTGCCCGGCAGCATAGTCGAAGCCCTCGGCGGTGACGCCGTCACCTCGATCCCCGAATCCAAGCTTCCCCACCATTCCGCAACATTCCATAGCCCCGCCGCCGCCAACGGTATTTTCCAAAGCCTCAACACACGCTGGACACTCAACCCCTTCCACTACCAACCCCCCACCGGACAACCCCAAACAGACAAAACCGAACTGGAAGCTAGGGAACAAACCGAGGTACTTTTGAGCATTGAATTCCAATTTGCAAATCCGTTGTACACGGCTTTGAGTAAAGCAGTGGCGCCTCAAGTAGCACCGAAGATGATCGAGGCATTTGAGTTGAGAGCTAGGAAACTGTTGGATGGGCCCGGCGCCGGGATTGATAACAAGACATCATTTGGTCATGCAATTAGTGCGGCAAAGAAACTTGGTGCTTGAAAAGACGGGTTTGAAGATTTCTCTAAGAAAGACGGAACCTGGATTTCATGCCTCTCTTGACTGAGACTTTGGATAAAATGTATTATATAATGAAAAATTCTCAAAACAAGACGACGAAATCTAAACGCTATCACTTGGGTCGAAGGGGCGAGTTTGTTTTAACAAATACACCTACCTACATTCTTCCCATCCGACTTATATCAAACGAAACTACATCAATATTCCAATCCAATCCTCCTCAAAAATCAACATGATACCGACCCCAAGTCGGGACAAACCGGTACTTTTATCGTGACCATTTTCCATTTTCCAGATGAGCTACAATGTCGATGTGGAAACTAATTTGTTGGAATAAAGATAACATGGATATAAGAGTATAAACATCCCCAATCTTAATCTTAACTCTTAACTCATAACTCATAACTCATAACAGCCGTCCTCCGATCGCGAAATAAATCCATGTAATAACAGACAGAGGAGATTCCTCATTTTCCCCCTCAACTCAGCTCAAATCTCAATATTCATTCCCTCCCACAAAATATGCACACAGCATCTCATCTTCACTACGCCTCTGCTTCCGCCTCCGCCTCATGCAACTTAATCTTAACCCCATTCCCACTACACATAGTCAACGTCAAATTGAACGTGACATCCTCCGTATCCACACTCTCCATTGCATCAAACTTCTGCAATAATCTGATTATGAAGAAGCTGGCCTCCGTAAGTGCATATTGTTGTCCGATACAGATACGGGCACCCCCATTAAACTATTTTTTACCACGTCAGTACGAGTTCCATTCCAAGATCACACTCTTGCCCCGAATCCATTCGAGACTACGTTTTCGCTGTATGAAGATGTATGTTATGAAGCAAGAAAAAGAAAGAAATAAACGTACCGGCAAGTATTCCCAGCCTCCCTTTCTACCATCCCATCTCTCCGGCTTAAACTCATTTGCATCCTTGCCCCAAATATCCACTCGCCTATGCAACGCATACACACTATATTCAACCATAGAACCCTTTTTCACGAAAACCTTGCTCTTTCCATCTTTGCCCCCACCACGCGGTAACGTCGTATCTTTATTCGCCACTCTAAAGTTCCATGGCACTAGCGGATACAATCTCAGAGTTTCATTCAACACCCACTGAAGATATTTACAATTCTTGATGTGCGCGAACGTGATATTCTTTGGATCATTGAATGTTCCAAACTCGCTTAGGATGATTTCCCGCAATTTCTGGTATCGGATGGGATCTCGGGCGAGTGTGAGAATGGCAAAGCCGAGAAGGGATGAAGTTGTATCGCGGCCCGCGAGCAGAATGTTCAATACCTGTACGCGTAGCTCTATCGGATCCCGTGTTTGTTCTGCCAAGGCTTCGAAAAAGACGTACTTCTTGGTTTCTCCTGCAGGCTTGACTTTTTCTAGATGTTCGGCAACTATTCCATCAATGACTCGATGGCAAGTTGAGATAGCCTTCCTGAATCCGCGTGGCCATATCAACCACTAGAACATGGGATAGTCAGTAACAGCCTATCGTAAGGGAGGGGTTGGACAAGAATAGATAGTTAGATAGACTTGGATTAGGGAGTGAAAGATATACAGATTATGAAATTCTCAAGCTGATTCGCAGACTGGGGAGTGCTTAACCAAAGAACGTATTATACTCACACTATACGGAGCAAATCTCGATCTCTTCGCCATGGCCCTAGTGCCAACATCGAACTCCCTCGCAAAAGCCTCTACATCTGTCTCTTCGCTCTTCATACCAGAAGCAGTCTTGATCCCCGCAAGCTGGCTCTCGACGCTCTGACCCAACAGAAACTCCGTTGCTGTATCTAATGTGAATCGAAAGAGTAATGGCTGAATATCCACTTCGCCCAACCAACCATCTTGTGTCGTTTCAGGCAAAGCCTTCAATAAAACCTGCATATGCCTCTCCTCCATCTCCAAATCACTTAGATTGTCCCGCGCGAATTGTGGTCTCATGAGTGCTCTCGATCGTTCCCAATCTTTCCCATCTTGTGCGAAGATACCAGGACCTAGGAATGGCAGAAAGTTATCGATTCTCTGTGCACCCAAGTCGAAGTCGGGAAATTGTATCCCGAGCATGGCTTTGATGTTATTCTCGTCGATGGTTGCGAAGCCAGCGTTGCCAAGAATCGAATTTCCATACGTGAGAGCATTTACTTCTTGAAACTTCCGTTCACTATCTGGAGGAAAAGTCTTGGATGCGAGAGTGTTAAGAGCACGAGTCACCTGGTCAATACCTAAAGGAAGATTGTTCTTCAAGGCAGGAGGGGCTTCACAATTGAGCTTCTTAGCTTTGATGCGAAGACGATGTGAGTGAATCAAACCACCAACGATGAGATAAACGACATATGAGGCCAATATAGTTAGAACTGTTGAGCTGGTAGAATACCCCAAGATTGTACCCGTGGTGTATTCCATGACTGATACAAAGGGCCAAGAAGCCCGAGTTTCGAAAGTTGAAAGTAAGAGACAAATAAAGAATAGTCCGAGGAACAGGAACAGGAACAGGAACAGGAACAGCAGAAACAGGAAAAAGCCGAGGTCTTATGTATCCTGTGAAATTGTTTGTATTTGTATTACGCCCATGATAAGTGTCAGCACCGATCCATGTCTATATCAGAATGTCCACATCCACTGATGAGAGAAGTGACATGTCAACGGTATACATTGCCACAGTAGTACAGTACGTACAAAGGTGGGCAATACAAAAGCAAGACAAAGCTATCTGATAATCTGAGCCTGTGAAACTCTCACAGTGGAGAAAATAAAAATATGAAATGGAAGGCATCACCGAGAGGACCACCAATTTTCTTGCAATTACTTTCACATCTGGTAAGAATTGGCAAGAATTGGCAAGACTCTTTGAAATATCCTTCCTCACTGAAGGGTCTGATAGGTTTCTTTGATTTTGCTAGAAGAAAAGTGGAATTCCGCAAAACCCGATCCATGTTTGGTGTTTCCCAAGACTTTTGATGTATATCATTTGTGCAACGGTCGATGCTGATCAATGTTGTTTTCAATCTTCAAGAACCTCCCTCACTGGAGGGTATGAAATTAATGGGCGGAATTCCGAGATCCCGTTCTATTTTGAGATCTACAACGAGTATTACTTTTACACAACAATACAATCAATAACTACTAGGTATTGATTTCAAACGTTCGAAACTCTCTCACTAAAGGTTGTACTGCTGTGACATATTTCACTGATTTTTAGGAAAGGTTGTAAGGGACAAAGTGATTGGTCATGAGGTAATTGATGTAAGGTTACATTATAAAATGGGCTCTTGAATCTTGATAATTGAAGGCAGCGGGTGGATTTCAAGGAATGAATTTCTTGATTTCTTGATTACTTGATTATTATATATATGCCGGGTGGTACGACTACCGACCGGTACAGTAAGCATAGAATTCCAAGAATCTTACTTGCATTCACGATAAGAATTATACGTAAAAGACATAATACCCATGATAACCAATGACCGGTGAACAAAAGGTATTGAAGATATAATATCTATGATAACTAAAGACCGTTGAATGAAAAGCATTGATTGGTAAAAGACAATATAAATTCAGAATATTCGGATAGTTGTATGTGTATACAATTCTTGTTTGATACCGGGTACCGATGATATGATATAATAATGATTTTCGTTGTTCCGTGCACTACGTCCGAACGATTTCATCATCTCTTGCGGTCTCTATAATCATCCCTATCCCTATCCCTCCGATATGATCTATTTCGATCATGATCACCATCACGATCACCATCTCTTTCCCTATTTCGACCTTCATCTCTGTCTCTGCGATGATTTCTTTCATCTCTCTCCCTGGCGTAATCACCTATCTTCTTCCTATCCCTATCGCCTCCTCTATGTGAATGTGATGAACCACCAGGTCGTAATCTTTTAGCATCTGTCTTCTGCACCCATGCCCCTAATTCTTCTGCATCTTTCAGTTCTTTTGCTCCTAGGCCTAGTAAATTCTGTCTCCTCTTAACATCCTTTCTGCCGCCTTTTCTTTCTTTGCCATCCCAGCCCATCCCTCTCAATAACGCCGCTCCGAATTCTTCCACTGGTACCGCCTCGTAGTCTTCTAATGTCGAAATATCCGGTGCTGATGCGATGGCTTTCCTATACGCGTCTTCTTCTGTGATCAATTCATTTCCATTTCCATTCCCATTCACAGAAACAATAACCAAATCTGGCCCATTTCGTTTCGATTCCACGCCCATTAATGCCTCAACGGCCAGTTCGTCTTCTGTTTTGAATTTCGGCTTCTGTTCCACTTCTTCCACCTTTATCATGTGCTCAATCGTTCCCTCGTCGTCATTCATTTCCTCCTTGACCTTACTCTTCACAGTCAATCCCCACTTGATCTCCCCATCATCCCCATCAACAACATCCGCACTCCCCCCTTGTTCTGCTCCAGCCCTCCTCTTTTGCTCCTCTTCCGGCAGTAAATTCCTGCCTCTCGTCGCACCTCCTGCTCCTCCCTTTCCCATCCTATCTCTAGCCTCTCCCTTCCAATCCTTATTCTCCTGCTTCGGTATGACCAGCGGCGCCGTCACCTTCTTATCATCTCCCTCTCTGATAACACCTCCATCCGCAAACCCTGTAACGACCTCGTGTTTCCCTCTTCTCCCGCTTGTGCCATGATCCGAGTTCTCGGAATCTTCATCGTTGTGCGCGAAGGAGCTCCGGGGGCGCTTTCCTAAGCCCGATTTAGGCTGTGGTCTGCCGTTTGATTTGGCGGAACCGTTTTTGGATGCTGCGCTCATGGAGAATCCCTTCATGGTAATTTTGGGCGCATCGCTCGAGGGCAACATTCTCGGTCGCGAGCTGTATATTCAGATAAAACTGGGCACAAATCGAAAGGGAAAATCTGTGATAATTTTCTATGCGCGATGATAAATAGGTGATGCGGTCCTGAAATCGGTTCAAAGTTTCAAAGTTATTGTTGTTACTGTTCAGCTCAGGTTAATTCCTATGTCGGAAACTAAACCGGAAGCGCCGCGTTATGCCGTTAGAGGGCATATAATCACGTGATATTAGCGATCATCAAGTTTCTCGAATAGAGTCATGGTACCAATCTAAAAAAAACTGACATTTCCATTGATTCCTGGAATCCTACCTACCTTGAACTTGAACGAGGGAAGCTCTAGAATCTAGATGTGGCACTGAAGTTATTGCTACAATTCATCGCCTTTAGGCTTAATATGCTGAAGCTAGACCTAAAAGCCAATCCTAGATCCCATACCGGTAATGTGTAAACCACCAATGTGTAGGGTTGCAAATCGGAGAAAAGTGGCTAATTACATTCTAGGCCACTGTCCAGCGCCTAGATTGTTGCTTTCCTCAGATACTTCAGTACTCGAGTAGTAGTTACAACATACATACAATCACTGATATTTCTCAAGTCAATAAGTCATCTACCAGCAATGCCGGCAAGGTTGATTACGTTATAAGAGCTTGGCAAAGTCTATTATACTTCTACAATCATCATTCTCTTTGAGCCCTCTGGCTAAGGGCAACCAAATGCATACAACAAATAAATCAATGCTTCATTTCCCTCCATTTTGTTGCGCCCCAGTACTATTCCCTTGGCCTTGATTTTGACTCGCGTTGGCTTGTGCTTGCTGCTGCTGCTGAGTATTCTGTAGTCTCTGCTGGTGATGGTTGCTCAACATTTGAGCATACATCTGTGGACTACTGTTCTCGATGCCCATCGGTGGCCGCTGACCTCCTTGACCATTCATTCCGAGATTGCTGTTCCCAGCCGCTGCATTCATAGCGCTTGTTGCTATGCCGCTTGGAGGTTGTACTAAGCCTCGTTGTTGCAGGTGTTTGTTGTTGGTAAATGCAGCTATGTTTTCGCCCATCAATTTATGAATTTCGCTGGCTGACGCGTGTGGGTTAGTTCTCCTGACATTTCGTTCTATTTCCCCGTATGGGACATTTGCAGGGAGGCCACCATTAGGTAGTCCAGACACGGGCAAGCCTGTCCGAGGAGACCCTGCCTGGGCAGGAGAAGGCGCTGATGCACCTGGGGATCCAGCCATGCCGTTAATGTTGTTGGTATTATAGGATGTCATATTGTTGGGGATGAATCCAGGCTGCGGAGGCATGCCATTTATTCGTGGAGGGGAATTCTGTGCCTGTCCTGGGTGTGGGGAACCTTGCTGATGTGCCATATTCTGCATCTGCTGTTGTCTCTGTTGTAGTGATACACGGCGAGCATGTTCTGCAAGATCGGCGGTCACTGCGGGGTTCAATGGCAAACCCCCCTGCATTTGAGCTTGTGGAACACCATTAGACATTGCCTGTGGGATCCGGAGGTTATTAGGCATTGGCCCTGCAATGCCCATTTGTGGAGGAAGAGGACGGGGTCTGTTCTGTCCCGGAACAGCAAGATGGCCATTCCCATTTGGCTGTCCAATTGGAGGAACGAGACCGTTTGGAAGAGCAGGAACACGTTGTTGGGGCAAGCCATTGGGATGAGCCTGCTGCTGGGCTGCATTCCTTTGACGAGCTTGATTGTCCTGGTGAGATGTTAGTATGTTTGCATAGGTTTCAGCTAAAATCTTGTGGAAACTTACTCTCCTGAGCTGATCCTGCCGCTGTTGGAACACAAGCATGCGTTCCTTCATTGCCTCCTCTCGGTCATGCTTCAACCGACTAAACTCTTGGGGGGTCTTGATAGGTGTCCATGTTTGGGATTGCTCAGCTGGCTTCCTTGCTGCAGCTTGTGCGGCAGACAATTGTTGTTTTTGAGCGGAACTCTCGCGCTTCTTCGCTAACTTTCTCATCGCATCAACTAATGTTAAATGTTTCTGATTTCGTCGTTTTTCCACACGCTGGCTGGTGGTATTTCGCCTTCGAGGAGCGATGATTTGACCATTTGCGTTAGCCGGTTGGGGAGCTTGGGTGGCCATAATCTGAAGGTTTTGTTGCGCTAGTTCCATTCTGTTATTGTAAGCTTTAAAGTATGCTGTTTTTTGCATGTCTGTTGGCAATCCTTCTAAAGTTATCCATCGTTCAAAACATTCCCAAGGGGTGCGTCTCTCGGCACCTGATGAATATAGCGATCGGCTTGATAACATATTGGAAATGAGTGACCAATTATAAGCATACTCTCGCACGAGTTTCTTCAACTCATCATCCTCAGGATACGTCCATTGCGAACATGGACGGCATTCGAAGAAACTTTGTATTGGCATAGGAAATTCTGAAGGTGGCCGAAATTGATGCCCAGCATGAATGCGGTCGCGAATATGCTTGTTGACGGGATCGAATAGACCTATATTGGTCTGTTCGGGTGGTAAAATTGATCGCTCGTGCCTAGATTGGTCGGTTGCAGCATCTTCATCGTCACTATCTTCTTCGTACTCAAATCTGCTCTTTTTGCACGGAGGTCCTTGGAACTGTAATTCCATTCTACCCTCTACGTACTTACTGATACCGACCGCGGGCCGCCTCCAGAAGCGATCAGGATCAACTTCAGAAGTAGGCAGGCCATTACAAGGGACACTGAGTGGAGCACCATATAAGGGCAATTCCTCTAGAAGTTTATCGGTTGCAGGGGACCTACTCAGCCCACAGACAACATCATCATCCTGAAGACCAAAAATCGCAGTAGGGCTGACAGTATCTGTCAGTGTGAGGCGAAGTTCTTCGTCAATATCATACATGGGAGAATCAGCTTCTGCAGAGGCAATCAACTCAGGAGTGGGGTGTGCAAGAAGTTGACTAGTCCCGTCAATCATTTCGACATCTTTCGATGCTTCAGCCGAAACCATTGGTGGACGAGCAGCGCTCACTGTTAAGAATTTCCGTTCCTCGAGGCTGGCTTCGAACCACTCTGCACAAGCATATGCCAGATTCTTAGCCACGGCCATTTTCCACTTCCGTTCTTCTCGAAAATCTGTCCGCATCCATTTTGCTTCTTGAATAAGAACATCCCAATGTGTGGTTGGCCGAATGGGTTCCTCGGACCGCTTAGGTTGGCGTAAAGACCATTTGTGATTATTCTGGAGTCCATATATGCGCTTTAAAATCCTTGTCGTTTGATTTTCGGTGATGGGCACAAAAGCATTCGAGGTCGTGATAGTTTTGTGAGCCGTCTGTAGTAAACCATCCAGGGGAGGGTAACCCGTTTTTTGTGTATTGTGGCTATTAAGATACAAACACGCGAAATAATCATCATGAGGATGTGTTGCCTGCAAATTCGTGCCTCTAGGTATCAGAGCACTGTCGCTAGCTCTGTAAGGCGAAGGCTTCTTGGCAAATACTACGGTTGAAAGTCTACTTTGGCTCTTTTCTTTGGGTTTCTGAAGCAGACTGCGAGTAGACCCTGGGGTACTTCCTCTCGAAGGAGAATTAACGGCCGATCCAGTGTCTGTCTTGCTAGCAGGACTTCTTGCCGAAATAGGGGAGGTGTTCGGCGCGGGCGTTTCACCCAAAATCTCGGATACAGACTTATGCCTGATTGCTCCGGACGCTACCCGTGTTGTCATACGCTCAATTGGTGCTTGAACCGGTGCTGGAGTTGATAATGAAATTTTGCGTATTGTAGGGGTGAGTGTACCGGATGGTGGCGTCTTAGAAACAGATGATGGCTGTCTTGGAGCCTCTTCGGCGGGAGCTGGTGATTTTTCATTTGCGGCAGCACTACCGTCTAGCGTAGTCTGACTTTCGAATGAATCCTTCACAGTAGCCACGTCCAAATCCATAGCGTCGACTGGTGTCTGTTCCTCACCTTCAGAGTCCGGTACTTCAATTTCTTTGGGGGTCGCACGAGACTTCTCGATTCGCTCTTCGCCATCTAGTCGCGGGACGTCTGCACCGTCATCATTTTTGTCCGTGACGTCCTCCTCAACAACATTGCTGGCCTCACGTGCCAGTACTTTCGGTTCTTCGACACCCCGTGAACTCGGAGCTTCAACATCTACTACTTCAACAACCGCGGCAACTCTAGAACCAGATGCGGCTTGGTCCTCCATACGAAGTTGAGCATCAGCTGCCATTGGGCTACTACCAAGTACTTCAGCACGAGAGAGCTCGTTTTGAGTCTTCTGTCTCCTCTTGTATTCATCATCCTGAACAATGTCCTCACCAATGGATTTCGAATCCGTTGGAGTTTTGACATTGTTCTTATTATCTGGGCGTTCGGGATCTTCGTACTGAGAATCATCATTCTCAGGGCTTGTATCCCTAGAGGCATCATGTCGAGCTGGGGTAGTGGTCGAATGGGCATCTATTGTGGAACTTGGGGAGGAAGCCAGATCTACCGCAACCCGGAGAGAATTCGTAATTGAATGCCTACCTCGTTCCCCCTTATGTTCGTGTGTCTTTTCAAGTTCCTCTAGTCGAGCTTCCTGAACCTCCCTTGCTGGTAAATGGGCAGTTGCAGCATGATGATTCTCGTCATTAGCACCGAAGAGAACTGGTTCTTGCAAATTTGCAACGTCCTCAGCAGATGGAGGCACTGCTTTCCTTGGATCCACCCCAGGGCTTCCAGGAGGACTTTCAACAACTCTCTTGATACGGTCAATTTCAAAGTTTCGATTGGACACATCATGATGTTGCTTTTGTGTCGCAGCCATATGACGACTAGCACTTTCAGATGCTGCCTCCTCGACTGTAACATTTGGGTCGGCTGGAGACTCCGTGGGTAGATCTGCCTGCGAGCTCTTCGAAGACGATCTCCGTGTAGAGACTCCAGTCGCCCCAGGCGCTGGCCCAACATCAATTTCAATTCTCTCGACAGTTCGTCCTTCATTACTATTCTCGATTGGAGTAGTTCCACGGCTCTTCCGTGGTATTATCTCGTCACGCGTCAACAAGTGTGGTGTCTTCTGAGATACATCAGTTGTTGAAAGTTCTGTACCTGCTTGGCGAGTTGGCGATTTTTGTTTTATAGAATCGGATCGAAGTTGGCGTCGGGTGGGTAGATTTGATTCATTAAAGGGTCGATCCCTATAAATGATATTAGTTAAACCATATTGAAGTCGCACAGTGGTTGTAGTAAGTTTAAATTCGTGAATTTATGGAATTATAGTACATACTGTAAAAGATCGCACGCCTCAAGAAATTGTGCTTGTGCTGCGGTAGTTGGTGGAGCATTGGGGTCTATCCTAGGGATTTGGGGTATAGGGTCTTCATTGTCGCAAACTGCGAATAACTCGAGTAGTCTCCTCTTTCTCGACGTAACAATTCGACTAGCACGGTTAGTATTTTAAAAATAATATCAATAGATGCGCCAAATGATGCGACTTCAATTGATTAAAATTAAATAATTCATATACCTTGCTTCTACCCGTTTTGATCGTAAAAAGCGTTTGCGATAGGGAGCTGCAACCTCACTCATAATATCGCGACCACGACATCCGTTTTTCAAGAAAACGGATGTATTCCCGAACTTAATGGGAGATTCTGAGATGCTTCGAATAATGAATTAAATGAAAACCCGTCGTTGTGAATTGATAGTAGATGTGCGTTCAAAGTGCTCTATTTACCGTGTTCAAAAATTGCATGGAAGGACAATCAATAGAGGCAAGTAGGCAAAGTTCGCGATTTTAGGCATTTTAAGCGATCTCGGGGAGAGACGTCATGAACCTTTAACACATATTTTCGTCTTCTAATACTGTTTACAGATTTTCTTTTAGCTTTCGAGATATCTTCATGTCTTTGAGTTATGTATCATTGAGGAAGATGTTGTTCAGGTTAAGTATCCCTTCCCCATGGTGTTGATAGAATGTTTCGTGGACATCTTTTGTGTTGCATCATAACCGATAACGCTAGAGGGAAAAAAGGTGAGGGAGGGGTCTGAGGTCTGAGAGGGGAGGTTGTGTTGTGTTTATCAAATTCCACATTATTGGAATGCATTTGATACTTGTTGCCTTTCCTGACATATCTTATTTATCCCAATAAGTAAATATCTAGATAGTCAAAAAAGAAAGCTATCCTACCTACTCGAGTAGGGATAGAAATATTAAACATGAATAGTCAAGTTTTCGTGATTCATTCTTTCCTTGCATGTGTTATTCCGTACGTTTTCGTCCTCCCTAATCTCGACCTTCAGATTTTGAATATTAGGTCAGTAACTGTATCCCTTCCCCTTCTGATTCGATTTGGATCATGACGGTCTCGGGTTTTCCCCCCTTGTAATTTCTGGCCATAATTTTGGCAGCGTCCCTTGATAATCTGATTGCAGCCTTATGTTGCATATGTGATTCGAAGTTACCAGTATCTACCTAGGTAGATAATTGTTCCAAATCTTTCTGAACTTCCAGGACCAATATTGACCGATATTTTCTGAGCATTTGTAAAAAATTCTGAGCACAGAAAGAACTGTAAAGAAGTGAGAAGTGATTCAAAATTTCATTTCATAACGTCTGCCAGCTCTTTCCCAACCTTGATGTATCCAGGTACCAACCAAAGAAGCACTGATTTACAAATTATCGTGATTGTCTTGCTGCTTGCACGCTTGCCATCGACTTCTTTCTCTGTTGTTCACCAACAGATGAGGTTCTTCTCGTGTCACCATTCAGCGCTAGTCTTCGCCCAATGTTTCCAAAACAAACACAGCTGCAAAATAGGACACTAGCAATCCATATCCCAGCCTCGAGATTACCTCTAGTGGCTAGATCCTCTGACCCGGACTCTGAATAATCAACTGATTGATGAGATACGGTACTATTTTTGATGGAAGCGGCTGGACTCGGCAATAGGTCTGAGTTTGAAGCAAGAAGAAGTGCACTTCCGGTAGCCCCAACAGCGGCTGAAAATGCGAGGCCAGGCTTGGAACGGTCAATGAGATACCACAAGACTGGGTTCACGAGGGCAAGGGTTAGAGACGCTTGCATATCAGATGCCCAAGGGAGTTTGCGCTCGAAAGAGGATTAGTAAAGGTCAGTATGAATGTTGCAAGAGCACTCACTATTGCAAAAGCGATTCCTACAAAGGCGCCCACGCTCCTCACTGCCAATATCCAGTCTCCTCCAAGGATACCTTGCGAATCGCTGGCATCGATCGCTTCCTCTGATGAAGCACCAATGTAGTTTCCAAAGGGCGATCGCATTTTTTCTTCCCATAGTTTGTCTACGAGAGGCAGCAAACTTCCCAGTCCCACACCAGCAATACCCCAGAATACAAGATATCTCCAATCATGGCTGGGTTTTATAATTGACTCCACTTGAAGTGGCGCAAGATGTCGGTCATCGTGTAGATGTCTGACGAGCAGACCATACAACAACCCTAAACCAAATAGCAATATAGAACGAAAAATCCGGGAAGTTATAGTAGCCGACTTTACGGCCGGGGCCATGACAAAAGATTGTCTTCGATAGACTGGAGGGCTGCGTTCTAATTCATGGCTTTGAGCTCCTGTCCCCCATGGAGTGGATGGCGTCTCTGGTTCGTAATCATCATGGCCAGTTGCCGAGTATATTCCTCCCAAAGTGGAGGATGTTAAATTGAGGATGGAATGAGTGCGACTTGGTGTTTCGAGAGTTTCGGATGAAGGGGCGAGGGTAGGACTTGGAGGTTGAAGGGTAAGAGAATGTGTCTCAAAGGGCCGAAGTGGCTTTGGACGATAGATAGGTGGGGTAGCCATTATATGATGCTGACTCTGACAACAGGTTGGAGATACTCTCCTCCCAAAATCTGCCAAAAAGGAATGAACCGCTAATTTTACAAAGGACCTGTTCTTAGTCAATAAGATGCAATGCATATATACACTTCAGTCAATGATCCAAGGGCCGTATTCATGTAAGATTGCAACGCTGATTGATTGACGTGCCTTGTAATATGTGAAGGACGGTTGGCAAAAGTCTGAGGGAGGTAGGTACCTTTCAATGTGTTACTTCAACCTCAAATACGCAATACGCATTACGCAATACCTAGGTATACCTTAATTGAATTGCTCAGGGTCGATAATTGATAAAGCAGAGAAAAGGGAGGATAAGATGTATAATAGGTAATAATGAAGGATATAGGGATATAGTAGAAATGGGGAAGAAAGGTGGTAGGTATGTTTCGTATTGAAGAAGTCAGGAAGAAGGTCATGCACCGAAATGTTTGGTTATTAGGTAGTGGTTCATCGATATTTCACATGTCTAAGATTTATTAAATACTTGCCAAGAAATTATCGGAGGGTCGGAGAATCTACATCCGGACTTGGGAAGGAATTTCAACTACCGGTAATATATTTTATCTGGGGTAGTATGGGTTCAATTCCTTGCATTAAAATTTATCCCTGTGTATGTGGTTGGGGTAAATGCTGCCCAGTTTGAATATCTATCAGATTGGAGTATGAGTAGGTAGAATGACTGCAGTTCCAGTTGGCATTGTACGAGTATTTGTACTCGAGTATTAGCATATTGACTTTGGGCTAAACAATACTGGATGGTATTGGATATTCACTACAACTTTGGACAATCAACTGATATTCGTCAGACGCTGACGCATTGATAGTAAGATATTGAAGCTACTTGATTTGCGCCAACTGATATGCTATCAGACAACAGTTTTGAAGTACCAAGGTACACCATTGCTAGATCAGTACTCGACAAAACTATACTTGCGAATGCTATACACTACTTTAGTACATTCCTCCCTACTTATTTTCCTGATATTTCTCACTTCGCTTTCTTTTTCTTCTCTCTGCATATAAACCGTCTGTACCCAGTGGGAGCTTCGTGTCGGCGGCGTGCCTTTCCAACTCCAGATTCGATATATATCCTTCAACTATTGTCCCGTGTTGACTCTGCAGTGATATCTCCTCGCCCAAGGCTCTACTTTCTTCCGTACTCCTTGCACTCCCGACCAAAATACCATGAATCCACGAGGTAATCCATAGAAAATGTGTAACCTCGCTCGATTCTAAAATCAATCTCTTTATCCCCCTAGTCTTGATTCTAGTCTTGAGTCTAGTCTTGAGTTTGTTATCTGGACCACTAGTATCCGCTGTAATGGCTATGTGAATATAGGTTATTGACGATAGGGAATATGTCGTTGGCTTAAATTGCGAAACAGAGGTCTAAGAGAATGACTACACGGGTGAAGAGACTCATGATAACGTTATTAATGAGAAAGATGGAAGGAGGCAGTAAAATCCCCGTGGATATTCGAGGGAAGATAGAAAGCTTTCAATACTGGACTTAGACTGTAGGTTTGCCTATGTATGGCTGTCTATCCGAAGCTTTTTGAGAAAAGAAAAGCTCCTTTTATATCTGAAGAACCGTGGAGCTTTAAAGATTGTGAGCCGTCTTTGTATACCCAACTCATAGTGTTAATCCGCAATGACAGCTATACCTACCGGGAAGCAAGACTAAAATAGACGGAATTATAAAATATAATTGGTACTGTATTTGCGTACTTGATACAGCCTGTATAGCGCTCATTCTCTCATAATCAGTCAGTGTGGGTAGACTTTCTTTCACACGACAGTTACAACTCGAGTTTGTGTATTGAAAAACTCAAACGCCTAGCCAATTTAATGGCGATGCTACTTTCTCAGGAATGTCGAGTAACTTTGAAGTTGTAATGAAGTTGAGAAGGGACGAGAAATCAAACGTGGAAGCAACAACTTACTTAATTAAAGCGGCATACATAACTCTAAAGGCGGCTGGCCCCAATGCAAATTCCATGCAGTCCATCCTTGCAATAACTTTTTGGACCTCAAAAGTTCCCGAGAGCTTTTTTTTTTCTCAAAGGCTGATTTATCAACCCACTGAAAATTCAAAAACAAACACGACATGGCGAAAAGAAAGAGAAATATAGCTGCTAATTCGGTGCCTGCGGTGGCAGTATCATCTGTTCCAACGAAGAGATTGAAGCAAACTGTCACGCCCAAGCCCAATTCCTCCAAACCTACTACCATCCAAATCATAACTGGATCTTACGACCGAGTCCTTCATGGCATCACCACCACAATACGCTCCGATGATGACGTCCAGTTTGCAGATACTTTCCTCTTCAACGCTCATACTTCTGCTATTCGAACTCTAGCACTCTCTCCTCCTTCTGCTCCAGTTCCTAAGCAATCACAAAAGATCATCCTCGCAACCGGCAGTACTGACGAGCGCATAAATCTCTACCACATATCCGCACACCCTCCATCTAAAATATCAGTTCCTGCGATTCCCTCCCTCACATCTAAGGCCGTTGTAGAGAATCCACAAAACCGCGAACTAGGTTCCCTACTCCACCATGCCTCTTCAATCACTGCCCTATATTTCCCAACCCGAAGCAAGTTAATGAGCTCTGCAGAAGACTCTACAATTGCTGTCACGCGAACGAGAGACTGGAGTTTGTTAAGTACTATCAAGGCGCCAATACCGAAAGCAGTAGGCAGGCCCAGCGGTGATACTGCACCGCTGGGGGGGCAACCAACTGGAGTCAATGATTTCGCGGTGCATCCGAGTATGAAACTTATGCTAACCGTGGGAAAAGGAGAGAAGTCCATGAGGTTGTGGAATTTGGTAACAGGAAAGAAGGCGGGCGTGTTGAATTTCGAGAGAGATATGTTGGGCGAGGTGGGAGAAGGAAGATTTGCTAGCGGAGAGGGAAGAAGAGTCGCATGGGGTAACACGAAAGAGGGTGGAGAGGAATTTTGTGTGGGATTTGAAAGAGGACTACTGGTTTTCGGGATGGATTGTAAAGTCAGGTGCAAGGTGGTACCAGAACCGAGGACCAAGATCCATCAATTGTCTTACGTGCAGGTTGGAGATGAGGAGGACACACAAGTTCTGGCTGTCTCCACGGAGGACGGAAGAATATTGTTCTACTCCACAAATTCCGGGGACTTGGAAACTATCGAGGCTGCCGAAGGCAAAACACAACCAATACCCGCAGCCAAACTATTCGCACAACTCGGCGGCAGAGATGGTGGAGTGTCCGGACGTATCAAGGACTTTGCCGTCTTGAATATCGGAGAAGGCCCTTCAAGATATATCCTTATCGTGGCAGGAAGCAGTGATGGCGCTGTCAGATTATACAAGTTATCTACAGCGACAGATTTGGCCCAAAGTGGAGTGGAAGTCAAACAGGTCGGGAAATTGATCGGCACATACGAGACCGGAAACCGCGTTACGTGTTTAAAGGCATTTGTTATGTTACCAACTCCTGAAGGAGTAGAGGACGAAGAAATTGAGATAGATGAGGATGAGGATGAGGACGAGGAGAGTGCCGATAGTAGTAGTGATGATAGCGAATAATATACCCTCTGATGAAGGATTTTCCATCATTATTGAGTTTCTATCCACGGTGTTTATTTTTTGCTACAGATTCAATCATGTATTCATTCTCACCAGTGAATAGAACTTCTTATCATATCTCAATCCCATACGTCGAGACTCAAGCAGTACAACCGGTTTACAATAAACGTGCATGGATCGGTTAGTGCAACCCACTTTTATATACCTTCAACCCAAACCCACACTTCCTAGAACAAGTGCCATGCACTGATACTAGAAGTAGATGCGGTTCATTCAATCACCACTCTATCAATGACAATGACATTAATATTTTCACTGAGAAGGCAAAAGGGGTTGCAAGAATAAAGTTTCTTGAAATTTTGTTGTACACACCTCCCCATTACTCCTTCCATTTGAACCCCAGAGTCTCCTCTGATTTCATATCATTCATCTTTGCTCAACATCAGCATCAACATCGGCATCAACATCAGTATCAGCATATAACAAGAGGTATGCACCAATAATCTTCCAGATTCTCAAAACAGGACAGCCTAGTATCAAGGAGATAAATTGGCTTCTTCACAGCTGCTTGTGTCTCATCTCCTTTGCCGCACGGTATGAGCTTTGGGTACTGACTTCGAGACTGTGCATCTAAGCATTACTCACCGAAGGCCATATATTCGTTCGATATCAAGGCATACATAGGCTAAATTCGGAGCTGTTATTTCTTGGCTGGGATCTTTCCAATCTCGTCGACCTAGCTTTCTCTGTGGACTGTGTAGGTAGTATTCACAATGTTCTTTTGGGCCTCCACACACATAATTGCGAACATACGGTTGACTATCGCCATCATTATGGAGTTCGACCTTCTATGGACTGGAATATACGAGTCAATATAGCATATCTCTCTTGTGAAACATGTATGAGCAACTACTCCCGTAGAATATCCAACACTAATCGCAGCAAGTTAATACGCTCTGTATATATATATGGATGGAAGATACTGAATCCAGAGCTCGCATACTCTTAGCGCAGGCAGAAAGGCTGCTGGAAGAGCTAGCTAAACCTTATAACGCAAGCAGCTTTCCTCGCCTCGAATACTGTACACCATAGGATATAGGGACGCGAGATTGAGAAACTGAAGGCACACTTCCATGAGGTCTTCACGGATTCTTGGGATGAAATCGGTACCAGATCTGATCGACTTACTTGGCCTTTTTGCGTTGACTTGTACGGCTGGCTACTCGGCGTAACAATAGACATGATGTCTGCAGCCATTGTCTATGCATATTTACGAGTGATAGTCGAGAGAAAGGAAGAATTTTCGCATGTCCAGTGTGTTGATCGATGTGTATGCAGTTTTTGATACATGATGATAGTGCCGGTCTCTACACATACGGGAATGGTGCTCGGAATCGCCATCTAGGCTGTAGGTTCGCAAGATGTTATTTCCCTGTGAATATCGATTGGAAAAGAGGCGTATGGAGGTAGCGACTTTTGGTGTGGATTGGTACTTTTTTTTTCTTCAAGTTAAACTGATATTTTGACCGATGACGATTATCTTGCCTTGTCAACTCATCACTTCCTACTTTATGAACCTAGAGGTCTATGTGGGATATGATGGTTATGCTATCCCGAGTCCGAACAATAGTGTTTCACTGATTGAAATAATTTTTAGGCGTGAGATCTAACCGTTTAACTTGATTTCTAACTTTGAAACTTCAATATTCAGCTCCGGCATGTAAAAAGCACACTTGAGAGTCAGATTCATGCATGCATTACGTTACTAATAGCTGCATGTCAAGGCTGATGTGGACAACAGTAAACGTTGTTGTAGTAATTAGGAATGTATTTTCTTCTACGGTATGCTTGGTATCATTGTTTTTGAGTATCGATTGACTATAATACTCTTGGTCACACATTATCTTGTTCTCAACCCAAGAGACTCTTTAAGCCAATCTAGGCATCTGACGGTACCATTATTAAATGGGGCCCCTCTTATGGTAAGATTGTTTTTAAGCCCAAAATAACAAGATACTGTACATATACCGGTCCCAAACATCATTACCAAGCCTTCAGAGCTTCTCTGCAGGGAATGACCGGTGAAAATCGTGGTTCAGTCTCATCCCATCAAACCAGCCATCATATGTTGTTTGGGGACGACTGCCTCTAAGCTTTCGACTGCTTGCTTGACTTTGTCTCCATAATCGATTGGAAAACCATCATTTGATTCATATCCAGTCAAACTACTCATACGACCAGTTGTATCGTTCGCAAACATCTTCAACATCATGGTACGTCCACAGACTTCTTGAAACACCTTCAATGCAGCATTCTCACCACTTTCTGCCACATGTATTAGTTGCAAAGTTAAGACGTAAGAAATAACGATTTTGACGATAGATCACAAAAGTGTCTTGTTTGCGTAGCGGCAATAGAAGGAAGAGAACGTACCTCGTGGTGGATTGCAAAACTGATCAGCATGTTGGAGAGGAAGTCCGTTCAGAACATTGTCGTATTCTGAAAGCATATATCTTCCACGCTTCACAAAGTCCCGGAGAAAGTAGATGCTTGGGTGCTTGTTGTTGACCCAGAGGGGATGTGACTCGAGTGCCCTGTATTCGGATTAAAACTCTGAAAAGGACATTTGAAAAGGTTAGATATACTCAATGATTCTATCTAAATGATTCTTGATATCATCTCGAAGTTGAACTGTGACAGGTGCCATGATGAGTAGATGCTTTCTTGAATTGCAGAGGGAAATCCGATGAGGATAGAGGGGGGTTTGATGAAGACACTGTATGAAACGAAAAGTGATGCATATAAATATATGTTTGTTAACTGATGTGATCGTGGCCAACTTGGCCTTAAGAGGTTTCCAGGTTTCCAGGTTTCCAAGGGAGATGATCAACAAGCTAACCTCATAGGTTGAGTAACCTACTGAAGTGAATGAATGCACCCAATCTGAACCTACATAGGTACGTTTCAGCCCCATATGTATCGAGATGATAATATGTGCCAGGCAATGCCTAGCATTTGCCTCTTCTCTCGATATCATTGGCATATTATTAGTTGATTTGGAGACCCGGTTGACTTGGATGACTAATCTTTAAGATCCCGTGATATAGGTACCTCGTGATATGCGATTTTAAAGCTAGACCCAAAAGATCAATCTTGGCGCTCCCAAATTTTCGATTTTGAAAATCCATATCCCTAAATGAAATCCAAAAACTTATCTTAGAAACACATCTCTCTCGCGAGAAGAGGCATACACATACAAGTGTAGGTATCTAGGTACCGATACTGTACCTTTAATGCTTCATATATCTCATCCCCCTTTCTGTGTATAATATATACTTGTACTTGTACTTGTACTGTAAATTCCCCTATTTGATTTAAAAGATCATCGGTAGACGAAAAGAAAAGTCCGGCGGTCTGAGCCAAAACAGTCCGTGCATATTGTTGAAACTCCAATCAAGACTAGTGGCCCCTCAATTAGCGTCTCTCAAGCTCAACAAGCTAAGGTAAACGCCCTAAACGGTAAACGTAGCTGGAACCAGTACCTAGCTTATTATTATTAGTTGTCACCTTCGTACCTGGTGAAGCTCAATTGCAAAACCATTTCCTTTCCTCTTTTCTTTACATTCAAAGGAAAGTTGAAAAAGGGAAGATGACTTCCAATTCACAGAGTGTCAATGACTCTGAGAGTGATTTCGAGTTCATCGAAACTCCAAAAGCTTCCACACCAATTGAGAAGTTCGAGCCATGTGGTGTAAGGACAACAGCTGTAAGTTAATGAAAAATTCCCAGCATTGCCCCATATCTGTCAAATACAATTCTCGGAAAACACATATGACAATTGGATCTAACATATTATGGTAAATAGTACCCTGCTATCAAGAATGCTCCTTTGCCTGCAGATGCTTCTGGCAATGATAGTTTCTCGAACATTCTTCTCTTCTCCCTCATCGGCGGTGTCCCTCTATACTTCTCTTGGAAGGTTGGCGGTGGATTCAAGACCACCATCTTCTTCGCTCTCATTACCACTATTCCGATTCTCCTCGCATTCTGGACAGTGTTCTCCAGCTACTCCCCACGCAAGAATGAGAAGGCCAAGTACCCAGGACGTCCAGTCGAGCATTATCTTACCTTCAAAAATCAAGCCGATAAGTTGAAATACAGCGGAAAGAACAAGATTCCTATGGAGACATTCCATAACATGTACTTTGATGGAGATGTTGACTTCAACGGCGACGCTCTCGAGGTTCTCGAATACCGACATGACTGGGCAAGCTTCAAATTCACCATCAGTCTTTTCAAATATGTCTTCTTCAACTTCGCACCAGAAGTTATCATGCATACCCGCTCCCAGGGTGAGTGGCAGACCTTCCTTTACATGAAACTTACTAACGATATTGCAGACGAAGAACAAGTCCGTGACCACTATGATCGTGGTGATGACTTCTACGGCTGGTTCCTCGGTCCACGAATGATCTACACCTCCGGTGTTATCTCTGACATTAACCGTGAAGAGACATTGGAGGAATTGCAGGATAATAAACTCGGCATTGTCTGTGAAAAGATTGGTCTTAAGCCCGGTGAAAAATTATTGGATATCGGTTGCGGATGGGGAACCTTGGCCAAATTTGCCAGTGTTAACTTTGGTGCAAATGCTACAGGTATCACTCTCGGTCGCAATCAGACTGCTTGGGGTAACAACGGACTTCGCAAATCTGGTATTACTGAAGAGCAAAGTAGGATTTTGTGCATGGATTACCGTGATATTCCAGTTCCCCAGGGAGGTTATGACAAGATTACGTGTCTCGAGATGGCTGAACACGTTGGTATCCGACATTTGACAAGCTTCTTGAAGCAATGTCACGATATGCTTGAGGACGATGGAGTCATGTTCCTTCAAGTTGCTGGTTTGAGAAAGACTTGGCAATACGAAGATCTCATCTGGGGTCTTTTCATGAACAAATATGTCTTCCCTGGTGCTGACGCTTCTACGCCTCTCAACAACTATGTTAACTCTCTTGAGACCGCTGGATTCGAGGTCAAGGGTGTCGATACTATTGGTGTCCACTACTCAGCGACATTGTGGAGATGGTACAGAAACTGGATGGGGAATAAGGAAAAGGTTGTTGCCAAATATGGCGATAGATGGTTCAGAGTAAGTCTTCATCATAATTGCACAATCAGACGCACATACTGACAGCAACAGATCTGGGAGTACTTCCTCGCTTCATCCACAATCATCTCCCGTCAAGGATCAGCGACCTGTTACCAAATTACCTTAGTGAAGAACCTCAACTCCGTTCACCGTATTGAGGGAATTGCCACGCAATTCGGATTGTCTGGTGCGCTCTCTGCCGCCAAAGCTAATGTTCAGGCATACCGATCCAAGAAATCCGCAGGTGAAGTCAGCGCATAAATGAATGTACGAATGAATAACCATCTTAAATCGGTATTGGTTTAGGAGAGCCTCAATATAATGTTTCAGTATCTATATATGGTATCGATGGGAATACATAGAGCTAGATGCGTGAGTGTATTCGTGGTTATATGCGAGAAGGAGTTCAAGAGCGATGCCAGATGTAGAAAAGGCTTTAAGCTTGTGGTATAATTTAGGTGATACATGTGCTTGTGTACCTGAATACATGTAACTCCAATCAATGACATTTCGCACCAAATTGTTCAAGAGTGATTCAAATATACAGAACATTTCCAATGACCTCGATTGATGCATTGAATATGTTGAAGTACCGGTAATCGATTGTTGAATGTTAACACTTGTACAATGCACTTCAGCCCCTTTTCCTACTCAGATGATTGTCTTATCATTTTGTCGCAAAACCGGTGAAACTTGCGTTGGAGGCATTAAACTGTCGCTAAGCCCAGCCTCTAGCAGATTATCTGAGCTTCGTCATTCCCACCCCAGGCCCGTGGCATCTTCGACCAACCTCGAACCTATTCCTTCAAATAATTGTCACAAATTTACCTTTCTTGATATCTATTTCTTTTTTGTTCATACTCATAATGTTCTCGGGTTCGAACTCATACCTTGGCGGCAATAGTGGCCGTCAACCACAACAACCACAACAACCACAACCACAACCACCACAACAACAACAGCAACAATATGGCGGATTTCAGCCAAACCAAGCTTTTCAACCACAGCAGACTGGCTTTCAGCCACAACAAACTGGCTTCCAACCTCAACCCACTGGATATGGAAATGCGGCTCCTTTGCAACCCAATTTCACAGGTTATCCCCTTCAAGCACAACCTACAGGATATCCTCAGCCAACTCAACCAGGTTTCCCCGGAGGTCAACAGCAGCAGCAGTTCAACAATGCTCCTCAACAGCAGAGCTTTCAAACGGGAGCTCCGCCAATGCCACAGATTCCGCAGCAATTTCAGCAGCCTCAACAGGCACAACAAGCTCAACCACCCCCTGCAGCTCCTGTGCAGCAACCACAAGCTACCGGATTTGCGGCAATGGCAGATTCATTTAGATCTACTGCTACGGAACCATCGAAACCCAGAGGACGCAGAGCCTCTAAGGGTGGAGCAAAGATACCAAGTATAAGACTTTCTTTTATTACTGCCCAAGATCAAGTAAAGTTTGAAACTCTTTTCAAGTCTGCAGTTGGAGACGGGCAAACTCTATCTGGAGATAAATCGAGAGATCTTTTACTGCGCTCTAAACTAGATGGGAACTCATTGTCGCAAATATGGTGAGCTTCAAAACATTCAAAATATGTTGTATCATGCTAATGATTATGGTAGGACACTCGCAGACACTACAAGATCCGGACAGTTACATTTTCCCGAATTCGCTTTAGCTATGTATCTTTGCAATCTCAAACTCGTCGGCAAGGCGTTACCATCCGTACTTCCCGATCAGATCAAGAATGAGGTTTCCAGCATGGTAGATATCATAAACTTTGGTATCGAGGATGATGGATTGGCAGGAGGAAATGCGCCGAGTTTTGATACCAGACAAAATACCGCAACACCTCCGACTATCCAGCAGCCACAACCAATGCCTTCAAACTCTGCACTACTCACTGCGCAATTGACTGGGTTTCCTGGACAGCAAAGCAACTTTTCAGGCGGATTTCAACCGCAGCCGACAGGTTTCCAAAGCTCAATGCAAACCGGTTTTCCTGGGCAGCAAGGAGGATTGCAGCCTCAGCCAACCGGATTCGTTCAGAACATGTCCAACCCCCAAGCAACGGGGTACAATGGACCGCACCCCCCCATGCCTCCTATGCCATCGAACTTCAGTTCTCATTTATCCCCTGCTCAAACGGGTATGCCAGGCGGTATGATTGCTCCATTGAACAACCAACCAACAGGGATTCCAGGACAATGGGGATTGGTCAATGCGCCTGCATCTGGATTGCCCAATATCGATCTACTGCAATCCCGGATGATGCCGCAGCAAGGCCGTGAACAAGGCAACTTTACTACAGCTGGTATAACAGGTAATGCTGTCATTCCATGGGCAGTTACGAAAGAAGAGAAGACTAGATACGATTCTGTCTTTAAAGCTTGGGACGGATTCGGAAAAGGATTCATTGGCGGCGATGTTGCCATCGAAGTTTTTGGACAGAGTGGTCTTGAAAAGCCCGACTTAGAGCGCGTTTGGACCTTAGCGGATCATGGTAACAAGGGAAAGCTTAACATGGATGAATTTGCGGTTGCCATGCACTTGATCTATCGAAAGCTTAATGGATATCCTCTACCAGCTCAATTGCCCCCTGAGCTTGTACCCCCTTCCACACGTAACTTCAATGATTCGATCGGGGCTGTCAAATCATTACTTCATCAAGAATCAGACTTCCGGAAGAACTCTGGCGCCACGCTTTTGCCCCAAAAGACTGGAGTGAGCTATCTCAAGAATCATTCATTCCGTGGGGATTCTGGAGTTGGTCGCACAGGCCGTAAAGACGCCACAGTATTCAAGAATAACGATGATGATGTTGGGTATAAATCTAGTGCTCGTCGCAGACTTGGAGCCTCTTCCCCACGACCTTCGTCTCCAGGATCTACAACTTCTAATGATGATCTTTCTCTGGATCAATTAAAGAAGAAAGTCAGAGAGAGACAAGTAATGTTAGATGCAATTGACTTCAAGGATGAAAATGCTGCCGATGAAGATGATGCCCTTGATCGAAAGGATCGTCGTGAAGCGGAAGATTTGTATCGTCGCATTCGTCGTATTCAAGAGGATATCGACACGCACCCAGATGCGTCGCTGCGCAACGTTGATTCCGGCGCCGAGCGTCGTGCTATGAAGAGACAATTACAGACATTGACCGACAAGCTTCCAGATATTGCTTCGCATGTTCGACGAACGGAAAGAAGTATTGCTGAAGCTAAACTTGAACTGTTCCGTCTAAAGGATGCCAAAGCCCATCCTGGAAGTGCTTCCAGCATCGTTGGAACTGGTCCTGGTGGCGCTGTTACCGAATCGGACAGACTCAAAGCAAGAGCTAAGGCCATGATGCAGCAACGCTCTGCTGCTCTCACCGGCAAGAAGATTGAGACAAGCAATGATGATCTGGATGCGCCAACACGCCTCGAAGAAGAAAATCTAAAGATCAGAACCGAGAAGGAAAACAATGAGCGTATGGTTCAAGATGTCGAAGAAAGTGTCCGTGATTTTTCACGTGGCTTGGAGGACAATCTCAAAGATGGCGGCGAGAGTTCATCTAGCGAACATGAGAAGAGACGCTGGGAGGATGGGTTGGGTGTTGAAGACGAAGTCAAAGACTTCATTTTTGACCTGTCAAGAAGTAGCAGGAGCGCAAAAGTTAGGACGGACGATCGCAGTAAGGAGGCTCCTCGTGCTGAGACTTCTCGTGCCAGCCCTGCTCCAGCAGCTCGTAGTGAAACTCCATCGTCGCAGCCTTCATCTACACCAACCCCTGCTGGGGGTACATACTCACAATATAAGACGCCAGAAGATAGAGCAGCGTACATCAAGCAACAAGCCGAGCAGCGCATGGCTGAGCGTCTAGCCGCTCTTGGTATCAGGGCACCCTCTAAACCTGGAGAGACAACACAGCAGAGGTTGGAGCGTGAGAAGAATGAACGTGCGGCTAAACTCAGGCAAGCGGAAGAGGAAGATGCTAAACGTGAAGCTGAAAGGCAAGCTAGAATTGCTGAGGAGCAGGGCGTCCCTCCACCTACACCTGATCAACCAAAGGAGACCACGAAGAAGCCACCTCCACCCCCTTCAAGGAAGGCCGCAAGGAGTGATGCTAGTGAACGCAGATCCGAAGAGGAGAGAATACTCAAGGAGCAAAAGGCACAGATCATTGTCACAAATGAGCTAGAGTAAGCGAGTTCTCCACGTGGTTGAATTTCACATTGCTAACTTTTATAGGGACGATGCTCAACGACAAGAAAATGAACTCGCAAAAGAACGCGAGGCAGCTCAAGCTCGTGTGAAAGCCTTGGAAGATCAAATGAAGGCTGGGAAATTGAAGAAAGAAGAGGAGAAAAGGAAGAGAAAGGCTCTCCAAGCCGATACCAAACAACAAGAAGCTCGTCTCGCGGCTCAACGTGCAGAAATTGAAGCCGCTCAAGCACGTGAGCGGGAATTGCAACGTCAACTGGAAGCTATTGATGATTCAGACTCATCGGATGATGATGAACGCCCCGAGCAAGTCACACCGCAAGCATCAACACCAACTCAGGGAAGTCAAGAACTTGAGCGCAAACAAGTTTCTCCACCCCCTCCCCCACCTTCGATTGCTGTTGCTGTATCACCAGTTCCTACTGCCGCAATAACAACCAGTCTTCCATCGCCAATCCCCCAAATTACGAGTCCTATTATTAGCCCCCCAGCTGATGCAGAGACCCGCAATCCTTTCCTGAAGAAGATGGCCCAATCTGGTGACGCATCTACCGCATCTAATAATCCATTCCATCGTCTTCCTTCTCAAGAACTTCCCAAGCCTGAACCAATCCAAGCTCAGCCAACAGGTAACAGACCATCTCGTGTTCGTCCAGAAGAAGACGATTGGTCTGTTGTTGGATCTGACAAGGAGGATGATTCTTCTGACGATGAAGGACCTGGTGCAGGTGGCGCACGCCATTTGGCATCGATTCTTTTTGGAACCATGGGGCCTCCTCGTCCTTTGTCGGCTATGGGTAACGAAGCTACATCCACTCCTCAATCCCCTGCTGCAGGATCTCCAGTGATGGCATCCCCACCACCTCCACCACCAGTACCTAACTTCAGTGCTCCACCACCTCCTCCAATGCCATCAGCTGGTGCACCAGGTGGTCCTCCTCCCCCTCCTCCCCCACCACCGGGAATGGGTGCTCCACCTCCACCACCAATGCCTCCGATGGGAGCAGCCCCCTCGGCACCATCTGCTGGTGGACGACCCGCTGGACTTTTGGGTGAAATTCAGATGGGGAGATCTTTGAAGAAAACACAAACTAAAGATAAGAGTGCAGCTGCTACCGCTGGAAAGGTTTTGGGTTAAGTTCTTATCCAAGATGAATAGGGACGAGGGAAATGGTAATGGATGGTTGTGATTAGTTGAGATATTTCGAAGAGGATGGATTGTGTTATACAGCGCTTTTGGTTCGTGATATTGGGTGAACATAGGGGGTGATAGGCAGAGAATAGGAGACCTAAGCATAATCTGTAAGCGAAGAAGTACCAATTTGATGACATATCCGTTCGTTTCATAATTATTTGATACCTTCTTTGCCGTCTTGAGTCCCGTGCCTTTGTAATTGAGACTACTAGGTATTTTACATCGAGGGTCGTAATTTATACATTGCCAATCAATAGTTTTATTAATCTAAGCCTTGTTCTCCACAATATACATTCTCCAACATCAAACATCAAACCCCTTATCAATAGATTACGCACAGAACAATATAACCTCAAATGGCAAACTAGAGTACAGTAGTGGAAATTGGTGATTTGAGTAGTATTACGGCTATGCAGGGCTATTCCAACAGTTAGATTAGATTTACTAGAGGATTACTAGGGATCAGATGCAGTTGAGTAGTTGTAGTTGGGATCAATTGATCAGACCTCGTTTTTGTTCGTTTTTGTGAGCTGTGAGTATTTAGTAATTTGTTGGGCATGAGAGGAAAGAAAAAGAGAGATTATTCTTTGGAAAAACTGATTGTATTGATTTAGGGAAAAGAGGTGGAGTGGGTGTTGTAGCTTTGGTTTTTGTGATTTGATTTATTAGATGAGTTAGGATGGGATGAGATGGGATCATGAGATGAGATGAGTGAGTGAGTGCTATGAGATAGTTTTTGGAGTCTGTAATATACATTTATATGATTGTGGTAGTTACGTAGTATAGATCAGTATTCAAATCTTGTAAATACAGAAGTACAGTGAGAAGGTGTTAGGTTTCAACATAAATAAGCTGATAACTCTCCGTTGCTCAGATCGTGAACTTATGTTAAGAAGGAATATTGATAGATGATAGATGATAGTATGAGACGAGAAGATGCGAACAAAAAATCGATTGTATCTTCAAATCGGGAAAGGGAAACATAAGATGTATCCTGTGTAACAGGGCAGATAACGAAGAATAATTACACTCCTTTGACTTTAACCCACAGTTACTTTATCATGAAATTATTTACATGTAAATCGCCCATCACTTTGCCAATGAAACTTTTCATATTTGTACGGCAATCATGTTAGACAGCATCCGCGAGGTTATCTTTCCAAATGGGAAGTAACATGATTGTAAATGTGTTCGATATTCGGTACCGGCACATAATATACAGTAGTATTCGGCAAGGTAACCACGGCAGCTCGTGGTAGTATTTAGGTATTACCGATCGGCGGCTAGCTACCATAAACTCATGACCGTAGCACAACACTAGTACTTGCTTGCATAGAAGCTAGGATGATAGAAACAGACTCGGAGCAGTGGAAATGGACAGTGCCCAAGTATCACCCAAAAATACGATCTTGAGTTCGCCTTATTTCGTAGTTTTGTTTGTACGACGATGGAACTCTAAAGTACTAGGGAGCTAGGGAATTGAGAGTATTGGAGAATGCCTTTCAGTTAGGGACTTTGCCAACAACACATTCTCAATGGAGTAGATCCTAGATACAATATTTAGAACCGACTTTATCGATCTTCATATGCAGCAATGAAAGAAACGGAGAAATGGAACTTTCACTCCGGCTATAAGTGACTGCATGGCTCGTAGCCATGGCGCGTAGAATAGTCCGGTCCCAGGGGAAATAAATACACCGAGAAGCGTCGGGAGGATAAAGACAAGGCCTCAAACCACAACATACTCTGGCACACGGAGGCCTTGACCAGTATTCGTGCAAATCGAATGCCCAAACCTTCAGTATATCCGCTGCCACTAATTATATCCATGGTTTCGTGGCTTGTCAGCTGCTCATGGCGGGGTCACGTGACCAATGAGGAGTTGATGATGAACTGGGGTGCCAGCGACAGGTGTTGTACATGGGAGGAGTTTTTCCCTCGTGGAGACGTTGACTGTTGGTTGGTTATCTCGCGTGGAGATAGGATGCTCTTTTGCCTTTCGTTAGTTGGAGTTCCTTTGCAGGAGCTGCGAATGAAAACTATGGGGACGGGAAGCTATTCAGAGGGATTGCGTGGGAATAGGGGAGCTTGAATCTTCGCTCGTACAACTGCAGGATTGAACTAGATCCTTCTAGATTGATGAAATCAGCTGCTGAACTGAGCAGGAGAATGTGTATCACATCATTCACATTGTTATCGTGTAGAGGAGGCCCGATTTCAGATAGACTTCAGCAATTCATCCGTTAAACTATGATACATATACGTTATGCATGGGGTATTGCACAGAACCAGACTACCGGGCTGCTCGAGAGTCGAAAATAACATGAGAAAACTTCTGTGGCGGCGATATGTATGTCGGATGATCGTGTGTTTGATTTCGGGTAAAAGATGGTCTAGTACAAGTTGTGAGGGGATTGACATAGCTTCCCTACTTAGATCTAAGCTGATCTTCACTGGGGCTGGAGTAAGCGCCAATATGTATATACTCATATGGATGATGTAACTCTGGGGGTTCTAGGTACATAGAACGCAAAGTTGGGGATGTAATTCTAAATTCGATGTCAGCATCAGGATGCAATGTAACCCACTCGCACCAGTATAAAAGCAGATATGATGACGATAAGTACTCAACAAAACCCTCAGTGATTTGCCTGCTGCATCAAAGAGGCACAGCAATGTACTCTTCGTAGAATAGGCTGGAATCGCGGTGGTACAAGCCAAGGGTGTATTTGCGGGGGTTGCAGCGAAGCAAACAAGCTAGGGTTGATAATACTACTCAAGCTCTCTCCATAGTGATTTTCCGTGTGGGCATCCCTTCTCTAGACGAAATCTAGTGCATTTAGCCATCTTTTCCGAGGAGCGGTGCAAGTTCCCATAAATATCCGTGTTCGCTCACCTTGAGCGAGCCTTTGATCTGTTGTGCCTCGTTTCCTGGTAGTCTACTGAGCCCAAATGTCGTTCCTAAGCCCTACAATCAGGCAAAAGGAATCATCGTTTCACGATGCGCCGTTTAGGAATATTTCTATTCTTGGTCTTGGCTTCACAATATGCCTCGACAATCGCGGATATTATTTTCATCGCTACCTCAACTGACGTTCCTGCTTCTCCAACGGATACTTCCTTACCGGCAAAACCTTTCGGGTCGAATAACATAAATTCAGCCGTTGTCGTGCCAGTCATAGTCGCTTCAGTGAGCGTATTCATTGCTGTCCTCCTGATTCTCTGTTTGAGAGTTCCAGTTCCCAAGCGCTTTTTGCATCCTACGAGGGACGACGATTCAACTTTAAGGCCGGAAACCTCGCACTCACGGTATTCCTGGCTTCATCGAAAACGCAGATCGAGACCAACTATATGGCCTCATTCGGTATACAACGGGGGGGAGTTCGAGTCGGGAAAGTGCGGAGACCTGGAGATGCGAGTCATGGAAGACATTCCAGGCTTTCCGGGTCCATTCAGAAATGTACCATTGTCACGGAGAGACACCCAGAAGATGACGCAGGCAAGGATGGAGGAGGAGGCAGAAGCTCACATTAGGGAGATGCTGGAGAGAATGAATCCTGAAGATAGGGCATGGGCCTGTGAGCAGTTGATATATGGGCAAGCGGACGAATTGCGGGACAAAACCATAGGAGCACCATTTTGAGGCTACGGAAGACGAGTACTGAGAACTATTTCGTTATATTATCATGATTGATATACTCACTCGATGGAATGGTGGAGAGTTGATGGTCGTTTGAACGAGGCACATGCGATCTTCACAACTAGTCTTTACTAGTTAAGTCATTCTGCGTAGGTGCCCCACTGGGGTCCTGTAATTTCTTTCATTTATCCCAAACGTAACATATAATATGGAGACCTCTCGGAAAGGTTGAAGCTCATGGTACAGAAAGTGTAAGGAACCTTGGAAATTCCTGGCCTTAAATATTCGAGTAGTCTTTGTCATGAAGCGACATGTATATCAACAATAGAATGCCAATTTACTGCAGTGTGCTTGTATATTTGAGAAGGTGATGAAAAAAGGGTATGGCATTCAAATTACAGTATGGTATTTCGCGGTCACCCCAAGCATTTCCAGAAGCCCACTTGAAAGTAATGATTTCCGTCAATTTCTACAGTAACAAACCTTTGCTTGTCTCAATTTTTGGAAAACGGCCTTTTGAAAAGCCACTCACCCACCTGCTCTAGTATTTCATCCATTCGAAGCTTCCGGATAGCGTCGGCATCAGGTCCTTTGCCGTCCATCATGCCGTGAGTGAAGCCATGCCGAACATCCTTTACCAGTGTCCACTTATAGCTATCCTTTTCGAAACCATACATTCCTTCTTCCCGTTCCTGTTCATTCAGCCCGGCAAGGTCAAAAACTGTACCCCTGGCCTCCTTGGCTAGCATGTCGTACTCTGCCCCGATTATATATATCCATTTGGGGATATCGTCCTTACGCTCGAATCTAGTGCTCAATAGTGGATCTCTAAGATTTTGTCCCGGTGGAATATGGCCCTATTCAAACACTGGTCCAAAATCCGGTAGATCATCCAAGTCCTTTGCATTACGATAGGGTCGCGAGGCTTTCTTCTCGTCCGGTGTGAGCGTGAAGTCCATGACCGGATACCAAGCTACCACTCCCTTCAGTTTCTCCCGCAATTGAGGGACCTGAGCGGCAGAGAAAGCCAAATTTCCTCCTGCACTGAAACCTCCCAATACTATACGCGACTTGTCAATATTGAGATCGGGGTTGTCAGTTGTGGCTTGTGCAACGGCGACAACATCGTTTGTCAGTGCCGGAAATCTATTCGATGGGGTCAGGCTATATTCAATGCCCACAACGATAACATTGAAACGATTCGCAATCGTAGCACAGATCTCGTCATCAAATTCCGCAAACATCAAGGCATGCCCTCCGCCATGGAGATCGAGGTACAGTGGAAGCGGTTCATCATCAGCTTGCTTGGATATTGGGACAAATATCCGTGTTCGCAGATTTGGTCGACACAGGTATGCCAGCAGCTTCGTAGGTCGAGCTCCTGGTGGTACTGGTCGCAGAAAGCGCAGGATTCTGAAGGTCAATACACTATCTTGAGTCCCCAAAGCTGGATGAAATACCAGGCGCGCGTGAGGATTGGAAGCTGTGGTTGGAGGAGTTCTGTATGTTTAGACACTATCTTTGCGGCTTATGAAGCTTGTCAGATATTGAATAAAGTACTTAGTAGAAGGCCCTATACCTGGCCTGAGAAAGCTCATCCTATTGGAGGACTGCGCGTAAGTACAAGATTGTATCCGAGGTGGTTTCCTACATTCTACAAACCAACTTACTGTGACGTTTTGTTCAACGAATTGAGAAGTATTACCACAAGGACGTTGTATGAAAATACAGTACCAATAATGCTCTGACGAACGAATGAACGGAGACTTCGTCACTGGAAGCTTAGCTTTAAATAAGTCGACCCACCAAAAGCTAAATACGACACGTGATCAACTTACAGGGAGCCGATGACCTTTTGGCGGCCAAAATTCTCTGCTGCTGTTGTTATGGTCAGAAAGCTGAATATTGGAGATCGAAATGACGGAAAAGTTACAGAATCTGATTGACTGGGCTACAGCTTCTGGGGCCTATCTTCACCCTGATGTGGAGATTTATAGAGATGCAGTAACAGGATTATCGTTCAAAGCCCAAAAAATAATACCTCCTCAAGCAAGTATTGTACGATGCTCATACCCAATTTCTCTTTCATATCTTAATGCTGTTGGCAAATATTCTCAATTTCCATCCACGGAATCTTTTCCTGTTGAGTTCTTGGAGACTTTAAAGCAAGAAGATCCCAATATCATCGGACTCTTTTTCCTCGTGCAGCAATATTTGAAGGGCGATCAATCTCCATGGTGGCAGTATATCAGATTACTTCCTCAGCCAAATGATCCCAAAAGCCTTGGGATTCCGATCTGGTGGCCAGAGGCAGATCAGAAGTTCCTCGCTGGAACAAATGCAGAACCTCCACTTCAGAAGCGGGAACAGATGTGGAGAGATCAGTGGAAGAAAGGAGTTGTACTTCTGAGGAATCTACCAAACCACAAAGAATACAGTTATCTCTTATATAAATGGGCTGCTACCATATTCGACAGTCGAAGTTTTCGGCCATCCTTGACAATTTGTCCCGAAGCACTGAGCGAGAGCTCTACAGATACAAATCTTGATCTAGACCATATCCGCAATGATAGATTTTCGATCCTATATCCACTTGTTGATATAGGGAATCATAATGGTATAAATCAAGTAGAGTGGAGAAAAGACCATATCTCCAATTCCTTCGATTTAGTTCATTCTGCCGGTGTTCCGCAGGGAGATCAAATCTACAATTACTACGGGAATAAATCAAACAGTGAACTGCTACTTGGTTACGGTTTCATTCTTCCACCAAACGATTCTGTGAATAGGGACATTGTCAATCTTAGACTTGTCCCAGATCCTGATGCTATTAATTTGCGCAGAAGTCAGGATTGTCACAAACAACCGGACCAAAAGCAGCCCGAGGAAGAATTCATGTTTGCTATACAACTACCATCTGTAAAGGAGTCACAAGATCCTCGCATTTCAGAATTCCACAATGTCGAAGAAGGCCTGGTAGATTTGATATGCTGCATGGTAGCAAACGAAAGAGAGCGTTCATACATATCAAGGTTTCCGGATATATGCCCAGAAAAGATTGCACAGCCGTTCCAAAGCCCGTTATGCAGAGCCCTACTCCGAGCAATCTTCATTCTTCAGTCCAAACTTTCATACGAGATTACGAGAATTGAACAAACTGGTGCGAGTCTAGGGTAAACACACATCATCGTCTCTATATTCAACCAAACTAACAATGCCTCAGTGTCCCTCAAAGCTCCAACCAATCCCTCGCTAAAACCTACCGTATCTCTCAACTCACCACATTACAGTCCGCCATCCAACCCCTAAATAAGCTAACTACGCAAATTCTCAGCCCATCTCCTCAAGCCTCTTCACCTTTCCCAACCGGCAATCTGAAAATCCTCTCGCTCGAGCAAGCTTACTCACTACTCGCCGAAGATTCCCCCTGTCTATCCACCTCTATCCACCGGCTTATAGCCGAAGATCAAGAAGAAGAACTCCCTCTAGATTGGTCCGTTTTATTAGAAGACTGGGCTTATACATATTTGACGCTCTGGATCTACACCATCATGCTTAAACAGTCCAACAAACAGATTGTATGTCCCATGCATCCAGAACTAGAACATTGGATCCGAGATCAGACTTCGTGAGTTCTCATTTCTTCAATCCATACATTACGTCTTCCCTCTGACCTCTCTCCCCATCCAACTAACCCCTCCACCACCCACCCAGAATCTGCCCACCGCCCCACGACAAAGACCCCTCCACCACCACCAGCACCTTCCACGGCGCCCCCGACGAACACTCCACCCTCACATGCACAATCACCCAACTCCGAACCCTACACCCCGAACTCTATTCCTCCCCAACCACAACTTCTACACACGACACCCACGACTCGCACTTGCTGAACCTCGCCAGCTACTTGGTCAAGGAACAGGCATTTATGGTTCCGTATGAGATGAGGGAGGGTGCGGCCCAGGGACGGAAGATTAACCAGTTGGTTTTGTGTATTTGGGGGGCGTAGCTTTTGGTTACGGGTAGGATTTGGTGGCGGGTACCTGGTCTCTATAGTCGGATATACTTGATGCATTCATTTGTGTGTGGATATATTTTAGTCGGTACGATTGATATTCGAATGTGGAATATAATCCCGATTATATGATTTCCCATGAATTCATTCTTTCACTTCATCTTCAAGTCCCCTATTCAAGTCATGCATTAACCTATTTTCATCATACCGGTCTCCCCCCCGGAAAACCTTCTCGTACCACTCATCCTCCCCACAAACTTCCCTCCACTCAATCCACTCCCCCTTCCCTGTCCAAATACCTCCCCTTCATTTTTTAAAAGCCACAACTACCGAAACTACTACCTTTCCCCACGCTCACGCCTCTTTCCACGCTTGCTCCTCTCTACATTAGGAAAAAAGGTGGCCGAAAGTGACATTTTAATATTGACTTTCAATCGAGATTAGAAAACAAGTTTGTGAGAAAAAAACAATTGCAAGATATAAATTGATAACAAAAAAATCTATCTTTCAATAGAAATATAAACTTAAGAGGAGTTGGGTTCAAGAAAATGCTCTGTTGGGAAGAGCAACTATCTGCATTCGAAAACGTATTAATGTTTCTCAGTGTGTGATATATTGGAGCTGATTTGGCATATTGAATCTGTTCAAACCACCTGGTAAAATCCTTCGGGTCAAAATATGGGGTGTTCAGCTTACTTTATAAATACCTTGATAACCAAAAGATTTGATGTAAACTGTCCATATCGATGGATAATCGGGGAAAATGGATGACAAGCGAATACGTGTATAACAATCGAGGGCTGCCTACTCTATCAAGAGCCCCTCAGTCGTTGCAATTGATTGATAAATCCATATCCACTTTGTGCCCTAATCTCGCCGATACTGGAGATCGAATTATCTTGATCATGCAAAGCGTCCACTCTTAGACTCAACTGCCCATCCTGTTCAGCATCTTTTAACAGGTCTCGATGTCTGTCTTCAACCATCTTTGCAAGACTCTCGACAAATTTACTCCTTGCCCGTTCTTCTGCCGTGCCTTTCCATACGAATGCAAGATCTTTCAGCTCTTGTACTCTTTTAGCTGCTGCTTCAATACCATCAATTGGATCATTGCCAATCAACAAATCGGCAATTTCATCACGTATCCTCTTGGAGATTTGTTGCCCTTTCTCTTCCGTGCTGTGTGCTTCTGACCCTGGCTCGGGAGCGGAAACAGAAAGAAAGGATGAAGTGACCGATACTTCTGACGGCGGAAAGGTCCATGCCATTGCATCTCCAAAAGTCTTTATGACAGTATCTAATCGAGACCGCACGAGTGTAAGAGTCCGCAATTGCGTTATGTAAGGGGGATCGACGATTTTGGTGCGACTCGTATCTTCTGCGGTAGGCGTTTTCGGTATCGTGACAGTGGCAGATCGCGCCCTAGAGGTGCCATGCAGGTCTCCAGATCTCGTTGGTCTTCTGGACAGATCTTTCTCGAGTCCCTCAGGAACGAATTTTGTAACATCATCATGTAGTCCCTCGGTCAATGCTTCTGACAATCCCAACGTTTCTCCTCGCAATACATCCACCTCATAGGCCAAGCGGCTCCCACTTCGCAATATTTCATCGGTGAGTTGTGTAAGAGTAGTCGTGAGTCTGGTGGTGTGGGCGCTGAGATGAGAGAGGAGAGTTTGTGTCTGGGTAGATAGTTCAGCCAAAGGTACGCTGTTTCTTGAAGATGATGATGTATTCGAAGACTGTAAAGAGGGCAAAGCTGAATTGAGATAAACTGCAGGATCAAAAGACGAGATTAAAAATGGTTGAAGGGCAGGATCTGCAGTGTGGGCAGATTTCGGTAGTACCGGTATGTTTGGTTCCAGCATAGAGTCGCCGTTTTGAGATTGAAAGGAAGGTTGAGATTGTTTGGCTCTAGAATGGCTATATTGTGAGAGGGGAGTAGATTTATTAGAATCCCAAGGCATTTCGAGAAACAAATTTCTGATCAATTGGTTATCTTGATAGTGAGAAGTAGAAATAATGGGTACGAAGTTTCGAGCCCTTAAAATATTGGATGACTAATACTAGGTAGCTTCCTTCACCCCCTCAAAAGCTAGCGGGGCAATGGGTAACTGGGGGCAGTTATTTATTAATGGGGCAGCAGTTTATATAATAATAATAATACAGGGATAAAGGGATAATAGCTTCAATTTATGTCATTTTTCCACCTGGTAATAAATAGCCAACTTCATTCACTTCATCTTTTTTTTTACTTAAAAATATCTGTATTATTGTATACTGGTATGCTATAATAGATTGTGTTTTATGATTTGAGTTTTATTCTTCATTTCAATTTACTTCATTCACTTCAATTTACTTTATTATTATCTACCTAGGTAACTTCAACTTCCCTTCACTTCCCTTCACTTTCCCTTCAAATCGTCATTCACCTGAATCATATCAGTTCATAACAGCAAATCCAATACTCTATATCAGGCAGGCAACAGAACATTTCAACTACCTACCCAATAACTACTAAGACTACCGAGTACAAGTCCACAGGTGAATATTCACATATTCACATATTCACTACCTTCACTACTTGGCTTATTCATATTATTTCGAGAACTTCTCCACACACATACATCATTCGTTCCATTAAGCATCATAGGTATCTATCTATCTCTCTACCTTCTAATAATCAACCCAAGACTTTCATTTAAAAGATCTCAACTTCCCACAACTCCTCACAGCTCCCCTCACTACTTTTTACATACCTTAGGTTCTTCTTAAAACTTCTCACAACTTACTTCTCAAAACATTCTACTTAAACCTTTCCGACATCCCCTTCAAACTTCTCACAACTTCTCAAAACAATCTTCTACAACCTTTCCGACATTCCTTCAAATATCAAAACTTTACCAAAAGTTCCTAATTTTAGAACAAGTTTCTATCATCCTTTTTTACTATTTCAGAGTCGATCACATTACCAAATATTTGAGCTGCATAATGACTCGCAAACATTTTCTAGCAGATGTCAAAGCAGCATCTGAAAAAGGAATCTCTAATGTTGTGTCTATCAGTCGGGGAGATGATGATGGGGATGTAAACTTTTGCTTTTTACATGATAAGACAGATCCCATAGAAATTGGTCTTTTGGCACTAGGTATGTTCTACCATGTTCTGTTTCTATAGTAAACAGTTGTTATTTTTACCAGCGGAATTTGCTGTGGATAAGCTCACGTTTACAACGTTTCCTTTAGTATGAAAAATCATCTTCAGCAGGAAAGGGACAGCTGTTCTTGGCTATACTAACTTGATTAGATGTCTCCGACTATCCGGCTGGAAACAGCTTCATGGTTTTCACTAAGTCTGATGGGGCTCCCAATTCTGTCATCGAAGCACTGAAACAACTCACACCTTCTCCAAATGGCGTACATTTACCAGAGTTGATTAGCGACATTTCGCAAAAGCTACAGAAGGCTCTCTCGACCGGTTCTCGAGAAGCTCCCATCAGCCTAGACGACGAGGATGAGGATGACAACACGGAAGACTTGGTCGATGAAGAAAGCGAAGATGACTCTGGTTTCTCCGATGATGACGAAGAGGACTTCGCAGATGACCCTACAACATTTTCTAATGGAAATGATGTACCGATATTCACTATCAAACTCACGCCAAAGGCTGTTGCACAATTGAATCGACGTATTAGAGCAGACGTGCGTGCTGTCAGAATGCTCGGTCATCGGATCGGAATTTTGAGTGGCATGAAAGCTGAATCTCAGAGTAGTATTCTCAGTATCTCCATTCAAGCTACCAAGCTAGGCCTATCTGAGGAGGCTATGCAAGCTTGGGACATAGAACCAGACCAATATTTGACCCTACTTATTCGCTACTCAGAAGGATACAAAACCTACGAGACAATAATTGCCGAGCCAGCAAAGAATAGTGGAATTGATTTCCGTATCGGGGTGAGCAATGGTTACAAACCATCCGCAACAGCTGCCTTTTCCACCTTCTCAGATTCGAATAAAGCTGGTGTCAAAGATTCTAATAATGATAGTTCAATACCCCAAGTGAACGCACAGAATCAGAGCAGAGAATTCTCCAGCATCTTTATCAGTAGCTCTTTGAATGAGTTCATCAACACAAAGATGATATCAATACTGAAGCTTCGCAAAATAACCGGCCTTGGGTGGGAAGACGCAAAGAAGTGTTTTGATGAGCGGCAAGGACGACCTTTTGAAGAACATGCAGATTTGTCTTCCGACAAGCTTCACTCCCGCACGAGTACTGAATTTCAAGACCATGCTTCACGAATTCTAACTGATGACCATCTCACCGATAATAACGGCGGCAGCCTTTCATTTCCGCTTCTCGCTGCACAATTTGCATTGATGTATCTAGTTCGCTGCACAGAATTCTGTCTCGTTTGCCATGACAAGATCAAGGCGGAATTTGAGGCACTGAAGCCTTATGTCTGTGATAAGCCCTTATGTTTATATCAATATATGGCTTTGGGTTTTGGACCCAGTGTCGAACATGTAGGTGAAATGTTGATGCGTATCCTGAATCAAATGCTGATCATGTATAGGAAATACAAACCCAGCCGTATGTTGTAGATCTTCTCCTGAACTTTTGTTATACTAGTGCTTGGGTAAGTCTGTCTGCATAAAACCTTTCCTGGGCCATACCTAATTCTTGATAGGGAAATCGAATTCGGGAGTATCCAACAGGCATGAGTCTATCCGTTCCACTTGTTATCCCCCCTTCTGTGCACGCGATAGTCCCTGTCGTCTCATCAGATGTCTTGGATGTTTCCAGTGCGGTCGCTTTTCCCCAGCCAAGCTCGGATGGTCCTCGCAACCAAGTGTTTGATGTCAAGTACGACGTTGAGGCTCACGAAGTTACATTCGAGAAAAAGGATGTTCCTGTTTACAAAGGAGATTGGGTCCGTATTTTGGTTGGGTCAGGAAACTCTCAGGCGTTCCACTTCAGAGTGGAAGACATATCTTGTTTGCCGATAGTAAAACTCTCAGCACCAATTACACAGAGAATCCAAAAAGCAGCAACCTCGCAAGTCCCATCTGTCACTTTCACCACCAGTAACGTGCTTGCGGCTCGACTGGCTATTTACAATCGCAACTTCGACGACATGTCTGTTCTGGAGAAATGCAGCACTATAACCATGCTTCTTGACACTTTACCAACCATCCTGGAGTTAAGAGAGTATATCGACCGACAAAGTCGTACGGAACAACCGAACCTTCGCAAATGGACAGAGCGCATATCTCCGGCTGCTTTGGGATTACTCCGATGGGTTATAGCCTCTAATCGCTCATGTCTTGTTCAAGTCGACAAATGCCCTGGCCAAAGTGATAGCGTTCTCGCTGAGGGAAAAATTAGACCTGACCAGAAGGTATCTCAAATTGGTGAGAACTGGGTTCAATTTCGATTTGCGCAAGGATCGCCAGACAAAGAGCTACGTTTTTTGAATGCCCTTAAAGCCCAGCAGACAAATTTGAACCCAAATTATCCTACTATTTTTGCCTTTCACGGTAGTCCGCTACAGAACTGGCATAGTATCATTAGGCATGGATTGGATTTCAAAGAAACGCTGAACGGACGAGCCTATGGACATGGTGTTTACCATGCACAAGATCAAGCCACATCATGTTCATACAGTCAAGGACGAAATATCCTGGTAGGTTTCACATTTTTCACCATCTATCTATGGTCTAACTTTAAATTAGGATTCCTGGCCTGGATCTCAGCTCAGAATTTCAGCTGTGATGAGCATTAACGAAATCATCAATTGCCCTCGTCAGTTTGTCAGCGCGCATCCATATCTCGTGTTACAACACATCGACTGGATTCAGTGCCGATACTTGCTCGTTCAAGTTGACCCTCTAGCAACATCATCCTCGGCGCTCCCTTCAAATTCTAGGTACGTTTGACATTTGAGGACTTTTTCCTGTAAGGGTATCTGAGAATCTGTGGTCAAGTATGCTAACGGTGTTTTCTTTGCAGTGATATCAAGTCTGCGTTCGAAATTAAGCAAGATCCCGAATACACCGCTAGATCTATAAACGGTAAACCCATAGGTGTCCCCTATTGTGCCGCTTCAGTATCCAGAGCATTTCGCACCGATAGCTTTGGTGGTACTTCCCAGTTCAAGAAACATAAAGGTTTACCTTCTCTTGTGAATGGAACCACTTTTGTGAGCGAAGAAGAAGATATTGAGGATACAAACTTTCTGCTCTCCGAAGATGAAGGTGATGTCGAAATCTTGTAAGTAAATCAATTATGTATACTTTGTCGGCTTGAGCATTATAAGTGCAAACGGCTTTGGGATGGCATTCGATGGAGTCATCGACCATCAAATCATCCGACTCTGTGAGCTATACGTTGATGTTTCTCTGGCATTAGTTACTTGATCCTTGATGGGTTCACTGACTGTTTGTACCAGATATTCTACGAGTAATTCGAAGAAGCCAGAAGCTTCAAAAACCGATTTTGTTCCCGGATCGCTTGATCAAACCAGCCTTCCAATGCTAGATTCGCCAGCTTATGCCACCCCGTCTGCAACTATGCGTCTCAACAGAGAATTGCAAGCAATCCTCAAGGTACAAAATTCAACCCCCCTCCACGAACTAGGATGGTACATTGATGAAACTCTCGTTGATAACATCTATCAATGGATCGTCGAGCTACACTCTTTCGACCCCACCCTACAACTGGCCAAAGACCTGAAAGAATCAGGCCAAACGAGCATTGTCATTGAGATACGCTTTGGAAAAGAGTATCCTCACAGCCCACCCTTCGTACGCGTTGTGAAACCAAGATTTTTACCCTTTATGTCCGGTGGCGGTGGTCACGTAACAGCCGGCGGAGCCTTATGTATGGAGCTCTTGACAAATTCGGGCTGGAGCGCCGTTTCCTCGATTGAATCGGTTCTCTTGCAGGTTCGTCTTGCACTTATGAGTACTGATCCAAAACCTGCACGTCTGGAAAGCAGAGGTAAACAGCAACAAGGTGAGTATGGAACTCATGAGGCTATGGCAGCTTTCATTAGAGCCTGCAATATGCACGGATGGGAGATACCTAAGGATTTTCAGGACTTTGCGTCAACACCCGGAGCTAGTCATTTTTAATCAGCCACTTCGAATAGCGGTCAAACAGATCTGTATTTCATGCATTTCATGCATTTCGAGGAGTAAGTGACTGTCTTTGGCGTTTACAGGCTTGATGAGGAACACAATATGACGGCGCTAGGAAAGGGAAAAGACACACGGGTATTCTAGGTCTGCTGTTGCTACTTTTGCTGGTCCTGTTCCTGGTAGGCTGGCGTTGTTGTCTCGCTTGTGGGAAGTCGAGAGGCACATCGTGATAAGATGATTTAGGAAACAAACACCCAAAATATTGTGCGGAAAAGGGATATTCTTTACCATTGAGGCGTCATATGTGTAATGGCAAAGTATGTCGATGAATTTTTCATAGGATCTGCAATGCAATAATCTTTTCAAGAAATCTCAATTGTGATTTCCCATGAGGTGCTTATTATAATCAATATGAAAGGTTTCAGTCTGCAGACCCTAACCCTATCATACCTCTTGAAATTCAAAGCATAGAGGAAGAATTTGTGATGTGGATTGTCTTGTTGGAGTAGTTGGAAGTCATAGTACCGGATATATGAATACTATTCACAGACTAGACTATACATTCGTAGATAACCTGACCTGACCTGACCTTGACTTAGACTTAGACTTTCATACCGTAGCTTACCATAAGCATTTACCATGAGTATTTACCACAGCCATCAGCCATCAGCCATCAGCCATCAGCCATCAGCCATCAGCAATCAGTAATTGAACAAAAGCCAGCAAAGACCTTTTTAGAGCCCCGCGTCCAGATTGTATATGTTGTATCTATCTTGTATCTTGCATCTATTTTGAACCAGCGGTTTTGAACAGAGTATATTGCATGTTGTATGTTGTATGCTACTCATATATATAGGTAATCTTATCTTATACTCGGACATAGCTCCTTCCAAAAAAAATATGGCATATACTCGAGTATATATATGCTATGGATTAAACCGGCTCTTGTAGGCTTTGGTTTATGGGGATCCTCTCGGGGTGAAGGATTGGATTTGGATTATTCGTATAGATGATGATGATGGAATGATGGAGTTATAGGGAGGGAATGAGGTTGCTCTTTTGTATTTTATGTGTTGTATATTGTATGTGAAGAATCAGAAGATTTGAAAAAGGGTTTGAAGGATGTTTGAATCGTGCGGATTTTCTTTTGTAAGGTTACTTTTATTTTGAATATTTTGGATATGTATATAATACTCATAATATAATGAATAATGCAATATTTTACAAAAACTAATCTTTGCTCGCCCCCGGAATCCAAGATCCTACTCTATATACTCGAGTTCTAAATTCTTTGCATCTCCCTTATTAACCGAAATCGCCCACAATACACCCGTCAATCCCTTTCTCGCTTTTTAAATACCATCCCCCCCTTCATCCGTCAAACTCCTGTCTATTCCTCTCATATATAACTCTCATCCACAATATTCCACAACCCGTTTAAACATTAACCTTTTGTCCCCAAATTCCCTGTTCCTCTCGCGCACTAAATGTGCTCACAGCCAACAACTCCTGCATCTGCTCAGTGCCCACACTCATCTTCGTGCCCGCAACAAACCACCTGATACCCTCTGTACAAGGCGGCGAAGTAAGACTTCCCTCATAAGTCCAAAAGGTATCGGCATTATCAATTTCCGCGAGTGCTTGTTTGAGATCTAAAGTTATAGGGATTTTGGCGGTCGCGTCACTGAAGGCGGGGATGGAGGTGAGGGGGAAAGACTCGAAGAAGGTGGAGTTGGCAGTGGTACCGTAGGCGATGGGATCGATGCGGAGAGCGACGACGGCGCGTTCTTCGCCTGAGGATGTAGCGTGCACAAGATGTAGCTCGGCTTTGGAACGGACGGAGTCAATCGTGTGATCGGCGGGCGCGTGGATGTGCCAGCCTTTGAGGTAGAGGGTTTCATTATCAAAGGATAGAGTGGGGTTGCCGCTGAGGTCGGTGGTGTTGGAGGTGAGTGAGAAGGCAGCGCCATAGCCCCAATTGTACAGAGAGCCGTCTGTGGAGGTGGGGTAGTTGAAGGTTGGTCTGTGGGTTTTGGAAAAGCCGCTGGAGGTAGTGAGATGAATAGGGGACTGTTGAGTGCCAGTCTGGCATGTGGTGTAGTCTGGGAAGGAAATGTCAGAGATGGGATGGGAGAATGGCATAGTATGCATTTTGATTGAAGTTGGGAAGGTAAACTTACTCTCGTTGATCATTCCCCAATTATAGGCAGCATCATATGCCCAATCAGCGGTCCCGCCTGCTCTCTTCATAAGAGATTGACTGGAAAGATCATGCTGGGGACAAGCCAGAACAGCTGATAAAAGAGTGGCAGTGAGAATGAATGCAGACATGATAAAAGAATGAATGATTGAATGGGCTGATTAAATGGATGTAATGATTGACTATGAAAGATCGGATGATTTGATACTGTGATACAAGAGCAGCTCGATCATTTATATACAAGAGCTCCTTCCATTATTGTTGACCTGGGATTGCTGCTCTTGGCCATTTTTCACAGCCATCGCAAATACATTGGGAACTTGACGATAAAGCAATCACATGGATTAGGTAAACGGACATATTTACTGAGTTAAAATCAGCGTAATTTTGATGTGCACCGTGTATGGGGCTGTAGATGGGTATGGCATGCAAACTTGAAGATATACTTTTCTTGGCGTCAAATGCCAAGAGCGAAGCCAACTAACGTTTCTGTCGAACAGGCGGAACTATGAGTTTGTTTTGTCATATAGTACAATACAGTACTGAATTCGCAAGGTGATAAGTCTCGCAAGGCTGATCTCTCTCTGGCATAGTCGAATAATAACAAATGAAGTAATCTTGAGGCGCTTGCCAAACCACAATCATCTCGTGGTGTTTGAAATCTATTATGATCTCCTTCATGCGCTGCTGGAGGCTGTGCGTATTTGCTAAATGAAAATATTGGAGCTTTCAAACTTTAATATCTGCCATGACCATGCCATGAGGTGTTCATTTGAAGTTCATTTAAAGCCTCTTCAAATGAAACATAGAACTAAAAATGGTACATATATAGTAGTGCCGCAGCGGTACAAATACCGATATCTGACAAGCATGCCCACTTCATGCAGATATTCAAAAGTCCAATAGAAGCGTGCTGTTTTATCTCTTGAAGATTTAGTATAAAGTATAGAGTAAAGTCTAGAGAAACCCCTCTGCAATATGTCTTCATTGATATGATATGATAATGAAGCGTTCAAGCTTGTTGGTCTGGGAGACCAAGGCAGTCTATCTAAGTATGGAAGTAGCACGCTTGATAAATCTATTATAAGTGGCTCTCCGTTAGTGAAAAAGAGGAATCTCCTCTGGGGGAAAAGGCAGGGCGAGAGATCTTACATCTGAATTCGAAAGGGGGTTAAGAGAGGTTTGATTGAAACTAATAATCCTATTACTCATCATTGATGAGTCATCAATGATGGAAGCCTTAGCGTCGGTGAAAGTTGACAATAAGTTCCGAGGTAGTATGAATATTGTGAAAGTTGAATTATTATCGTTGTGCATCCAGTGTGAATCGGTTCAGGCTCTGCATTATGTAATATAAAATATATACGGCAGAACCCCTCACCGCCAAAAAAGCTCGGATCTAGTTCCTTGTTCTGCCACTCCTCTTCAGTTCATTATTTGTTAACCTACTTATCTACCTATCCACCAAGAACTCTGAGTCTGTCAATCAAATACTCAAATACCTTAACAACGACGGGATATAAAGTGTGGCCAATTAATCTTCACTTCATGCCAATATCTTTAAAACCTCAAAAAGCATTCTTCTACTTATTTTTATCCTATTGTCTCTTCTTTCCTCATTCTCAATAATCCCCATACACTCTTCACTCGTCACTCTTCGCGATTCCACTTTCGCTTTAAATTAGATTGTCGCTCCAGCAGTAATCCGTAACCTCTCCTCGTAGCCATGGCTCTGAGTCCTTCTCCTCAGATGTCCCCGACAATGTTCGGTAACAAAGCTGAGAGACAGCGATCCAACTCACCACCTCCGCATCAACTATCCAAAAGGGACAAACGTCGCTCTATGCTGCAGGAAAAACTTGCAGAAATGACGATTTCTTTTGCTTCGAACAGAGATCTTTATTACCGCGACCAACTCCAAGGGTTACAAATCGATATGAATCTCATTCAGGAAGCTGACGTCCACGGCAAATTTCCCCTCCCAGATGGCAACGATGTTGGACCATTAGTTGTAGATGGTATCAGAAAAGTTAAGGCAATTGTTAATCATCATCCATCCGCCGCTGGAAAAGAGTATGAATCCTTTGCACGAGAGATCAACAACGCCATGGAGGAAAGAGACGTTGCACTGACTACGCACATGGTACGTTGAACTCTTTCCCTTAGAGGGTTTCTCTCCATGCGAAAGGTGTAAAGCTAATTTTCATTCTTGCAGAGAGACTATGAGGTTAGAGCAAATGAAATCGAATCCAGCCATGCCTACCGAATGCGCCTCGCAGATCTAGAATATAAAGATTTGATGACAACTTTGAGAGATCGTTTGATCAATAGCGTCGTTAGCAAGAAAGCACGGCTGTCGAAAGATAAGGAGACAATTGAGATCGGAGAGAGTAATGCTTTACTTCTACACCCAAGCCAATTCGGTCTCGCCAACCCCGCTAGCCCTGGTGGGATGCATTCCAAAAGAGCTACAAGACACCGCCGGGAAGCTGAAGAATTACCTAACATCTTCGACGGCTCCAAGCGCAAGAGAAAGGGTATCGATGGCGACGAATCTCCAGCTCCCTCACGACAACGTATGGACAATGGCGGAAGTACTCCAATATGGTTCTCCGAGCGAAACATCAACATATCCACGCAACTTGACGCATCATTGTACAGCATTGATAAGCTCTTTACGGATAAAGAGCTCGCGATGGCATACAATAGGTCGGCTCAAGCAGCATACAAGTACATGGTTCGTCATGCACCATACGAAGATGACAATAACAGCCCCCAAAATGGCAGATCTGATTCCAGTTCCGACACTGATAATAAGATGAATACAACATCTGGAGATGCTGAGAACGATGGACCGGGTTCTCCTCCATCTGCACCTACAATGGAACGCCAATCATCGCACGTCACTAGGAGCACCCGTGGTGGAGCAACTGCAAACTTCAACACAGGTACGGGAATTGACATTCTTAGTGACTTAGCATACCCTTGCAATATGGCAGCCATCACGAAACAAATCCCTAAATTACCACCACTTCTCGCTTCAAATATGCAGAAAGGATACGTGAAAGGAGATGCTGCCAATCAGCCGCAAGGATTGGCGCCTGATGAGGTCAATGCCGAACTAGAGATCATCAGAAGGGGTCGTACATACAATGATGAGCGAGGCTTCGGAAGAAATCTTGACTTGGAAAATGGCGGGAAAAGTCTTCTCGAAGCTGTCAGCACACCGAGAAGAGCTCAAACATATTACGTTAGAAGCGACAACAAAGGCACAATGCTGAGCAACCTACGAGAAGAACTCGGCGGAGAACCAATGTCAAAGCAAAGCTCCAGGGGTGGCAGTGAAGCCGGAGGAACACCAATGTCGAGACAAAATACTACGGAGGGAACGTCTTCAAGGGCGGGTAGAGGGAGGAAGAATCTGTTGATTTGAGAGGAAAATTCTATTGAAAGATTAATTGTCTGTACATACTTGGTTCATTGGTATCGGAGAGCGTCGGTGTTGGGGAAAGGAACATCATGAGAAAGTTTGAATCTCGAATATTGATGAGGCGATCAGGGGTATATTATACCATGATTTGTTGTCTTAAACGACAACTCTGGAGTTATGTCTATGTATTTTTCGTCATTCTGACAACTCGCCTTTACAATTGCTCTCATTAAATATATTCTCGAGCTCAAAGCAGATAAAGCCAATAAATTCTAACTTTAACTTCACATCATACTCGACGACTCAGTCTAATGATCACTCCCGTCCCAAATAGAAGGTAATTAAAATTAAATTGAATACTCTTAATTAACACTTCGTAGAACACGGAAAAGCTTCCAGTATGTCCATTGATAAAGTCCAATCGAAGAACATGATAATACTCTTCTACTCTATTTATTAGTAGCACAAGTGACAAAATCGTGCTCTAACTAACCACAGTGAGTAAAAGATTGTTTATGAATGCGAGACCACCATTTGTGATTCCTCTTCTATCATATTATATAGGTGCAGAAGCGCTACTGATTCTGAATCTGATTCTCAAGTGAATCGGATTCCCCATGCAGCTTTCCGCTCCGCCGCCCCAACCCAAAACTTTGTCTTGTCACCCACCCATTTTTCCACCTCGATCGAACTGTTCACCAAATAAATTGTAATTTTAAAAGGATGCAAAAATGCAAAAAACATAGTTCCGGTACGGGGAATTGAACCCCGGTCCCCCGCGCACTTTTCAATAGAATGAATGAGAGGCGGAAATGCTAGCCACTACACCATGCCGGATGGTTTGTTGTTTTTTGATGGAGAAGGCTGTGTTGTAAGAGTATATATTGAGTACTGTTATTATGTGGATAAAGTATATAATTATTGATATATCTAACCTTTCATATTATAAAACACTCTTATGATGTCAATACACAATAACATTTTTTTGAAAAATCACGTGAAAACCTTCAATATTAGTACACTTCTTATACTAATCGATAAAATGAAATCTGAAGAGATGATATTCAAGAATATCATTCAATATCTATGATTATCAAATTAATAAGCCTCCGGAGGACAAGCTGTAATATAGGACCTGAGGTGCCCTGAAAAATGATTCGAAGAGTGCAGCGAGGCGAATTGTTTTTCCAGCACCGAGGGGCCGAAGTCAAAGCTTGTTTTTCTTTCTCTTCTGCCATTGCCACTACCAAAACCCCAGCAGTATTATCAAAAGCTACTCCCTCCGCATCAACTCAGACCAGTATTCCTGTTTCTGTTAACGATAATAATAATATTGTAAGTAAACAATTCCTTATTATCATTCGAAATCTAATATCAATATAAGATTCATGCTATCGGTACTGCTATCGGTACTGTCATTGATAATGTTGAGAATTTAACCTCGTGTGAGGATTGGCCGAGTTTCCCCTATGGAATCCATGGCGTTGTGTTCGATGTTGTTATCCAAGCATATACAGAGATGTTAGGAAAAGCATTGGAATCAGTTAGTAAATAACAGCAAGAGATATTGCAGTTACTGTAAGTTCACAAGGCTTGTATTATAAGTAAGTATATACTAATTATAATAATTGATAGATCAACGATGACTGAAAAGAAAGGAAGCAAGAATAATTTGAAGAGGAAACAGAAGGATGTGAATATCACTAAGCCAAGAACTAAACGAATTACGAGAAATCAAAAGGTGATCGAAAATATATCATTCAAGCATATATAAAGATATTAGGAAAAACGTTAGAGTCAGTAAGCAAACAACAGAGAAAACAAGAGAATACTGCTATCACTAAATCAAGAACTACGAAGAAAAGAAAAGTGTTAGAGGAAAACGAAGAGGAAATGGATTCGGCATCGATCACTACTACTGATAATGAAAAATAAGCCTGGATGTTTAACAAGATAGAATCTATAATAAAAAAAAGATATAATCATGATAGAAAATTAAATATAATAGAAAATCAAGTGGACAACCGTCAGTGACTGAATCCGGACTTATTTTGCCGAAACCAAATATCCAGCAGCTTTTACTCGTAATCCCCAAGTGATTATCCCACACAGATAGACTCATGTAACGCCAATTACTCCAAGTCCCAAATTATATGCAGAGATCGCTCCCATGTGATCATTTACTATCCGAACCCCAAATTAACGAGCTGCCAGTCCAACAAGACCCAAGTAGTGGAATCCAAAAGTTGTTCACCACCAATTTCCCACTCCCCCCAAAGGATTTGCATCTGGTACTTGTTGACCTGCCTCGCTTTGGAAATCCCTAACCAAATCGTCCCAACCCTTCCAACTAGTATCACCATCAAGGGCATTCATATCAAGATCCAATAATGCATTGTCATCCATTAGCCAGGGTATTTGATTTTGGCCCTGTAACTGATGTTGCTGTATTTGGAGCTGGAGTTGTATCTGCTCGGGGGCTAGCATACCCATACCTACTACCTGGGGAGGAACATTCATGTCGAAACTACCGTCGTAAACTTGTTGTTGCTCTAAATGGTTATGAGTTGGTTGCGCCTCCAATGAAGGTGCATTAGCGGCGTCATTAATTGACGCATGAGTCCTGCGTTGGGCGATAAGACAATCGTGAGGGGCTCCTCCCCAATGATCTTCGCCGTTTTCTTCATCCATCAGATTTGTATTCTCTTCTCGCTTTCTACGGGCTCTCGCCATTAGTTTTCGCATGGGTTGCCAAAACATGCCGCGTTTGCTGCTGCCGACGGCGTCACTCCAATCATCGAATGCAATGTCAATAGCTTGCCAGGCTCGCTCTACGATCGGAGAGTTCCTGCGGATGGAGAGTTCGCCAAGAATGAAGGCAATGGCGTGCCATTGTACCTATAGCGGGGGTCAGTGGTGTCAAGTATCCAGAGATTTAAAAAATGCGTACGTAAGTGCGGAATAGCCAACCCCATTTTTTGGTAGTAGCCTCAGTCTCTAAGATTCTTGAATACTCAATAATTTCGATAGATGCCGTGAGAAGACGGTCTTTGGTATCTGGAGATAGGCACTGAGGCCTACCCGGTTGGATTAACGGATGGTAGATTATTAACGACATCTTTGCAAAGATGAGCCGTGCCACCGTACCTGCAACCCACTGCAATTTCAGATATCAGTAAATAAACAACGTAATTGGGGTAAGCTATGTTGCGTCGCCTTTATTCGATCACCAGCTAAATTATTCTGCAACCGAAGACGGTGCAAAACAACTTATTGCATGAACCTCCGCAGGGAAAAGGGATAAATGTTGTAAGAAGAAACAATCCAGATGGAGTATGAAAGAAGTCTCTACTTACGTAGAGAGGTCCGGCATTTTCGCAATACTTAAGATACTTTTCCTCGAGTCGAGCAGCGCAATCCTTAATCAGTTCCTCTTTCTCTTCGAGTGTGAGTCTTATTGGATTTCCCATAGGACAAGGACCACGACCTGGAGGTGTATATTGAAGGCGCTTCGACAAAGCACATATCTCGAACCTAATGAGTACGAAAGTCATCTCTGAAACTCCTTCTCGAGGTTGTGGTGGTTCTTTCGCATCAGGATCTAAATCTGCATCATTGATCGAAAGTGGAAATTTGGTATCAAATGTGTGATCAAATATTGAAGGGTCAGATCCATGGTCCTCAGACGCCCTCACGTCCAGCACACATATTTGCCACCAAAGTCGTCTTCGCATTTCCGTATCATAGGGGGATAAGCCAAACTTCTCTCCATCACGATGCAGTCCTGTGATTGTTAAAATTTGAGCCAAAAATTAGACATACATAGGATCTCACCAAGTGATTGGCCAATCCTCATGACAAGTCCAGTCAGGGACCATACGAATCGAGTATCGTCATGTCTACGAACGCAAATTAAGAATAATACAAATGCTTGAACAGTGACAATCTCGTTTGAGTTGAGGAAGGATGCCCTGGCAAGAGCTTGCTCTGTACCAAATCGATACTTCTTGACCAAAGTATCTTTTTCGACCCCGAAATTGGTAGCAACCTTGCCCAAATATTAGCCACAGCTCGCGTCAATAGAGTACATACTAGGATAGCAATAAAAATCACAAACCTCTTCATTTGACATGGAAGTGATAGTTGCGAAGTATATGGAAAACATCAAAGCTTCTGTGCTCTTGCTTATCGTATCTAGGTTGTGCTGAACCTCTTTGATGACCTTATTCATCGTAGGCACATGAAGAAGCTTAACCAGCGGCATCACATTCTCCAAAAACGTTGACCAGTAGAAAGGTATTTGGGAAGGCAGAGGATGTAAAGCCTTCATATTGACGTCCGCAGAGCTATACCCCATCACAAAACTTTGATGATCTGGCTGGGTGGTTGAAGATGGAGGTGGAATCGGGGAGTCTCCATCGCTGTCCTCTTCATCCTCATCAAACATGGCACGAAGCTCGGCTATCTCCTGCGATAATTCTGCCCAAAATGGATTTGACACGTATTGACTCTTTCCTGAATCTAAGACCAGGCGTCCTATTCCTTCATCCATGGTAAATGCAGTCTTCGGAGGTGCGCAACCCATATTGAAAGATCTTGCAACCCATTCCTTTTTTGTGCCTTGTTCTTCATCCATCCCATTCGATCTAACTTTCGAAGCCTTGCCAGTAGTATCACTGCTTGACTCAATATCTCTGTTGCGCGGGGAGGAATGATCGCTCGATGGCGAAGGCTTCGAACTTTCCCCCTCCACTTGTCCGCTGAGCTCTTCCACGACCCCTTCCAACCTTCTAAGCCTCTTCAAAAGTTCTGCTTCTCGATCGCTGACCAGCTTTCCTCCAGCCCTAGGGCGTCTAGGCGCTCGACCCGGTGCTGGAAAGACACATTGCGTTTGCGCCTTGGTACAATTCGAGCAAGGCACCTTTTTGTCGCATTTGACCTTTCGTCTACGGCATGTAACACATGATCGCGCATTCAGTCCAGTGGGAGCTGTAGTTTGAGCCGAAGCTGATGGTCTCCGAACATCATCGGGTTTGCGAGGTGGGACAGTAGGAGGGGAAATCGATGACGTTGAGGGGTATATGGAACTTGGTGAAATAGCTATTGCTTGCTGGTTTTGGTAGCCGGCGAACATGGCGTTTTTGTCGGTGATAATTCTAATGCCTTCATCTGATGAATAAAAAGGTACGTCTGAAGACTTATTCTCTTTGAAAATGTTGACCTGGTAAAGTAGGCAGATTTAGTTGAGAAAATTGTCAATCGAGAAATTATTGAAGGATGAAGGCTGTGTGATGACCCTGAAGATCCGGGGTGTTTGTCTTTGATCTGGCCAGTCCATCCGAATATGATTTACATTGCAACAGTTGTTAGTAAATTACATCCTTTGAATAACTAATTCAATACATCATTTTCAAAGAGCATCCATCAAATGAGTATTAAACCCAATTGTGAATTGGTAATCCAAGACACCAAATACCACACTTTTAACGGGGTTCGGAGATACATGTTGATGTTGAAGAGTTGTACAGTAACAGTTGGTGGTAAGTGTCAAACTCATTTAATTTCATGATTCTTCATATCTACTCCAAGTATATGCCATTGACTTTAGAAACAGCCACCTTCCTTGGGCTTTTTCAGACTATTTGATCTTTATTGTCGCTCTTTCTCCATTTTAACATCATGCTCCCTCAAGCAAGGTTCACTATCTTGCTGGGAGAAAGACCCAGTGGGTTCAACCACAACACAACCTTGATTGATGTACCTACCTTTTGGCCGATGAGAAGGAACTTAGTTAGTTCATGTTGAGAAGTCTCATGCAGTGACTGAAGACAATCGATTTGTTACATGTTGCTCACAGTCCTCTCAGAACCCAAGAGCTTTGAGCCTGGCATTCTGTTCTCCTATGAGTACAATGTGCATACATGAGTTACACAACATTCTCTTGCCACCATTCTATGTACCTCTCTTGGTATAACATGTTACTTCGTTACTTCGGGGTTTTTGGGGGTTTTGTGCTATTTAGGGAGGAGATACTATCAAGTATTCATATTCATTACAACATTGAGTTACTTCATGAGGTGTCCAACAGCCGGACTGCAATCCAACAATGAGTCCATTTCAATTGGTATATTCAAGCTAATGAGTTTACTTGATGTGTAGTCTATGTGCTTGGAGCATTGGAATTGTCAGGAATGTCCAATCAACAAACAAGGATTCATTGATAGCCTTTCGATATTGAAAGCTTCAGATCTGGATTGCAGTCCAAACTAATGGCAATCATGGGAATCTATTTGATACTTACTTCTGTTTCTTTTTCAACAAGTGTGTTGGCTTGGGCATCATGGAACATATTGGGAATTTCGAGTGTGGTTCCTACACTGTCTACAGCTTATTATGCCTTGCATTGAAGCTCAAAGGGATACTGCCTTGGAGAGCTGCTAAATCACATACTTTGTCCAAATTCTCGTGTTTTGAATAGGTAATATGCCCAAGTGACCCCCACTATGATATATAATTGGACAGATGGCCGAGTGGTTAAGGCGTGTGACTCAAGCTCTATAGCTTAATTGATGTAAAATCGATTAGTATTCTCATAGGGTAACCTGCAGGGGTTCGAATCCCCTTCTGTTCATCATCTATTTTGCTTTTTTGTTTGTTGGAAGAAAAGGGGTCGATTTCTTTTTAAGTTTGAGCCGGCTGATGAATTTTGGGGTGGAAGGGAAGTGGGAAGTGGGATCATGCGGACTTTTTAAGGGGCAGGCGGGGCTGGGTTCAAGTGAAGAAATCGAACATAGGAACTCCTTTGTTCAATATATCTTGTTGATGATATTGAAGCTGGTAAAGTTTCGTATATTGGCCTAAGTTACAAAGTACCGAGGGGGAAACTTACACTAAACCCATTTTCGTAGCACTTGTAATCTATACTAAGGTTGCTTTGATATATCTGACAAGGGCGGTATTAATAGCGTTTAATTTCATTGAAAAACGAATCATCATTTCGAGGAACACATAGAACCTTAGTTCGATTGTCTTCTCTAAAATTTCAAGCTAACAGAGCTGCTTGGCAAAGGGAAAAGTTGCTTTTTCATGGTTTTGTTTTTTCTCCCTACTATTATGACTGAAAAGGGGGACCCTCAAGGCCATTGCACAGTTCTAGCCCCTCAGAATCCATCTTTTCAAGTTTCAACACTCCAAGTCACTCCCCTTCCTTTGATCTTCCATGCGATCTCTACAGATCTTCTCAACCCTACCCCACATAGTCGTTTTACGCGTGTTTATTATGGATACTACGTGGAGTCGAGAAACAACACCGAACTTGCACAGCCCTATACATCATGCTCACCCCAGACAATAGTACCCCTGCTAACGATGCCCTGATTATTGGGATTCCAATCACATCGAATCACCAAATACGATCAGCAATGAATAAGAAGAAAAGGGCCTTGTCTAGATCCTCGTTTCTTCGCAATGCTGTCGCACCACTCGCCTCATCATCCATCCAATCTCATGCATGTGAGCGAAAGGTTTCTAATATAAAAGCAAACAAGTGAGGTGAATATATCTAATACCAACTACCATTTCTCGAAACAAATTAAAGTTATCCATCATAAATTCTCCCTGAACGCTCCTTGATCCATCCTTCTCGAAGTTCTCATATATATCTATCCCAAACCCTCCCAATTCCACCACGCCATAAAACCATGAATGTCCTCCCAAAACACCACTCCTATCTCGACCCCACCAATAAAGAACACCGCGACTACATTCGCCTAGACATCTCTCATTCCCCAGACAACGTCCCAGATACGCCCTTCAACTCACCCACCGCAACATCCCTCTCAAACACCGAATTTTCATTTCCAAACTTAAACCCAGTTCCTCTAAATCAACTCATCATGGATGCAAACAAACCATCATCGTCATCATCACATCCCCAATCACGAAAAATCGCACCTACATCCGCACCATCAGAATGGCGACCTGCATCTCGGGATCGTGCTGGATCATCCGAATCGGATATTGCTAGTACTAGTGTTAGTGCTAGCAAAGAATGTCGCTGTAGAGGTAGAGGTGGAGGAACACATAAGCTACCAAGTGATCTCGAGCTCAACTCTGAATTAAGAAGTTACAGTACCGGCTGTTGTGAGCAGTGTATCCTTAGAGACGAGGGCGCGGAGAGGGGAAGATGCAGGACCAGGACAAACTCTAGTAGTTCGAGGGATAAGACGAGTTGTGAGAGAGAGAAGAGGAGGTTGAATCTCTAATATGTGCTGGGATGAATGGATGAATGCTAATGATGGGAAAAACACTATTTCGAAAGAAATCATACAATAAATACGAGCCATAAAAAATTTATCTCGTCTAAAGGTGGCGTTGGTTTCATCCGATATATATATTTTGGGCGTTTTGGATATTGAAAATCTACTTTAGTGCGAGGTTTAGTGAAAAGTAAATTTAGGGAAGAAAACCAACGATCGCATTAAAATGGACTCTCTTTTCAAAGAGGCTAGAGCTATTTACTTTCCACCGTCATCCCAACAATATTAGTGACTATATAGACTTTTCTTTTCCACCTGAGATCCCAAAATTAGCTATAGACTCTAGAATCACCCAACCCCTCGAACCTTTCGGCAGAGCTTGAGCATCCAGCCTATTTGACATTGAACATTGTATCATATCAATCTAATATAAACGCTCCTTACTACCGGTATTTAAATCAGTCAGGATGTCATATCACTTCATATATTCATTCATAAGGCATTTATATCGACTTTGCACCGCAAGCGTAAACCCAAGATACAACCTAATTTTAGCATTCAACACCGACTAGGGGTGGGAAGTATTTGTCAGATTAACAAACTTATGTATTCCTAGGAATTTCTCATCCTTGAGATTTCCATGTGTCAAACTTGGACGCCAACGAGATTGCTGTTACTACCACTCCGTACAGAACATTTGTGTTCACCGATCGTTCTTCTGAGACGAATCATTTTGACCGTTCAATACTCTTAACATTATTGACGAAACCACACCTAGACTCTCCAATACACCTGCTCCATTTAGTAGACCAAACATGATAGCGAATCACACTTACTAGCGGTTGGAGTACAATTCAACGTCTCACTTACACCTCAGTAGCAGAATCGATATGCTTTTCGAATCTATCATCATTGTTCAATTAACCAAATTCAGTGCTCAAAATACAACATTCAAGTATCTGACACATTTTACTGCAAGTAAAACTTTCCTTTCGAGACCCGAACCAATGTCTTAGCTTTGAAAAAAGTGTCTTCCTCTCCACCAGGGTATAATTCTTCAAAGCTTTAACTTCTCCGCAAACCATTTCTCGGCAACAGCAACTGCATCCTCAATCTTATCAGAGTTAGTACCTTGACCAGTACGAGTTGGCTCCTTGCCACCGGATCGGCCTCCTACGACCTCTGAGACTGCTGCGGCCCATTGCTCGGCACTCACGCCTTTTGACGCGGCATCCTACATAGTGTTAGCGAACATTTTCAGTAATAAAGAGGTTATTTGCACTTACTGTACCGACATAAACTCCGTGCACAACAGCACCTTCACTAGCACTGCCTCCAAAAAGATAAACTGTCTTATCCTTTGCCTTGGACTTGAAATGGTTCATGACATCGTTAATAGCCTTGGAATTAGCAGAGATTGGCAATTGTGCAATATACGCAGTGCTGTCCTTGTTCTTTGGATCGGCGAAGTGAGCAGTAACAGTATCCAGAGCGGTCTTGGATTCCGCTTTTTGTTTTTTTTTCTGCTCATCAAGAACATCCTTTTGAACCTTGGCGAATTTCTTCTTTAGGTCCTCCTTGGCAAGTACCGAAACAGTGAGGTGGTTCAAGTCATTTTGTGTTGCTTTGACCTCTTGTTCTTTCTCTACGCTATGAGGCACAACATCTAAAGCAGCAATACGTTGACCGAATGCTAAGGCAACTCTCTGTACCTCATGCGCGGCATCACCAGTATAAGCGATGATTCTTCGAATTCCTTTGGCAATGCCGCTCTCCTCGACGATGATAAGGTCTTTGATGATACCAGTCTGGTCTACATGAGTTCCACCGCAGAATTCAACACTGACCTTTCGCCATTCTGGATTCTTTGGTTCGGCGAGCAGAACGTCAACTTCGACACCAACGGAGACCACTCGAACGGGATTTGGGTATGTCTCGCCGAAGACAGCACGTACACCCTCAATACCCTTTGCAATATCAAGATCGACATCTTTCGAGTAAATCTTACAATTTTGTTTGATGTAAGAATTCGAAGAATCCTCAATCTTCTTGAGTTCTGGTAGTGTGACTTGGGCTTTGTGCGAGAAATCAAAGCGTAATTTCTCGTGATCGACAAGTGATCCCTTTTGGTTGATATCTTCTCCTAAGTGCTCTCTCAATGCATGGTTGAGAATGTGGGTACCAGTATGATTATTGCGGATGGGTTGTCTCCTTAATTCGTCGTATTCGCAAATAACTTCATCTCCAGCCTTGAAGCTTCCATAGTCCATGTAACCATTGTGGACAATGTATCCACCGTATGCTTGAGTATCAAGGACCTTGAATTCCGCAACACCATCAATGATGATCTTACCGGTATCGAAAACTTGACCACCTTGTTCAGCGTAGAAGTTGGTCTTATCTAGGAGAAGACCAAACGGCTTGTCACTTGGCAAATCTGCCGTGCTCTTAAGAAAGCTCTTGCCATCGTAAATGAGTTGGACCTTGCCATTTGAGTCGCCTCTCGAAAATTTGGCATCATCATTGGGTCGAGCAATACCCATATTGTCAAGCTCGGCAATTTGATGAACATCTAATTTCGCGAAAGTGTGGGCAGCCTCCTTAACGGATTTACTAGCTTCACGCGCCTTCTCTTTTGCAATCTCAATCTCCCCATCATCTGTCTCAAGGCCACGCTCTTCAGCCATGATCTTGGTCAGATCTTCTGGGAAACCGAAAGTGTCGTATAATCTCCATACATCTGCGCCAGAGAGTTTCTTGGTGTTTGTCTTGATGGCTTGCGCGGCATATTTCTCAAACATCTTCTCACCACGATCCAAAGTTCTGGCGAAAGCTTCTTCCTCCTCATCCAGAATCTCCTTGACGTCTTGTTGCTTTTTGACAATCTCGGGGAATTGCTCGCCCATTTGTTCAACGAGGGCTGGCAAAATCTTAGAGAAGAAGCTACCAATTTCGGCGTTGAAGTATTTTCGAGCATATCGGGATCCTCTTCTCAGAACACGTCGAACAACATAACCACGTCCTTCGTTGTTGGGAACACCTCCATCGGATATAGCAAAAGTCAGTAAACGAATATGATCGGCAATGACACGGTAAGCAGTATCGATCCCGTCGGTATCGTCCTTTCCGTACTTATCAGTGTATGGTCTGGCGTCTGTGACTTCTTGAATCTTGGCAAACAATGGCAAGAAAACATCAGTGTCGTAATTCGAGGATTTGTCCTGCAATACCGATACCAATCGTTCGTAACCCATACCAGTATCAATATGCTTAGCTGGTAGAGTTTTCAATGATCTATCCTTCTGTCGATCGAATTGGATAAAGACGATATTCCAGATTTCCAAGACGTTAGGGTCATCTAGATTGACGAGATGAGCAGCATTGCGCCCTCCTCCTATTCTATCGTAATGGATCTCACTACAAGGTCCACAAGGCCCTGTCTCACCCATCTCCCAGAAATTATCCTTCATGTTTCCTGTCAGGATATGGTCCTCTTTAACTCCAGCCTTCAGCCATAACTCCTTAGCCTCAGAATCCGCAGGGACGCCATTCTCCGAATCTCCTTCAAAGTATGTGACGTATAATCGATCTGAGTCTAACCCGTAGACTTTTGTGAGTAACTCCCATGCCATTCCAATAGCATCTGTCTTGAAGTAATCGCCAAACGACCAATTTCCCAACATCTCAAAGAAGGTCTATGACTCACATATCAGAGCTGTCGAGATATGCAAACTAAGGCGTCAACTTACATGGTGGTAACTATCCTTTCCGACATCATCTAGATCCTGTAAACTATCAGATCACATACTTTCCATATAGGAGTCATATAACCCTACGTACGTTATGTTTTCCTCCAGCACGAATACACTGCAACAACTCCGTTAGCTCGTCCTCCATGATAGCAGCAGCAACTCAATCATCTACCTTTTGTGTATCCACCGCTCTCTTCAATTGTGCCATATTATCCGTCTTGCCCACTGTGCCGAGGAAAATCGGCTTGAACTGGTTCATACCAGCATTCGTAAAGAGGAGAGTAGGATCATTGTGAGGGACCACAGAGGACGATGGTACTATATTTTGTTAGAACTATAGCTTTAGAAGACTGCTCAAGCCCTGGCAGAGAAGTGCCAGAGTTGCAAAAGAAGTATTGTCCCATTCATATGAGAATCCATAGCTGAAATTCCCCAAAGAACCCCCCTTCACCAAAAAGAATTACCCCGCTACTTACCAACAGAATGAGCATTCTTCTCAAAGTAGTTTAAGAATTCTTTCCTGACCACCGAGGCGGTCCATTTACCAGTATCTTGAAAACTCGACATGATTCTTGGCGCCCCAGAAAATTTGCGATACAAGGTTGTGTTGTAAGAACTTATCGAAGTGGTGCGCGAGTTGAACAAAGAAAGTCGCGTCGTCTCGGGTTCGTAGAATATTCTCGAGCAGTGACTCAGTGGACCTGGAACTCTTGCGATGCTCAGACTCAATCTTCCACGCAACACGTTCATTCGCCCGATTTTATAAAATTATCAGTTTCCCTAGGAAAGACCAATTTTCAATTGACAATTTCCTTCTGTTTAAACAGATTGAGTGTTTGATTTACCGTGCATATATCAAGTGACAGACAAGAAGCTTGTGATCAAGGGAGGGATGGGCCGTTGGGATGGATCAATTGCAAGCGACGGGAATTAGGAAAAGAAAGGCAGAAACGCAAGATAATGAGCGACTCTCCAAACGACTGAGCTTGCTCAATCTCGGTATATATTCTACACTTATCTATAATTGCTTCATTTCAATGCTCAAAGTCCAGAAGCTGATAATTTTCTAGAGCGCAATGGCCAAATACTCTACGTCCCAGTTGAACAACCCACCTTAAGCTCAGACTCGGATCCGCCTACTACCACAACTACAACTGCCGCCCGCAGACACAAACGTACGAAACCAAGCACGACAAATCAGCAAGATGCAGACGACATAATGCAACTAGACGACTCCAAACACAAAGTCTACATCTACAATCTCGACGACGAGCTATCCGATAGCGACGCGTCCGATGATGGACGTCTAGTATTTCTCCCCGATATATCCAAGCATCTGCGAGAAACGCGAATTCCACCCCATATACTAGCAAATAAAGATGGAGAATTGGCTGGTATGAATAATCAGCTTATCTTGTACGATTCAGCAGTTCCGAGGAATCACAGTGTGCCCGAGGAACATGATTTAGTGCGGAAGGCATTTCTGGAGGCGAGGGAAAAGGCCAGAGCTAAGTGGGGGGAGAGGGCAAGATTGGATGGGAGAGTGGGAGAGGGGGATGGCTTGCAGACGTTGGGTGCAGTTGGGAGAGATCGTGCGTATACTAATAGTATGAGTGAGGGGGGTGCTGATATAGAAGATATGACAGTGGAAGCTATGGAAGATGATCCTGATGCCATGGACCTCGGATAGTGTCCAATGCTTCACTTAGTGGTGTGTAAGACTATGTAATGGGTATTAATGTTTTTCGGATTTCAATCTCAATTGTTCTTGCCTATTTTTTATAGTACATTTATCCCCGTTCATTCCTTCGTGAAAGCCCATTCTTCTCTAAAGTTTCAGATCCTTTACCAATACTGTTACGCGTTCCCAAACTCCAATATTCATTAACTCGTTCCTGATCACTAACCTCGGAATGGATTGGTGCTCGCGCCAGTATTATTTGTGTGAACATTTGGAGGGGGTCCAGGAGGCGCCTCATACTCTGGAGCGGACTCTCCACCATCATCTGCTGGACGTCTCGTTGGTTGTGATCTCCATTGTGAGGGGTCGACTTTGGTCGCTCCTGCAGGTGGTTGATATGTGGGTGGCATTGGCGCATTCGAATCATACATTGGAGGGGGCATTGGTTGCATGCCATATTGTCCGTCTGCTGGAGATTGATTATAATATACGTTGGGATTTTGGTAGGCCGGGTCATATTGTGCTCGTTGTTGTCTGTTCAGCATCCACTACTCATTGTTAACATTGCCTTCTCGCGCGTTTTGATTGAAGGCTCCTCACCCTGTGATATGCCAATGGTTTTAAGCCCTTCCTTATTCTTCTCTTCGCATGCCAATATCCGATAATAATCCATAGCATGAAGATGATAAACAATCCCCAAAAGACTGACCATCTGACTATTTGTCCCGTCTATTGAACATCGTTAGCAACGAACACAAAGTTTTATCTCAATCTCGCAAACCAACCTTCGTAAGCCAAAATGGAACATGATCACTCTCAAAACAATTACCAAATCTATCACATTCAACAGTAGTCTCGTTGGCCGCCCTCTCCGTGATTATCGACAAATCGCCGTCCATCTTTGCAATTGATTTTCCAACACTCTTGTCCTATTTCCAAATCGATTCAGAGACTCGGTCCGATCTGTTCGTTCCGTTTCGTTTGTTCTTGGAATCTCAAGGGATGAAATGATATCGTTCCGACAATCCAAATTATATCTCCCTTTCGTTTACTCACTTGTTCATTCGTTCGTACAAATCAATCCAAGCAAAATAGCAAAACCAAGACTCAGGACTTGCTACTCCAGAAGTACCCAAATCCAACGAGGCGGTGCTTGGGTCTCTTCTCACGGTAATCTCAATACCCGGCGTTCAAGTTTCATGCGTTGTTACAGAAGCGTATCCAACACCAGGACTTTGTTTGAGATTCGGGGTATTGCTTTGAAAAATATTGTTTATGAGTCGTTTGTTCCGAGTTTACCTAGGTATTCTTCAAAATCACAATCACAAATTCACAGCAAAAGGTTAAAAAGTCGAAAAGTAAAACGAAAGAATTCTTAGGTAAAAGGTAGAATATTGGAATGTACAAACACCTTCTAATAAAGATATTCAATGGATTGGAGTACGGATCCTCCGGTCTGTTGTGGTCTCACCTTCCTTCCAAGTTCCATATAAAATACTGAGGTACCTAGGTAGGTAGTGATCAATACCGGCATCAATGTCAATATCAATATCAAGAACGCGATGTGATTCGTTGCTGTCCGAAAGACTAGATTCAGGTACCCGTGTCGCGTGGCTTGGAAAAGTAATAGTGTGGCTAGAAAACTTGCTTGGTTGATTTTAAGTGGGCTCGGCTCTTTCAAGCTGGAAGTTGAATTCATGAGGTTTCGGATCAATACATCAATACTGTAAAAGTTTATTTTACAGAATATGCTCTGCGAATTAATGAATAATGACACACTATTATTGTCATTGAGACTTCTGCTGTGTTGAAGGAGTGATTACCCCTGTATACCGTGACGGAGGTTAATATTTATGTAAATTTTACCTCCGTATGTTATAATCACAGTTGCTGGGATTTGAGGGATTTATAGATTTGGGAATATGGTTGAACCTTTTGATACTCAATATACTCGAGTTACCATCATTGGTCACATGAGTTTTGAAGTTTGAGAATGCTAAGATTTAATGATCAATTTAGGTCCGAAGAGTAAAAGATATAGACGGGCAGGACATAACATTAGGTAAAGTGTGCAAACCAACCTCATGTTACAAAATAAATACGATTAATATATTCCTACCTCTACCCATCTATTGGACACCTGAATTCCCTCCCATCGTGAAGTACATGCCTCGCCGCATCATCGTCCGGCTGCATTGCCTCCAAACAAGTCCGATGATAAATATGTCTACAAGCCAACACCACCAACGGCCCCAACTCCTGCCGACCCATTTCTTCCTCATTGTCATTGCCATCTCGTTGACCATCCAATTCATCCCGAGGTCCTCCTGCCGACTCTTCATCCATGCTCTTTCCTTTACCTTTACTTTTACCATTCCCGCTACTCTCCCCATCAATCATTGACAAACGTTCGCTTCTAGCTGGAGCTACTCCTTTTCCTCGTTCCGTAGCTCCTCCGCTCAAAATAGTCTGTTTGTTCTTTCTTTTCTGCTCCTCATGTTCATGCCGTTCTTCCCAGTGGGAGAATACATCGCCCGAGACGCCTGGCCCCCATACCCTTCGACCACAACCTTCGCAAGTGGAGCCTCGCGGTCTCCATCCTCTTTGGCGAAGATGGGTCGCAGATTGGACATTGACGAAAAGGTCTTTGTCGAGTAGTCGATTTGCTAAACTTAGGATACTCTCCTCATAAGCATATGCAGAGAATACCGAAGCAAGCACGGCACGTAGATCACTAAGATTTGGAGACGAAATTGATGCTTTGGTCAAAAATGCTCGTAAAATACGTAAGAAAGACAAGTTTGCACCCGAAGATGTTGGCGTTGATGTCGAGGTTAGAAGAGCTGTAAATGTTCGCTGAACAAGGGTGCGGAGTTGAGCGATAAGCTTCTCACGATCCACTTCATCAGACATCGATGCTTTGGCGTCTTCCAGACCCGGAGACAATTTGCGGGTTATTTGTACCGCGATATCTATGAGATCCAGCCAAAGCACCTCTTCAGGAAGAAGTTCGGATTTCCCGGATGACTTTCTTCTATTAGGAGTTGCGGTTATATGATTAGATTGTGGCGACGTTTGACGCTGGCATAACCAAATTCCCACATTGATATACTTTTGAAGAGCAGTGAGAAGATCCTCCACAGCATCACTTGCATTCATAGACTGCATAGCCTCGACCGAAGCGCCTAAAATACCGACCAGAGTAGTCTCTAATATCGTCAAGTGTTTTATCAGTCGATCCATACCAGCTCTGATCCGACCTTCACGAGCCATCAATACCACAACACCATCGATAACGCCACTCTCTTCCATATAAGGCAAAACCTTCTCAAGCCGGAGATCAGATGCTTGCACCAATTCAACGTAATCCACCACATGTTGAGCGTCATATCTGCACATGAGTTGAACATACTGCTCAATGAAGTCACTGGGGGGTGAGCGTTTTGGACTCTCGTCTTGTCCAGTTGCCATCTCCATGATACTGTGCAAATAAATATATTGCACCTCTGAGAGTTCAGGGAGGGAGGCTAACATCTTTTGGTGGAGAACAGGAGCATAATTCTGGATCGTCAAGGCAGCCTTTTCGGCACCCAGTTTAACCAGATCACTGGCATGCTTCTCAATAACCTCATGTACCTCCCGAACCTGTCGTTTTGTCAATCCAGAACGAGGTCTCAAGCTGTCAGCTATACAATCGAAGATAACTTCTCGATCCTCGGGATCCTCAAAATATGCCTGAACGAGTTGGCTGTGCTGTTTATCTGCTTTGTATATACTTTTGAGAACTCGATAGAAACCTGCCTTCTGGAATAATGGCATCAGAAATGCTAGATCAGTTGGATGATATACCGAAAGCAGGTATTCTGCACTGAGTTGAGCATCATCCGCAAGATCTTCACCAGGATAATTGCATAAGCCCGTCAAAACTTTGTGCAGAGCTGTCCCAGAAAGTAGTAAGTATTGCGGAAATTTCGGGAGATTTCGAGCGATGAACATATCCAAATAGATAGTATCTTCCGACGCAAATTCGCTAGCATTCATAACCTCTAGGAGTATTGTGACGATATACTGCCTATTGACGGAAAGGCCAAACACATGCTCCTCCGACATATCACGATTTGAGCCACCGTTGACAGCTCGTTCTGGCGTATCGTTAAGAAAGGAGTCCTCGAATGCCTCATTCAAAGCACTGAGAAAGCTGGGCGCATCAAATTTGAGAACCATCCTCAAGTACGGAAATGAAGGCTCGATATCTTCGTTCGGCTTTGTCAAGAATGGTTTGGTGTTTCCTCTAGGCCAAGAAATCGTCTTTCCGGAAAACAGAAACCAATAGAGTTCGGCTTTAGCATTCATGGCTTCTTGTTCATCAAGTTGATCGCCCTTAGGGTAGACTCGGCCCGTAAACGTATATGACATGTATGGAAACATCTTCAATGCATTGACACCAAAGATGGGATCTTCCATCACGTTCCTATTTGGAAAGTATTCTCCATCTTGAACAAGGGGTATTAATAATGTGAGAAGATCAATGAGGGGAGTTATGTAATCGTGTAATGCTTGGTTCCAGACGTATATTAGAGCATCGTAAAGACCGTGTTGTTTACAAAGAGTGGTGACCTCGTCAATATCTAATGTTGCTGTCTCCATATGACAAATCATTTCCTCTAGACGACTTTCGAACCCTTTGCTAACGAAGTAGGAAACCATGGATTTTACTACAGTAGGTGGTATTGAGGTTATGCGTTGATCCAATATAGATTGTTCCAGAGCCTCGAGAAAAATACCCTCTGAATTCCCATCCTCGTACCATTCGAAGGCCTCGTCAAATAGAAAATCAATATCGTTGATGCTGAGAGATGCTTCGAAGCAGGCTTCAGCCAATTGCTTGAGGTGGTCATCTGTAGCAGCCGGGTATTTCTGCCGCTGACCGAAAGCAAATTTAAGAGAAGCAGTCATGATCTCGACCAGTTTGTCTTGTACCATAGAATGCCGCAATGCAGTATCCTCGGGCAGACCAATAGTCAACTTGTCAGCATCGCCAGTGTAATAAGATGTCGCCAATTGAATGGCTCCAATGTAATCACCATCCTCCATCAATGCGATTAGGCGGTCTGCCCAATTTGATAATGTTCCAATTGAAACATCGTTAAAGCCAAGCAGGAACATCCGACTCTTGTAAGCCTTAAAGCTCATATAAAATGCATCTGCCACAACGCCATGCATAGACGGATCTTCCTCGTCTAATTGCTCCACTAAGGTATGCAGTTGTTCGGAGAACAAATCTTGATGAAATATGTGCTTATGCACCAGATCGAATGCTTCAGTCATTCGCATACTTACATCTTCCAGAATTATTAGGCGTTGTGTAATGGTCAGTACCGTGAGCACGGATCGACTAAGCCACTGAACAGCAACAATAGCTTCTTCTGCTTTCCAGCGACTACGAGGTTTAAAGGATAGATTTGGTGGCTTATCCTTATCTTCAGATGGAGTTTCTTCCACATCCAATACTGTCAGAATATTGGACCAACAATATACTAGCTTGACTTTAGAACTTTGGCTACCATCGTTAGGGTCTGGAACCTTGAGTTTGACGGCAGGAAACCATGCAAGACAACCACTCATGGCACTATGAGCAGCAACCTCTTTCGGTCGAGCAGCTTTGTGTTGAGTTTGAGCGATTGGAGTTGTAGATACAATCACGAGTAGATAGGGAGTCAATATGGCAGTCAAACCTAGAGTATCAGTTCCCTTTTCTACATTTCCAAGTGGGAGAGGTGAAAACGCCAAAACCGTGCTTGGTTTTCGAGGCTTCCCGGAAACGCCAATATCGTTAGGATACCGACCAAGTATCCTAGTAGTCCGGACTGTGCGCCCAACGGCACCCATACCTCTTGTTGCAAGATGCGAAAAGGCCATCCCACGATCGTCTGCAGACACAAGGGCCGTGTGTCTGGTGCCTAGAAACCCCAAATGTCGGATCGCGATGTTTGGAGCATGGCCGTCAGCGCTACGATTGGCTAATTGGGAAGGCTCAAGACATGGAATATGGAGGAACGGGCGAGCTGATCTTGCCGTTTCCCAGGTAAAGATACTGCCGTTAGCATGGCCGCCAGCAACCACAAGGTGATCAGCGGATATGGTAATAGATGTCACCGCACCAGATTCGACAGCTAAAGTTATCAGTTTGTGGGTTGGAACATAGAGCTTGAATGCTCACCTTTGGTGCCCGGCCCAATTATAGACTTGAGATTTTGATGGTAATCAAAGATTAAAATTACTCCTTTCGATGTGCCTAGTACTATGGATGCAGAGACTGCTATGCATGTTGTTGTGCCAAAATTACGTTTACCAATTTCAGAAAAGGCTTGTCCGCTTAATTTCTTCAATTTTGTCCATCGAACAACCTCCCAAGGTGGAGATGGTGTATCCGTGTCCCCTGCATCTTGTAGCATCTGGCTATTCATTGATGCCTGTCGCGAATGTGGTCTCATGAATCCAGGCGAACCGGGCCGAGGAACAATCAAGGATGATATGGAAAGACGTGAGGAAAATCGTCTGTCAAAGGGTCGGAATGATGGAGTAGGACTATCAAGACCAGGCCTGGATGCGACAGATGGTAGTATACCACTCTCAGCAGGAGAAGATAATACAGAACCCTACCAAGTATTAGTAGGCTTCCATTGTCTTAATATATTGACTTACCTGAATAGATGGAGTGTCGTCTGGAGTGGATAAGATTGAACCTATAGGACTATTGATCCTCTGAGGAGGTACCCCTGCGGATCCATCCTCAGACGCATTCTCGACTTCTTGGACTTGCTTGTACCGATTTGTACCAATCCCAAGCTTCTGCAGCGTCAAAATGCCCTCATCCCTCTCCTCTTGTAACAGCTCAGCAATTCGACCTTCAGCCAGATGCTCTACATCCTCTGCGCCCACATCTTGTAACGTATCTGCGAATCCATTTCCAAGAACACTATGTTCATTAACCGTATCTTCCTCCACGCCACCACTGTTTTCCGAAGGGGGGCTCATCGAGACTACCTGCTCTGGCGCATCGTTTCCCAAAGCTCGACTCGTTTGCGCCGCAGTCCGTGGACTCTCGCAGACTTGGTTTCTCAGGCCAACATCTGGTAGAGAATAGGCTTTTCAACGTCGTGATTCAAAACCTTTGTGGAAGAATTTCGTAATTGTAACGATTAGGCTGGTGAGCTCCCAAGGTACTAGGGGATTGATTATAGGTGATAGCTTCAAGGTTGTGATAAGACAAGTCGCTTGCAGCCGGCGATAACTCGACGTTACTCACAATGTTTAAGCTTTAATAAGACACAACCAAGAATTCACAGTATAACGCAAACTAACTACAATAGACAAAAATAATACATTTGCGAAATTGAGAATTGCAGAGGAAAGAACACACAGCCTTCTCAGATTTTGTGGCACGGCTCGGAAATAATTATCCAATTGGATCGCATTTCAAGTCAACAGCATCTCCAAGCATTTTCCACCACAACTCCATCTCAAATCACATTCGCAAGAGATATCAAACACAATCATGCCTTCTGTAGGCCCAGAATTACCGCCCCATCTTCAAAAGCGCAAGCGCTCAATCAACGACTCTGAACCACCTAATTCCCCACCACGCAAAGTACAAGCGGCACCACCACCACGAGTCCTTGGTCCCTCCCTACCACCTTCAACGAATCCAGATGAGGTCAATATAGAAAGTAGCGACGATGACTATGGCCCATCAGTTCTCCCTTTTAAATCCAAAACCAAACCATCACAGTCCCCACCGCGAAGAGTATTAGGACCTTCTGCACCACCCAAATCTACCTCTCCTCCGCGCATCGCAGGCCCTTCTCTTCCTCCCCCAAACCCGGAGGAACTCGAAATCGAAACTTCAGATGACGACTCCTATTATCCTTCGATTCCCAATCCACGAAAGTCCTCCCCGCCACCAAAGCGCGTTCTAGGGCCCGCTGCTCCACCTGCATCTATTTCCGAACGTCCTTCATACCCTCCCAATTCTGATTCCGACAGTGACTCTGACTACGGCCCAGCTCTTCCCCCCGCAGAGGGTAGTGCTGCCGCTATTGCGCTCGAATCACAGCGTGCCCGCGAAGCTCAGGCTGCTGTTGCTAAATTAAATGAACCCGTAAAACCTCAACGTCCAGACTGGATGCTCGCTCCTCCCACTTCCTCCGACTGGACCTCCAAAATTGATCCTACCAAGCTAAAGGCACGCAAATTTGCCGGAGGTAAAGGTGCTAAAGCGCCCGCTGAGAAAACCGGCGTATCTGCTATCTGGACTGAAACTCCTGAAGAAAAGCGTCAACGAGTCGAAGATGCGGTTCTAGGCCGTCAGGACTATGCAGCTTCTACTAGTAGTGGACCTGCACGTACAAAAGCTGAGAGTAGGGCAGATGAAGAGACGGATAAGAGGATCAGGGAGTACAATGCTAAGAATCGTGGGAAATCATTATATGAAGCGCATGCGGATGGGAGCGTGGTAGGAGGAAAGGGGAAGAAGGAAGAAGAGGACGATCCGAGTAAGAGGGCTTTTGATAGGGAGAAGGACATGGCATTGGGGGGACGATTGGGGCATGCGAAGAAAAAGGAGTTGTTGAATCGGGCGGCAGATTTTGGGAGTCGATTTCAGAAAGGGAGCTATTTGTGATGCGATAGTGGAACCAAGAAGACGACTAGAAACAGAGCATTATGGTGTGGGATATAAGAGACGGCATGATGGAAATTGCTCGCATATTCACACACCTACAACATCAGATACCCAAACACTTTTCGAGGGCTAATATGGGTCAATTGCATCAACATTTAGTACTCGCTTTTCATTGCTTGCTGTGCTTTTCGTTTTCTACGTATGCATACATACTTTTATTGAAACTCGCTGCACGCCAAACCCCGTCGACTGATTTCCCTTAGAATAAATATGTCACCCGGGTAGCCCAAAAACAAAACGTCCTCCATCATATCCTAAATCATGTCATGTCATGTACATTCGTCCCATCTCAGCCGATACATAACCTCAGGCCAGCCTCCTCATCTACCAAACTTCCTAATCTCCATCCACCTCAACCCGCAATATGAGATTGCCGAAAACGCAAAGGCTAGCTCAAATCCCACATCGCCTCCATACTCCATCCCACAAAGTTTTCCAATCGGTCCTGTGAACCATACCTGCGCCATCCCCAATACTGCCCCCATGACCCCAAAAAGAAAAGCCACCATTGCAGCGATTCCGGGAGGCAGTCGACTGGCATCCATATAATTCTCGGGTCTATATCCTTCAAATCCTTTCTTGAAGAAGATATGTTCAGCGATTGATATTCCTTCATAAATTGCCAGCCAGTATGCAATCAACAGCATAAAGTTTTCGAGAACAGACTCGAAATTTCCGTAGCCTGGGATCGCAATAGCGCAGTAGATAATCGTTCCGATGAATGTCCAAACGAATCGTGGTACACGTGCAGTGGTGGAGGAAAGGACCTGCAGAGAGAGGGAAACGGAATAGATATTCGGACAGTTATTTGCTATAATGGAGAGAGCGAGGATGACGATACAGAACTGTCCGAATCTCCCCAGCGGAGGGACGAGGACCGAGGAGAGCAAACCTCCGATTCCAGAGCTGGTGTAGTTGGTCTTAAACACGTTTTCTCCGCCGTTAGCAGCCATAGCTGTAGCAACAGCTGCTCCCAACATTTCGGTAAAAAGGAGAGGAAATATCAGACCAGCGAATGTCCAAAGAAATACGGATTTTCGACTGCGATCGACGGGTTGATACACTGTATAGTCTGCCGCATAACTGGTCCAGCCCGTGGCAAAACCAAAAATACTTGCAGCAAAGGAGAGGCAGGCTCCCACTTCAGATTTTCCAACACCCATGGGGTTATTGATAAACTGACCACTGTGGGCAAACTCACCCAGTACGACGAGGAAGATTATGAAGCAGGGGATCCAGGAGTAGCGCTCGTAAGCGTGTACGATTTTGTAGCCGAAGAGCGTTACGATGAAGGTAGCGACAGCGATGATGATGACTCCGGCCCAGCCTGGCATGCTAGGATTAATAGCGTTGAATAGTTGGGCACCCACTATTACATTGACGGCAGACCAACCGATGCAGGCGAGTATGTTGAAGATTGCAACTGAGGATATATTAGTATAGTCATACTACCTCTACCAAAAACAGGAATCCAAGAGTTAAAGAAACAAGATGAAAACCTACTGATCTTCACCCCATACCACCCAAAATAAAACCTACTCAAAACCATCTGCCTCAACCCAAACCTCGGACCAAAGGTTGAAAAAAAGCACACCGGCAACACCCCCAGCAAATTCACAAATAGGATAATCAAAACCGTATCCACAAACCCCAGAAAGAAAATCGGATAGCTCAAAGCTCCAAGCGCAAAAGAGGAAACCACCATGTTGGCCGATAACCATAGTGTGCCGATTTGGCTCATGCCAGCGGTGCTGCGCTCATCGCTCGGAACTCGTTCGATGCCGCGGGACTCGACGCCGAATCGGCTCGTGTAGCGGTGGGCTTTTGCGTACCAGGTGCTGCCTTCTTGTAGAGAGGAGCTGTGGATGGCGGTTTCTTTGGGGTGGAGGGGGAAGTCTTGGTCGGAGGAGGTGGTGGTTTGGTTTGCTTGGGCGATTTCGGGGTCGTAGCCCCTCTCTTTGGGAAAGTGCATGGTTGAAGGAGGGTGTAGGTTTATGTTGTTGTAGTTATTGTTCTTGTTTGTGGGCTATCATATGAAGAGCAAAGGAAGTTTTTTTCTCCTTCTGCTTCTTTTTGAAGGTAGTGAAAGAGACCGAAGTTGATGAAGTCGAATCAGAAGCCTTTCCTGAAGCCTCAATCTTATATCTTGATCTTTGCCGTGATTTGATATAAGCCACCGGGGTAGTTATGTGGTCCAATCATCCGGGATGTGAATGATCATTCAACTTAAATTTGACTTTAATAGGTCTTTAAATTGTCTTCAAGAGTCCCCTGTGGTTTGTTCGCTTCCAATATCCAAATGCCAGTGGATGTACAAATCACAGGATATATATAGCTCCAAAGTTCTCTTCATTCACAAATTACCCGAGTCTTGAAAGAAGATTGTGAATCACAGCACAGTGGATTTGCTGCCTCCTTATAACTAAATGAAAAGAAAAGTATGAAGCATGAAGTGTGACACCACGACCGACCAGCGGATCTAGCCAATGATTCTCTACCAGGAGGTTTCAGCTAAGAACTCGCGATGAGTGATTGCCGGATAGCATAGGAGTGGATGGTCTCTTGTAGCAAACAAATCCACCTCTTGCGCGAAAAGTAGGAGTGCCGAAAATTCGGGTACCGATAGGAGAATATGTGAGTACTACGAAACTAACCACGGCGCGGAAATTGTGCTAAAATTTTATAAATGTAGCTAGAAGAAATAGAGAGTTTGGAATGCAAAAGAACATTACAAATGGTCGGATTTCAACTTCATACTTAAGGTACAAGATGAGATGATTACTTGAGCATGCAACCGCGATGGCGAGAAATGACAAAAGTACTGATTACTGCAAAGTGTATGCGGTATCACGGTGAGAACGATAGTAGAAATAGCACTTCATGTATTCTGCATTGTGGTGTGCATATCGGGTTATACGACAGCTTTGTCGGTGGTATTTTTTGTAGGGGAAAATATTGGAAAGGGATTTTGGGCCGATGTAGTATATGATTTGATAGTTTGTGTCCACATCATATTCCATGCGCCACTATGCTTGATGAAAGCCACCGGGAGTGGTCAATTCAGGGAGGCAGGAATCGGTAGATGGAGGAGAGGCTTGGGTTTGTCTCACGATTGTGATTGCTTTTGGAGTTCCTATCTTGTGCGGAAAAAATGACCTGGAAATGTGTGGTGTGTGGACCGAGTATGCAGGTGGTAGACATGATAAGGTGGTGAGAGGTGATGGTTCAAGGAGAATATGCATAATGGTTAATGACATGAACCAGGAGGAGAAGTACCGAAAAGCTTCAACACTGCTTGTGACAAGATCAGATACCCATCTATTGCTTGTCTTCCACAGATAAACCCTATCTACAATGTGTCCGTATATGGCTATAATTTGATAGATCAATTGACGTCTTCTAGTGTGAGGGCGGAAAGGATAACCGGCCGGGAATGTTCGGATAAACCAAATGAGTTAGAAGTTCGGCGTTTGCTTTTCCCGTACAACCTCCAATATAAACTTGTTTCTTGCTTCTGACAGCTAGACCAGGGGTAAAGGGCGCCTAGGTACATTGGCTCGCGACTCTTTCGCCGGAACCTGTATGTTTCAGCTAATTTTGTCGCCAAATTCTGCGACTATGCTTCAAGCCCCCTTTTCCTCCCATGTAGACTCAGATTCTCTCTTTTGCACCACGAACCACCGAATATAATCTCACAGCATCTCTTTTAAAGATTCAATTCTCCGGCTCTCATCTCCATTGCTGTGCCGTCTCTCACAACTTTGGTCCTTCTGCACCTATCCGAGCGTTTTCGTACCTTTGGAACCTGCACCTTTCCGTGACAGCACATCCACTAAACCATCACACGAGTATCTCACGTGCCTTTCGAGCGCTTCATTTCGGTAGAGGGGTACTGCGCCTTTCCGGTTTTGTAGATGCGAGTTGGTAGCATGGAAATGCATGTCTCATCTGATGTATTTATTGCCTCTGATGCGAATTCTTGGCTATCAGATCTTGTGCAACTGGGTAGTATACTAGAGATCTGATCTCGGACGATACACTGAGATAACTAAGATATCATTAAGAGTTTTGGAGATTACTCAGATGAATTGGATGTATGCAATACCTAATAGTACGATATGACCTATAGAGGGTACAGTAGCTCAGATTTACCAAAGCACTGCAACGTTTCAATCGACGGTTATTTCGGATGCGTTTCATGATGAGCATATCAATAGAGTACAAAGAAGTATATAAAGCACGTGTTTCTGCAGTGCGGATATGTCAATGTCATAATTTTGGATGTCAATCATCCCTTGGAACTGCATGCATTGTAGCGGTCAAGAAGAAATGATTTTCAAGTTTTCCTTGTCTCTATCTTTGATGGCTTGCAAGGATCGCGAATAGAGGTAGCGATTCTGCAGCTAGAGAACTATGCCCTTGTAATGGCTGAGATAATGTACCAAGACACTGAGGCTGAAAAATCAATACTTTTCGAAGTCCTCAATTCTCATTGCTTGGACCGAAAGTGTAGTCTCGCCTCCTCCGCAAGATGACGAGGTGCCATAACCCCGTACCTAGACCCATCATCTTCCAACCAATAGTCGTGTATGACCCCTCTTTTCATATCAGTCTCTTTCACTGCGACGTTCCCCCCTAGTATCCTCCAAAACAAGGCTTGTACTTCGAGAATCATCTCCTCAGCATCCACGGCATACGTCAAATGGCCACAAGCAAGTCGTACTCTCGGTGCCGCTGTCTCGTTCGACTTATGTAGTCGAGTGAGCTCCGCGTTCCGATGTTTTGTGAAAGATGAGAGTAGTTTAAGGGACGACATGTATTCAATCCAATTACCTCCTTCCGGAAAGATTATCGCGCCTTGTGTGGAAAGCAGATCAGGGTCTTGACCTACTTCATCTGAAAACTCGGGTATGGCGGGTTCTCTGTGTCTTGTGTAAAAAGCATCCCCAATAAACAAGTAGTGTTCTTCGATATCATACCACGCAAGAGAATCAGGTGTATGCTACAACACTGGGGAATCAGTAGTTGCCCATCAAGGAAAGCTTTCGAAAGAATCGAGAAATCAAGATTAGGTAAAGAAATGGAGAGGAAGCAGCAGATGTTAAAAGTGCGAGATGAAAAAATTTATCGAGCTTACGCCTGGGATTTGTATGAACTGGATGCGAAAGTGGGTATTGTGCATCGAAAAGTACTTCAGCTGACAAGCCCAATACGAAACTTCATAGTTTGGAGTCGATACGTTCATGTATTTGCAAAGAGAATGCTGCGGCAAATCTTCGAGAATGAAAGATTTACCACCGTCTGAGGCTACAATAGTAGGCTTTGACGATAAAAACTCGGGGAGACCAAGAATATTGTCATAATGACAATGAGTGCAGATTATAATATATGCCTTCTCGCCATCCGGATTCAGACTTTGATTGTTGTAGGATGGAATGGGGTATTCTTCAATGAATTGACGTAGAGATGTAAGTTTGACAGTTTCGTCTCGAGGAGAGTTGCATCCAGTATCTGTTATAATCACATAGTTGGAATACAACTTGACATAGATATATGGCTGCTCTCCATACGTATCGTCTTCGAATATGACAAAGGTAGAAGGATTTAATCTTCTACTCACAAAGCTTGTCGAACATGAGCTTGAGCCAGTCATTGCCGTAGATAGTCCCAGGTAATGAGAATAGTTGAGAGAAGAAGCTATGTCTGGTATAGATATTCCGAAAAGGAAGGAGGAGTTGATATCCCGACAGTTTGTCGTGATGAATCACAGGTTTCCGTTGTTGTGACTACCAACCAGCCCTTTACGACCATTTCCAAGGAAACCCAAGGAAACGTGAAGGTGGATTATCTACTCGAGTATATAGTCTCAAATAATGGACTCCGAAGTCATGGGATCTTATAATGATTCACGCGCCGATCTCAAGAGATTTGTGAACCCAACAAGTAGTCGCAATGATTTTATAAAGTATAAAAGAACTATCGTAATATACTTCATTATTATTTAGTATTGTCTTTTCGTTTCAATCATTTGATATAATGAATACTATTTTAGATCTATATTTTCTTATATGAGCCAATCATTTAATAAATTCACTTATTTTCCTATAAAATACAAAAATCTTTAATTACTATAA